ACTCTCTCTGTCTTTCACACTCTCTCTGGACTGGCCCCCATCACAATCTCTCTCTCACACACACACTCCACATTTATTCCCACTCACTCACACATTCTCTTCCTGACTTGGATACACTTCTGCTTCTCCTTATCGCTTGCTGACACTCACTCACTCACTCTCACTCTTTGAATCCCTCACTGCACTGTGTTCAATATGCATCTCATTAAAGACTCAGTCTTAGAATTCAGGTTCAGGCAAATCCATCAACTCTTTATAGTGAACAGCGAGGGGGAATGAGCCCTGATAAGTCAAGTGGCAGCTGCAGCTATAGCTATGACTCACTGAGTGCTAGCAATGATCGTTTAGTTCCCCCTGAAGAGTCGCTAGCTATGAGATTTTACACTAATACGCTTTCAAAACAATCCAAGTTGAACTCCTTCCCAACGTTAGACAGTCTGCAATATTAAATGCTACTATCATTGCACACAGATGAACCAAAACATTATAACCTATCACAGATGAGGCCAATAACACTGATTATCTTGTAACAGTGGCACATGTCAAAGTCTGGGATATATTTGATGGTAAGCGATCAGCGCCTCGTAGTCGACGTGTTGGATGCGGGAGAAATGGGCAGGACGACCTGAGCGACTCTGACAAGGGCCAAGTCATTATGGCCAGACTGAGTCAGAGCATCTCAGAAATGGTAAGGCCATCCGTGGTGAGTACCTATGGACCGTGGTCTAAGGAGGGACAAACCACGAACCAACGACAGGGTGTTGGGCCCCCAAGGCTCACTGATGAGAGAGGGCAACAAAGCCTATTCCATCTGGTCCGAACCAACAAAAGAGCTAAATTTTAATGATGGTTATGGGAGCAACGTGTCATGATACACAGTGCATAGCACCCTGCTGTGTATGGCACTGCATGTCTGCAGACCAGCGAGCGTGCCCATGCTAACCCCACTGTTCAAACAGCCTACAATAGCCACACAAGTGTCAGAACCGGACCTTGAAGCAGTGGAAGAAGGTCATCTGGTCCAATGAGTCCTGTTTTCTTTTGCATCACATGGATGGCCAGGTATGTGTGCACCATTTTCCTGGAGAAGTTTGGTACAATGCACTGCAGGAAAGAGACAAATTGGTGGACGGAGTGCGATGCTGGATCCACTGGAACATCCTGGATCTGGGCATTCATGTGGACATCAATTTGACACATGCCAACTACCTAAACATTGTGCAGACCAGGAATGATATTCCCGATGGCAGTGGTCTCTTTCAGCAGGATAACGCATCCTGACACACTGCGCAAATTGTTTTTGAATGGTTTGAGTAACATGGCAAAGAATTCAAGGTGTTGCCCTGGCCTCCGAATTCCCCAGATCTCAATCTGATCAATCATCAGTTGGATGTGCTGGAACAAGTCTGGCTACATCTCGCAACTTACAGGACCTAAAGGATCTGCTGCTAACGTCTTGGTGCCAGATACCCTTCAGAGGCCTTCTAGAGTCCATACCCCAGCAGGTCAAAGCTGTTTTGGTGACACATGGAGGACCAACAACATATTAGGCATGTGGTCATAACGTTTTGGCTCATCAGTGTATGTGTTAATGTACATATTTTGCATTTTGTATTAGACCGCATATAGTTCTGACAGCACACTCAGATTGAGAAGTGTTCTACCTGTTCTGTAAGACAAATAACAGCAAACAGGAGGTGAAACTGATTTTGTGACAGTTTTATAGCTATATCCATAACACAAAAGGCTACTACTATTGTGATGTAAGTACTTAGTAATTTTAAAGCAAATGTGATTTAAATTTGGTTCTTCTTTGCTTTACTTTTTTCTTTATTTTGCAGAATTGTTGTATATAAGAAGAAAATGACCCTTTTAGACCAAACATTTTAAGTTCTAGGACAGGGGTGCCAAAGGCTCTTCAGATATTGGATTTTTTTATTCTGACCTCAATAAAGAGATTGAGGAAAATCAATAAAGAGATTCTTAGAAAATGCTCAGGTAAATTATGTTTTGAATTATGGATTAAAGAAGAAAAGAATCATGTTGAAATTGTGTCTTCTGTTGAGTCAACTGGTGAACTGAGATTTTGTGATGAATGGAGTAATTTCCTAAAGAATCATAATCAAATCAAATCGTTATGAGGTCAGAGATTTACACTTCGTGCATGTCTCTCCCATTAATATAAGGCCTGCACTATGTAAAGGCGTCTCCAAAGAAACTCAGTAGTAAGAGCCCTACAGTGTGTGTACAGGATCATGAAAGCAATTCAGAAAGCGAGCACATGGAGCGCATTATGAGCACAGGAGAAACGCCTACAGGCACACGTGGTATAGTGATGTAGGAATGACTGCAAGTGCATGTGGGTGTCTTTACCATGGAACTGCATGTCTGTTCATTTATATACACCAACCGGCCACGTCATTAAGGACACCTCCTTGTATCTACACTGTCCTTTTTATCAGCTCCACTTACCATATAGGAGCACTTTGTACTGACTGTTGTGTCCCCACAGGACCACCACAGAGCAGGTACTATTTGGGTGGTGGATCATTCTCAGTACTGCAGTGACACTGACGGGGTGGCGGTGTGTTAGTGTATATTGTGCTGGTACGAGTGGATCAGACACAGCACTGCTGCTGGAGCTTTTAAACACCTCAGTGTCACTGCCGGACTGAGAATGAAACAAAATCAACTCTAAGTACAATATTATTTTTTTTGGTATTTAATTTGTTAGGGTTCACACACTTTTTAAACAGTGGAATGTCCGTATCAAATATTTAGCATAGTGCTGAGTGACATAGCTTTGATACCGATATTGACATACCATACCATATTGCTTTCCTGTTTTAGTGATATTTTAGTAATTTATCTAGCAATTTAAGGAGGATTTCAGTATGTGTACTTTACTCATCATATGCAAGCCCATAATTCATTTGCTTAAAATCCATAAAGGTCAGGAAACTCAGAAAAAGTTCATTAACTTTGTTAAAATTAAACTTTAATATCATCTGATTGAATTTTATCAGTTATGCCCAGCACTCATTTAACATATAGACAACTCAGCTGTTCTGAAGTATATTATTTAAATATTAATTTAATATTAATTTAACAATTAAATATTGTTAACTAGCAAGTCAGAATACAGTTTAAAGGAATGACTGCAAGTGAACTGAAATTTGACCCGTGTATTGATATCTGCACCATGTTTAACATTCCGACATGTTGGATGGATTTTACTCACTACATTAATGTTCCATAATTCCAGTGCCTGTATGTTTTGTTTTGACTCATTCACCTTCCTGTATTCTCAGGCGCAGACATGTCCATTCATTTGTAAAGAGTGGATTAGCGTCCCATCAAAACACATCAAGATTAAGGGGACGTCGTTTACCATCTCACTGTGCTTAGCTTGATATAATACAAAATCCAATGAGTTTTCGACAACAAAGACATATTTGTGTGGTCAGTAAGATGAGTTAGCTCACTGAAGCTCTGTTAGGGAGGGATTAGTTTTACATGAGGAGGGGAGGGAGGGGTCTTTATTATTTGTATTTATTGGGCTACTGATGCTTTTAGATCACTCCAAAACTTGTGACATAATTTTTACAGTGTTTAGGAGAGGCATGTAGGGTGAGTCAGTTCACAACTTTGAGCACCTACAGTACAACAATGACAGCTGCAGCACTTTAAATTTCTTTGAGCACTGAGCACTGTGACACACAGTGGAGGAGCTGGTCATGCAGGGCTCAGTGTGGCCTAATTCATTGTCTCCAGTGTTTGAATGTCAAAACATCTTCCACAAAGTTTGCAATGCGCACGTTCTAAATGTTAGCACTTAGCAAACTGAGATTCATGTTACTTAAAGTTCGTCAGCATGCACATACGTTAGTCTCAGGGTTTCACAGTTTTTTGCAATCTAGACTCTTTAGTGTTATGATGAAATGACGAACTGCTTTGGGGGAAAAAGTCTATAAAAGTCCTTGACTTTCCAGCACTTATTACTTTCTATGAATTTCCCAGGCCTTCCCAGTTTTTACTTTTGTGCACTCTGCTGCTGCTTTAACTCTTACAGCTATGACCTATGACAAAGGATGTACCCAAAGGAGCTACTGACATTATGTTCAAATAGGCACTAACATTCACACATTATGTTCAAATAGGCACTAACATTCACACAGGCAACGAGCCAAACACACCTTAGGTGCCTCCTAGATGTCTTCCCCATGTACATCTAAAATGGCTGAAGGAAATGTTTCTGAGACGATTAGATGCAAGATAATTCACTTGCAATCAAAGGAGTCAAAGGAAAATAAGCGAAAATCAGGAGTTCAACAAATTAGTGAAAGACACAGAGAAAATGAGACTCCTAACAACCACCTGAAAGACCTGGTAGACCAACAAAACTGTACCCATCAGATAAACAGCGCTTTCTTTCATCTCTGAGAGAGAGGAGAAAATCAAGCTTCACTCTTGATTCAAATCAGTAAAAATCTACAGCCATCCTTCCACTGTGAAAAGACAACTCAACACTATGAGTCTGAAAGGATGTGTAGCTGTCAAGAAGTCGTTACTGAGAAAAGGAAATCCTAGACATCTAAGACGTACAGTGAGATTGGACTGATAAATTTGAAGTGGCAGTTGGGATTACTTGGATTGTAAGAAGAAAAAATGCAACCAACTTCGACTTTAGAAAAAAATATCCCTGCAGATTTCTATGAAAAACTGAAAGAAAAACCTCCTGAAAAGAATAGAAGTTGTAATAAAGGTGAAGAGTGGACACACTTAATACTGTAAAATGTAATATTATAATATGGTTGTTGAGGCTTCTTTGTAATTTTCTGTTAAATTTAAATTTTTTGGACACAAAAATATGAATAGCTTTGTACTTAACGGCTGTACATGTCAATGTGTTTTACGCATACTTATATGTATGTGTTTTGAGTATGAGGGTGGGTGTGCATCTGTATGTGTGTTTTCTATATAACTGCATATGTGCTTACTAGTAGGGACTCCGTGTCCGGTGCGCTGAGGGCTGCACGCTATTGCCACGTCCTCCGCGTGTGTGCAGTCGTGTCTGAGCCAGTCTGTTCTGCTGCAGTGTGTGAGCGTGGGCTCTTTCCCTGTGCAGCTCACATTGTCCAGCAGGATTGGCCCTGACGGTGCTCCAAAATGTTCTGGGCTTACACTCTGTCCAGACCTGCACACACAATCATATCATCACTGTAAGAAGACAACCTCCTGAAATTGTTCACACTTTTTAAAAAAATGCCTAGTGGCCAAATAGCCCGATAGAAATATCCCAAAATTGTTTTATATAAAATAACAGTTATTACAATAACAATAGTCATTAACAGTCTGTCAAGTAGTATTTCTGGGTCAGGGGGGAAAAACATGCTAAAATATGGTGTGAATGCCCTGCTGTGAGTTACCCCGTAAATCCTGAAGTAATAATTTAAAAGCAAACTGGACATCTTTCAGGTGGAGAACACGGAGCAGCTGAAGGTTGTGCTTTTGGAAGGTTTTCGTATGCTGTGCGTTGCTGTGTGTGTCAGAACTTAAGAATGGAGTTAAGTGTGACGCATTCCAAGTCCTGCCAGCACTCAGGGAATGTGTGCCAGGGCAAGTTTTCTCTTGACCTTGACAGGGTCACTGTAATGTGGGGGCCCTTTTGGCACACGCTGGGGCTTCTTCACTCGCACATCGTCTCCCTCCTGAAACTGAGATGCGTGTGCACCTCGTTTTGCATCTGTGTAACATTTCATTTTATGCTGGTGCTGTCTGACTGATGCATCAGTTTTCAGGTTGTTGATGTAGGGTGGGAGCACGTCCATGTAATAACTCAAACAGGGAAATCTCAGTTGCTGCATGTTGTGTAGCCCGATAGATGTGCAAGAATTCTGTAACAGCTGGTTTCCATGCATTATTTTACAGTATGGCCGTTTGAATGCATCCTCATAGCGCTCTGTGGAATTGTTCTATGGCCCTGTTTGCAGCTGAATAGAAAACTAATGAGCGGTGGTGCTTAATGTTGCGTTCCTCCAGAAACAATCTGAAGGCAGATGAAGAGGACTGGGATATCTGTCACAAGATTGAGTGGGTTTCCATGACAGCTGAAGACAGATATGAGGAAAGTTGTCACGGCACATAAGGAGTAAATGCTACTTATGGCCACTTGCTATAGTACAGTCAGACAGTGTGAGGGCATAGCTCAAATGGACCCACAATGTCCATTGCAAATTTCTGCCACTGGCCTTCTGGAAGAGGTACTGGCTGAAGAGGGGCAGGATGCCAGAGCAACAAGAGCAGCAGGTATAACTAGGCAGCTTCCTCTGAACACATAATCATCCTTCATTGAAGTTCAGTCCTAATGTTGTAGTATGGAAGCATATTAGTAGAGTAATATATAGATCTGGGTGTCTTTGGAGATGGTGGCCAGCCATGCAAAATCAGCAAGTCCAGGGAAGTCATCTCTGCGCATGCAGACAAAACAACTTCAAAATAAGTTAAGGGCAGCAGACAACAAAGCAACATACTCAGTCTCGGTGTCAGCAGATGGCTCAGAAGAGACAGGCAGAGGCAACCGAGACAAGCTATCAGCAGTTGCATTTTGTGAACCACATCACAGTTAAAACAACGAAGGCGTTCAGACCACCTTGCAATATGCATGCCAGCTTTGCCAAAGCCTTTGGTAGTCAACAAAGTAGTCAGTGCTTGGTGACCTGTACGTAATGTGAAGCGACAGTCCTAGAGGTAAGTGTGCCACTTTTCTACTGCACAAACACCTTCTCAACAACCGAGTACTTGTGCTTTGCACTCAGAGACATCAGAAGATATTACTGTGGGCAAGGCAGGATTAAAGAGGGCTAGCGCAGGACTGTCAGCAAGAAGTTTCTTTGCATCTGAAGATGCTGGAGCGTTTGTGATGTGTACTTCATCTTCCGTATGCCTTCTGCAGACACACTGTGTCGCAAAAACAAAAGGCTACTCTGATGAAATTGGCATCTGTCATAGTTCAGTACTAATCCTGCCTCGAATACAGCTTCCTTGTTATGCTCAGCTGGAGTAGAATCATATATGCTGCTGTTGTCTAGGTAATTCTGCAAATCTGATAAGCCCTGTAATGTGATTATCATCATTTTCTGAAGTGCAGAAGGGGCTGACGCTAAGCCACATGGCAGTATCTAAACAGTCCGTCACGTGTGATAAGCACTGCCAGGTCATGACTGTCTACATGTAGAGGCACCTGACCTGGCCAGGTCGATAGTAGAAAAGATGAGATGTGCCTCTGTGTGCTGAAAGAAGCTTGAAAAAAGAGGAAAGCAGTCAGTGATCACAGCCTTATTCAGTTCTCATGGATCCATGCACATCCAAACTCACCCACACTTCTTTTGAGTGACTACTATGGGGGACACTCAGCTGAATGCATCTATTTTCTCAATGACTCCACTAGCCAGTTGGTTTGAAACAGCACCTCTGATGGACAGGGGTAGCCAGCTTTTGTTGACAGTTTTTGAGACAGTTTCTGAAACTTGATCTACAAGTAAGTTGTTTTTGATACATTCAATGGGTGGTGAAATGACAGATACAGTACAGTCCTTGGAGATGAAGGCACTGAGGACAGTACAGTGCTCCCTATAATGTGCCAGCACAGACACGTCACTAGATCCACTGCCAGTAGTGCAGCTCTAGCATCAACAATAAAAGATTTAGCAGGTGTAGTGATGCTCTCTGTTGACATGCTCATTACACACAGCCAAGCACAGGGATGTGAGTCTTAGGATATGTCACAAGCCTGACGGTGGCAGGAGTTAGTGGAATGTTGCAAAAATGCTGCAGAAGGAACTGGGCAGGATAGAGACTGATAAGCCAGTATACACTACCTACTCAGCAGGCACAGCATGTGAGTCTGGTGTCTAAATTTTGAACAGTACGTGTCATTTTGTCAGCTCAACTAGGACGCATGAAGCCTTGGAGGCACAGCACTGTTAGCTCTCGTACTTCGACTTCTTTAACCGAGTGTGTCTGCGGTTGGGCAGACCTGAAAACACAAGCAGTGTCCCTTTTTTCCACTGCTTACAGATTGCCTTAGCAGCAGGTATTAGCCAAGTGACTTCCTGAGCCACAATAGAAGCATGAGTGGGCTTTAGGTTCGGTAGTTGTAGTCAGAGGAGCACTGGTTTTACTCCAGTTTTTCAAGGCGCAGGTCTTCACACGTACCACATGAACTTGGTCTGCAAAACGGATTTAGCATGCTCCATAGCATTCTCAATCTATGTGGCTATAGTAATGGCTCTATTCAGAGTAAGTTCTGGTTCGATTAACAGTCATTCATGGATCCTCTGACTGTACAATTTCCCAACAAGCTGATCCCTCAGCATTTCATCGGCTTTGTCTGCAAAATCACAGAGTTCAAAAAGAAATTCCAGAAGAGCTGCCACATATTGCAGTACGGTCACTTGCGACCCATGAGTGCACCTAAGGAAAGCATGTCTCTCCACTACATTAACTCTAACAATGAGGGAAAGAGTTTTCAGCCTTCCGTGACCAAACAGTGAAGAAGAACAGCTTGCTTTCAGGTGTTAGGCCAGTCATCCCCCGTAACATGTATAGCTAACAGGTAATTATCAAACTGTGCTGTACTTTGTTAGCTTCTGATGTGCTATGCAAAATAGGTGAACAAACAATTATCAACCTTCAGGCTAAAGACACAACCAATGAGCCAAAACATTATGCCTAATATGCTATTGGTCCTCCACGTGCCACCCACAGCTCCAAACCACTGAGGTATGAACTCTGCAAGATCTCCGAAAGTGCCCTGTGGTATATCATACCAAGACATTATCAGCAGATCTTTTAATTCCTGTAAGTTGTGAGGTGGAGCCTCAGATCAGACCATCCCACAGATATTCAATCAGCACATCCAGCACATCCCACAAATGCTCAATCAAATTGACATACACATGAATGCCAGACTCAGGGTTTCCCAGCAGAACACTGCCCAGAGCACCACACTCCCTCCACCAGCTTGTCTTCTTCTCACAGTGCATCCTGGTGCCATCACTTCCTCAGGTAAACAACCCACACATACATACCCAGCCATCCACATGATGTAAAAGAAAATGGAACTCATAAGATCAGGCAACCTTCTTCCATTGGTCCAAGGTCCAGCTCGCATTCAGTGGACCGAGGCCAGCATGGGCTCTGTAACCAGTCTGCAGATACGCAGCTCTGTGTGTTGTGACACATTCCTCCCGTAACCATCCTTAAAAATGTTTGTGACTTGTAATCAGATGTACATTAACCCTCTTAAGATGGGGTTTAAGTTGGGGTCTTTGGCTTCTTCTGAAATTTGAACTTATTTGCTGTTACTTTTTAATTAAGTAATAAAAAAAACTCTTTATTGCGTGTAAACTAACAATTAAAACATTTTGACAGGTAGTGTTGATCATATTAGTGGATTTCATTGCTGTATATGTGTGTTACCTGTAGCCCATTTGTCTACAAACGACCTGCGTGTTGGTGGCAGTCCAGCCATCATCACACACAGTGCCCCACTGGCCTCTGTAGTGAACTTCCAGCCGGCCCTCAAAACCACCAGCTCCACCCACCAACCGCACTGAACCATCTGAGACAGAGAGAGAAAGAGAGAGAGAAAGAGAGAGAGAGAGAAAGAGGGTGCTATTACAGAGTATCTAGCTAATATTCCTGAATGTAACAGTTAGGGGTAGCTCCCCTCCCTAACCATAATAGCCAGTTATCTAACCACACACCAAAATAGTGATTTTTGTGACATTTCAAACTTTATTTTAAAAATAACGACAGCACATTTCGGACTTTTAACTGACTTGGACTTTAGACTAAAATCCTTTTGTTTTAAATGACCGTACACCTTAATCATGTTATTTCATTCAAATAAATGAGTGAACATTCTATTTTGTCACTACTAAAACAATTATAATGCCACCAAAGGTTTCAGTAGTGACTGTTTCAGTCGTGACAATTTTAGCTAATTTTGGGCAGAACTCAAAAACAATAGCCAGCACATGACTATCAAACACAGCTTTGAACAGCTGTACACACAGAAAATCATTGTTTTTCAGTCAAACACGAAAAAGTTTATTTAACTGCAGAAAATATGTGTTTCAGAAGTGACAATTCTTAATGTTACACACTGATTTTCAGACACATTTAGTTTAAAACAGTGTGATCTAACTGCTCACCATGTGGCCATGAGGGACAGGGATGCAGTCTTACTTCCTGCTCTATAAGTAAAAAAAAAATAACTCTTTCATGGACTGAATATGGACTGAAACTCTTTGTGTTTCCGTCGTGACATGAAAACACTTTTTAATTTTTTTTTAATTTAAGAATTAAACTCATGATAAATCTAAATCCTTCAACTTCACTTTAAAAGAAATCAAAATAATCTTAAAAAACATTAAACATAACAAACAAATAAAAACATAAATATTATTTTTACAAGTGTAAATTTAGGGGTTAGGGTTTGGGACAGTCACCTCCAAATAGAAAGTGCCCTTATAAATAATGATTTTGTGTACATTTAGCTTATTTTTGAATAAATTGGGTATACTATTCCATATAAGCAGTACTTCTGCACCTTTAACATCCCTGATGTTGCATCAACTATCAGTTAAGGCACCTGTAGCTAACTAGGCTAAACTAATGGTTTAGAGGATGTGAGGAGTGTTACTGTACAGTGTAGGTGTGTTTTAGGACATTATGAAGTCTTCAGTCTGGTCCAGTTTTTGCAGATGTTCTGGAAGACTCTGGAAATATGTTGAGTTATGTTTTATGTGTGTATGGGAGTGAGTGGACTGTGTGTATGTACCTGTGAGGGGAATACAGGAGACTCCAGCGTCCTCTGTATGGTCACAGTTGTGTTCCCCCCAGGCTGATTTAGGACACTGCTCTATAGAGAGCTCATTTCCTGTACAGCTCACTTCATCCAGCAGCATACGACCAACACCAGAGCCAAAATACGCCCTCACCCACGCTCGAGCTGTACCACTGCAGACACAAACATATAGAAACACACAGAAACACATAGAGGCTAGGACTGTCAAGTGATTCAAAGAATCATGATTATTCACAATCTTGTCTTATTGTGTCTTATTTCCTCACATTTGAACCTAAAAAAGATTGTCTCCATGTAAAAAGCAGGACTGGACATAATGAGCTTCATCAGAATATATTTAATATCAGGGTTGGAATGTTATGCAATACATAACTATCAAAAATAAGAAGTATATATATATATATATATATATACACACATATTCAGCCCACGTTACCTTTTGAAAAGTCAGTATTCACGATACAGTTACTTCTTACATTTTTTTATATAAATACTTTTAGAATACATACCAACCAAATGAAAACAATTAGTGCTGTGAAACAACTAATCGCATTATTTTATATAGTTAATTGCAATTAATCGCATTTGTCTTATTTGCTCAAATGTGCAGTATTCACAATACAGTTGCTTCTCACATAGAATACTCACCCACTGAATAAAAAAATTAGGGCTGTGAAACAATCAAAATCACAATTATATGAATTCTTTTGTGTAGTTAATCACAGTTAATCGCATTTGTCTTGTTTACTTAAATACAACCCTAAAGAAAGGTTTAAAAATATATAGATAAAACAAAGATATAAAAGCAGTGCATTTTGTTACAGGTATCTAGGTGGACAAATTAAGCTTTATCAGAATGTATTTACACGTGTTTTGGGATGTGATGGAATATAAGGATTGAGAATGTGTATTCAGAATACAGAATTTAACTGTATTCATTTGAGTCTGTATTCACTGAGCCTGTATTTATTAATATGCTACATTTTGACAAGGCAGTATTCACAATACAGTTTTTACATTTTAAGAACTATACTTACACCAACTAAATAAAAAAAAAAACTAGGGCTTTCAAACCAATAAAATAATTAATCATGATCAATCACATATTTTGTGTCGTTAATCGCAATTAATCGCATTAGTGTAATTTGCTCAAATGTGAGCCTGAAGAAAGTTTTTTTTATTTAAAAGGCAGCGCATTTTGTTTTAATATATGAGTCGTCATTAAAATGTATATTTTAGAAAGGATGAGATGTAACGGTATACAAGTATTGAGAATACATATTCAGAATACAGAAATGAAGTATCTGTATTCTTTCTATGTTACCTTTCGTAAAGGCAGTATTCACAATAGTTACTTTGTACATTTTTAGAAGAATATTTTTAGAATACTTTTTGAATGAAAAAACTAGGACTGTCAAAGAAATTGAAATAATTAAAACAATTAATCGCAACTAATCACATTGTTTTGTGTAGTTAATTCATCATTTTTCCTCAAATTTGACCCCAAAGAAAGATTTTCTCCATGTAATAAGCAGTGTGTTTTGTTTTAATTGAATGACTGGAAGAAATAAACTTCAGCAGAATGCATTTAATACCAGGGTTGGAACTGTTCGTAATACGTAAGTATTAAGAGTAAGAAGTATCTGTATTCAGTCCACATTACAAATAAAAAAAGCAACATTCAGAATGTATATACGTTTTAATTTTCAGGAGGAAACTTCTAGAGAACATATGCCAACTGAATAAAAAAAATACGGCTGTCTTACAGTTAATAAGTATCGCAAATGCGTATTAAGAATACAGAAATTAAATCTGTATTCATTACTATGCTACATTTTAAAAAAGCAGTATTCACAATACAGTTATTTTTAAAACATTACTTTAAGAATACACACTCCTTAAACTACAAAAAAAAACAATTAGGACTGTCAAAGGATTAAAATAATTAACTGCGATAAATCATATTCTTTGTGTTGTTTATCACAATTAATCACGTTTCTCTTATTTGCTCGAATTTGACCCCTAAATAAGTTTTTTTTCCAATGTAAAAAGTAGTGCGTTTTATTGTAGCTATATTCAATTGCAGATTCACTGCAACAGCACATGAGCAGCTGGGTGGGCTTCAGGCTGGAAACTAAATATGGTGCAAAGGGTCAAAGTGGGAAAATTAACTAGCACTAACATGAAAAAATGAGCGCCGTTAATAAATTCTGACTGTTTTAGTTTTGACACCATTAATATAAACACATGGATAGATACACAAACAGAGGAACAAGTACAGATATACAGGTATAGAAGTTCTGGTGGTCTACCAGGACTTTCAGGTGGTTGTTAGGACTCTCATTTTCCTTACGCATGTGAATTTTATTACATCTGATCCCCTCAGAAAAATCTCCTGGAAATGAATAACTTGTACTTAATGGCTGTTTTAACTGGAAATCAAATAAACCCACAGAGAGACAGAGAGAGGAGAGAGAGGAGAGAGAGAGAGAGAGAGATAGAGTGCTGAGTGTTTAATTCACAGACACGCACTCTGAGCTGAACACATTCACCATCAGAGAGACACAGCAGCTGTGCTACAGATGATGTAGTTAAAGAGCCGATGCTAATGAAGCTCAGCGCCGTCTGAACACACTGTAACTCTTATAAACAGCTCAGACGTTCAATCAGCCTGAACTCCTGTTTCCTCTGTGCTGATGATCACCTGCAGCTCAGGCTGCGCTCTGTTCTCTTCACACACCTGCAGAGCTGCCTGTGGAGCACGTCTTTAACACATTACACTCATCAGTCACAATCAGACTCAACCACTACAGAGCTCTCGCCCTCTCTCTCTCTCTCTCTCTCTCTATCTCTATTCACCCAGCCTCTACGCTCTCCCCCCCTCTCTCTCTCTCTGAACTGCACCCTCTTTACTCACCCAGCCTCCACCCTTTCTCTCTCTCACCCTGTTTTTCTCTTCTTCTCCTCTCTTTTTCTATTCCCTGTTCACTGTTATTCTTGCTCTTTCTCTTTTTCTCTTTTGCTTTTTCTCTCTTACTTTTTCTCCTTCTCTTTTTCTTTTCCCTTTCTGTCTGTCTTTTTCTCCCTTTTCTCTCTTTTCCTGTCTCTTTTTGTACTTCTCTTTTTTCACTACCCCTTTCACTCCCTCTTGCTCTTTTTCTACCTCTCTCTCATCTTTCCCCCTTTCTCTATCGGCTTCTTTCACTCCCCTTTCTCTGTTTTTCTCTCCTTTCCTCTCCCCTTTCTCTCTCTCCCTTTCTCTCCCCTTTTTTTTCTCTTTTCCTCTCCCCCTTTCTCTCTCTCCACTCGCTCTTGCTCTTTTTCTAACCCTTTTTTCTGTCCCCCTTATCTCCCCTTTCTCTTTTTCTCTCCCCCTTTCACTCTCTCTTGCTTTATCTCCCTTTCTTTCTCTCCCTGTCTTCCATTTTCTCTCTCTCTCTTTTTCTACTTTCCTTTTTCTTTCCCATTTCTCTTTCTCTGTCCTTTTTTCTCCCTTTCATTCTTTCACTCTTTTTCCTTCCTTTCTCTTTCTTTCCCCATCTCTCTCTTGCTTTTTCTTTATCTTTCTGTTGTTCTCTCCCTTCTCTCTCTTGCTTTCTCCCTCTTTCTCTTTTTCTTTCCCCCTTCTACTCACTCTTGCTTTCTCTCCTTTTCTCTCCCCTTTTCTCTTTCTCCCTCTTTTTCTCCCTTTTTCCTTTCCCTTTCTCTTTTTCTGTCCTTTTCTCTTCTTTTTTTTCTCTGAATTCCAACCTCTCCTTTCCTCTCACTCTCTTTCTTTCTCTATTTACCTCTCACTTTCTTTCTCTCTCACTCACCGTTTTTTCTTCTCTCTCTTTTCTTCTCCCTCACTTGCTCTTTCTCTCTCTCCTTCTCACTTGCTCTCTTTCTCTCTCTCTCTCCCTCTCACTTTCTTTCTTTCCCTCTCTCTCTCTCTCTCTCTCTCCCCTCCTCCCTCTCTCTTATTGTCTTACTGAGATACAGACTAGGTTTGTCTTTGTGGAGCTTTCCATAAAAATAGTTCACATTTTTATGCACAATTGACAACCTCTCTCTCTCTCTCTCTCTCTCTCTCTCTCTCTCTCTCTCTCTCTCTCTCACATATTTTCCAGTGTTAGTGAAAGCCCTCGCTTCCTGATAAATGAAGAGTTTGTTCTAAAGAAAGCAGGTCAGGCCTGACTAACTAACTGCCTGTGTGTGTGTGTGTGTGTGCGTATTACCCAAGTCCCAGCTGTCTGCAGACCACCTCTGCGTCGTTATCATCCCACTGGTCATCGCATACCGTGCCCCACTGCCCTGCGTGATACACTTCCACACGGCCTTCATACACAGACGTTCCGCCAGAGAGACGCACCGGAACAAACACTGCAGCTACACACACACAGACACACACACACACACACACACACATAAATACAACACATATAATAAAGCATGTGCGCACACCTTGATTCCTGCATTAGGGTCAGAAATTCAGCATCCTACAAGGTTTGTGTATTTATTCGTGTTTATGTGTTTAGTAAAAGTTATTAACTTTTTCAGGAAATGTTTCTGAAGATATTAGATAGAAAGTCCACTTGCATAAGGGAGGAAAAATTTAAAGGAAAAAAGTGAAAAAACAGTTTCCAGAACAACCACCAGAACAGACTCCTAACAACCACCTGCAAGACCTGATAGTCCACCAAAACTGTCCCCATCAGATAAACAGCACTAAAGCTTTCATCTCTGAGACAGGAAAAAATCAAGCTCCACTCTTGATTCAGATCTGAAAACATCCACAAGTGTTTCTGTCCATCCTTCCACTGTGAGAAGACAACACTATGAGTCTGAATGAATGTGTAGCTGTCAAGAAGACATTACTGAGAAAAGGAAATAGACAAAAAGAAGACCATTTGCAAACCAAAGAAGCTGCTGTGTTCTCTAAACAATGGACTGACCAGCCCAGAGTCCAGACCTCAACATCACTGATTGTGTTTGAGATTTAATTTTTAAATTGTGAGAAGCAGAAAATACATCCAACTTCTATGACTGAACTTTGAAGGTGTAGAAAAATATCCCCGCAGATTGCTTTGAAAAACTGAAAGCAAGTCTCCAAAAAAGAACGGAAGCTGTGATAAATGTAAGGAGTGAACACACTAAATACTAAAAAATTTGATAATATATTTAGTTGTTGAGGCTTCTGTGTAATTTTCTGTTATACACGTTTTCCGTTTTTTTCCTGATGCTGAAAAATGAATGACTTTAATGACTATTTTGACAGAAAGTTCTATGTTCCTCTGTGTGTGTTTGTGTGTTTGTCTGTACCCTCCACTGGTGTGCAGGTGACTGCAGCAGCCTGTCTGTTAGCACACTCTCCTCCATTCCAAACAGAGCGAGAGCACTGCAGCAAGTCCCCTTCATCTCCCCTGCACCCTACTGTCCTCCAGTGCACCACAGACACAGGCAGCCTCACGAGAGAGCTGACACGCGCACGGGCCTTATAACTGAGAGAGAGAGAGAGAGCAAGAGAGACACAGAGAGAGAGAGAGAGAGAGAGAAAAAATGGGAAAATGGAGAAATGCACGTTTACTTTCAGCATCCACTTTAGAAACTCCTGGCTTAAAGCTCAGGAGTAACACACTGTAACACACAATACAGTTTACATGTTACTTTTTAAAAACTAAGCTGTAAAAACAGTTTTCAATTCACTGTTTTTGTGATGTCACAGAAAACAACCCATTCACATGCAGTCGTACGCAAACGTTTGGGCACCCCGGGCCAAATTACAGCTTTTGTTGACTCTGGGTGAAAATCAGTACATTAATAAATAAATACATGTTGATGTATTTAACGTTTTTTCTCTCATGCATTTACAACATTTGTCTGGTCCTAATTTTACGCATCTGTTTATCCCTTAAAATTAAATAGACTGTATTTGTGCTTTTAGGACTGATATATGTATGTATATAAGATTTATATATATATCAGTCCTAAAAGCACAAATAGCAGTTTGTTTCATTGTAAGGGATAAAGAGAGGTTTAAAATGTACGTATAAGATAAATGATGATGATTTATCTTATCACTATCCCTATTAATGGCTTGTGTTTAAATAGGTCATAGCATAATCACTGTAAATATCTAAGGCCTGAATATTTGATTTTTTTTAAACTAGTTTTTTACTGTGGGACTGAAGTGTGAACTAATTCAGTAGAATGGTCCACTATATCTTGATATGAGTGTGTGTGTGTGTGTTTGTGTGTGTGTGTGTGTGTGTGTGTATATAATACACACACACACACACACTCACCCAAATTGTCATTATACCATGATACATTTTTGGCCATACCTCCCACTACTACGACATTCGTCATCTCACCATACGGTTACCTTCATATGAGCATAAAGCACAGAATACACATCAAAGCTTTAATGATGTAAGGCTGAGAGCTTGCGACGGCTCCCAGTTTCTGATTTTCATTCATAATTAATGAATCCAATACTTCTGACTGAAAGCGCTTTGTGAATTATTTACAAAGGACAAATGCTTGCTGCCCTGTTGAGGTCAAAAAGTGAAAGCATCTGTGCGCCTGTGTCTGTTTTTAACTCATAACTGTCAGTCTTGCGTGAGGCGATGCCATCATCCTGAGCTGAGCACGCTCATAAATGACCTCAGGGGTCAACGCGCTTCCAATACGAAAATGATAGGTGTCAGCTGTGGGTGTTTATGCGTGCACCGCAGCAAGTCGGACATCTCACTAATCATACACTTGAGAGGTGGGAGGCTGATCTTTAACCTTTCAAGAGATAGGATGACGTGATCGGGTCAAACACCGGAGCAATCTGACACACGAGCCCACAAAGGTTGTTTTATGGTTTGGTGGAAAGCGCATGGAGAGCTCACGGCCGACACGGTCAGAGGCTACATTTCCAACAGCCGAGCCAAAGACACAGTACCGTACAAAACTCAGAGACCACCCTTCATTCATTTCAGTTACAGTCAAAACAGCCTTAAAGTTCAAGCCATTCATTTTGTGGCATCAGGAAAAAAAGCAGAAAACATATTGAACAGAAAACTAAACAGATTATCAGTTGTTCAATATTTAGCGTGTCCACTCTTTGCTTTTATTACAGCTTCAATTCTTTTCAGGAGATGTACTTTCACTTTTTCAAAGAAATCTGCAGGGGTGTTTTTCTACACCTCCAAAGTTCAGTCTTAGAAGTTGGTTGAATTTTGTGCTTCTTGTAAGCAAGTAATCAAACACATTCAGTGATGTTGAGGTCTGGACAGTCCACTGTTCTGAGAACAACAGCAGCTTCTTTGTTTCATTTGCAAATTTTTCTTTTCTCACTAAGGGCTTCACATCCTTTCAGACTCATAGCACTGAGTTGTCTTCTCACAGTGGAAAGATGGACAGAAACACCTGTGCATTTTTTCAGATCTGAAGCAAGAGTGGAGCTTCATTTTCTCCTCTCTCTCTCAAAGATTAAATACTGGTTATTTGTTTGGGATGGTCTTGGTGGTGGTCTTAGTTTTGGTGGTCTACCAGGTCTTGCACAGTTCTTGCGAGTTCCATTTTCTCTGTATCTTTAATCATTTTTTGCACTGCAGTTTTTGAAATTACTGTTTTTGACTTATTTTCCTTTGACTTTCCTCTACCTAACGCAAGTGGACTATCTTTTATCTAATCACTTCAGAAATATCTTCTGAGAAATAAATGAATTTGTATTTAATGGCTGTTTTAACTGTGAATGAAATACAAGAGGGTGGTCTCTGACTTTTGCACAGTACTGTACATCCCTCATCTTACAAAGGAAAGATGTAAAAATGCACTGTGACGTTTGAGTCTGTAGACAGAGGTTCAAATTCACCAATCTTGAAATGTTATACTAATTTATAATCTATTATAATAGTGTTCAATAACTGACCAACTTATTTTTTGGCTAAATAACATTCTCAGGCTAATCTCAATTGCCAAAAATAAGCGTTAAACTAAGAGCCATATTTATAAAGGAGTAAAGAAGTGCAAGAAAAGAGACTTATTCCCAGCTCTGGTAAATACTAATTATTTATAGCAAATAAAGAAAAATGGCTATTCTTCAGCATCTAAGACACACACACACACACACACACACACACACACACACACACACACACACACACACACACTTTCAAAGTTGCTTATCCTTCTGGGTCATGGGGGTGCTTGGGCAGAAGGCAGGAAACACCCCGGATAGGTTGCCAGTCCATTGCAGGGCAGATACACAGACATTCACGTTCACACACACAATCACACCTAGGGACAATCTAGCATGTCCAGTTGGGCTGACTGCATGTCTTTGGACTGCGGGAGGAAACCGAAGCACCTGGAGGAAACCCCTGCAGACAGGGAGAACATGCAAACTCAACCCCTATATATATATATATATATATATATATATATATATATATATATATATATATATATATATGTGTGGAAATTTATGTAAATATGTCTTCCTTCTAGAGACGATGTCTTCAGTAAGGGCTTGTGTGTTCATGTTCTTACCCTTGTCCAAGCTGTCGACACACCACAGCGGCGTCTCTATCATCCCAGTCGTTGCTACAGATCGTCCCCCACACGCCATTCAAATACACCTCAACTGTTCCATCAAGCTTAGACCTTCCGCCCTGCAGTCGCACCGAGCCTGCGCACACACACACACACACACACAAAGTTAGCATTACCATACCACTCTACTGTCCCCTGAAGTACAGGCCACAGAGCTCAGGACTCGCTTATACGCACTAATTTTCTTGTGAAAATACTATAAAAATTAATGTGGTGTTTTTTGAAGAAAAATGTGTGTAAATAAACAATACATATCCTGCTGTTGTTAATTTACAGAAACAGAATATAAATTCACAAAAACATATGATCACCTTTGTTTAACAGACATTTGTGTTTCCTGTAATGGCGGTTACTGTTATCATTACGGTAAAACTAGTTGAACTGGCGAAACAGTTGAATTACAGTAAAAGGCAGTATTTCTTGGAAATTAAATGACTGTAATTTTACATATTTTACCATCACTGAGAAAACATACTTTTAGTCTTAATTAACAGGTTTTGTCTGCCAGCCCTGCTGCTGGACTTACCTTTACCTTCCTTAAAGTGGATTATCTCAGATAAGGTTACAGTTTATGGATTATCTCAGATATCTCAGTTACAGTGCTTTGCTTTATCACTAAATGCTTGAAAATGTAAAACTGGGATGAAGTGGTATTTTACACAACAGTAACAGAATTTATTTGCAATATACTTTTGCGGAATTGCTGATTGTCCCTGGCCGAGAACAGCATCCACCCTCCTCTGATCAACTGTAAGTTCCTCATGTTACTGCTGCTCCTGCAGTAACACATTTCAGGAAAGCTTAACAAGCAAGAGAATAGATCCACTGTGACCTTTCCAACAACCCAACACATCCCTCACATTAACCATGGTGTAACTGCTACCGATGTATTGCTGATCCATGTTTTTTTATTCATTCATCTAATTCCATAGCTTTTCCAAACACAGCTATAGACTCAGGGCTTAATCTGTGCCGGAACATGTCGGATCCTGATGCGGCCACTTCCAGATTGGATTCAGCACCTATTTTAAATAGCCAGGGCCCACCAGCAGGCCCAAATTTTTATTACACACTTCTATAACCTAAGTATAGCTCAGCCAGTTTGCAGTCCTTACTGAATAATAAGCCTTACTATGTAATAAGCCTGGGATTTTAAGGACTTAAGCTAACGAGGCACCTTGTTCACATATTAAACATATTCACAAGACAATCTGTAGAGATCAGGCCCAGATCATCCCTTTGGTTTTATGGTTTTACATGCCCAGAGGCCCAATCCATTAGGGGGCCCCAGCGAGCAATTATAACACAATTAAAACAGCCGTTTTGACTCTTAGGAGCTTAACAAGTGGCACAGCGAAAAAAGAACTAATTTCAACCTTATGGTCGATCACACTTTTGACACTGTCCACATCTTTCCTAAACGTCCACTTCATTTTCTCCTCCATTTTCAAAGGCAAACAGCCCGAGCTAAGAAAAGTTTCTGCGTTCTACTTCAAAGGTGAGATGTAAGTTAAGAAAATTCCACTCCTGCAGAGGCAGTACGCTTTAGCTTAGGATGCTTGACAGTTTTTTTTACGTTTGCTGGTGTTTGTTTTCTTTGTCTTTATTAAGTAAATCTCTCAGCTGCCCGATTTCAGTCGATGCTTGTGAAGAGTTTATATATATATATATATATATATTCCTTATATAAAAGGAAGTGTTCTCGTTAGTGTGATCATAACCTTGTTTTGGATTTGTTTTTACCACAATAGAATATTAGAATATCGCTGCTGCCTGAACAAAATCTCATATGTCCATTTTTGTCGTTTTTCAGCTTTTGACATAATTTGAAAGTACAAAAGTAGGACAACTCCTATACATTGTGTGAATTTCATGATGAATGGACAAAAAGAAATGACCCAAAATGACTTGGAAAAACATTCTGGTTCCATTGACTTACATTAAAAGTAGAGTATGTTTTTTCCTTCTCTTGTAAAGTTACCATTTTAGAGATACAAGGTGATGTCTGCACTGCTGTCAGCAATAAGTTGTAACCTCACATCATGCCATAGCAGTAAAATGCATTGCTTATCAATATGCTACTGTCTTTATGCAAACAATGCACATCAAAATAGTAACCCGCTTTCTAAACAATAACAAATAAATGACGAATAATTTAATTTAATTTAATTAACCTATCATAAATAACAAGAATATTTAATTCAAGAGCTTTGTTTCTGGGTCGGAACAAAAACACTCAACACTCTTTTATAAATAAACAAATAAATAAGTAAATATATAAATAAATAGCAATAAAAAAAACATATGTGTCTATAGCACTGATGTGCCCAGCACCGCAGTGAGTATGCTGCCATTGTGGTGTTGCACAGCCCCCTTATGTGCCCTGCTATGACATCATAAAAAATTCCCTGACCAACAAAAAAGGTAGCCAGTTAAGTGCCCAAAACATTTGCTCCCAAGGACCTATAACTTGATCAGGTGGGCCTGGAAGACATGTATCAAGAAAGATCATAATATTTTAATTCGATACATATAAAACGTGAAAAGATGAACTAAGCTGTTTTTGTCATCTTTTGACTTTGAAACAAATAGGAGAATGTTACAAATGCAGACTCAAACCTGTTGATACAATGAATAAATTGAATGCAAATGTATATAATTATATAACTACATTGACATTACATTGAAATAGTATAACAAAACAACAATCACCTCTTATAAGGGTTGATCACACTGACTAAAATTCTAGGAGACCGCGGTTAGAATAGTCAGGTGGCTTTGTTTTCTTTTAAGTCTCTTAGCATCTCAGTGTTGTTCTCTTCCCCTCTCGCCGTGACAATATGATAACAGTTTATCAGCTCTGTGGAAGCAAGTGGAACCACTCACACTCTCAAATATTTGCTTTTATCTCCCATCTGCTTCACGAAGGTCAGCAACTCTCTCCCACATCTCATACACGTTTAATGTTTGTGTGTACTTGTACTGTTGTACTTTTGAGGTTCAAATATCTGTAGAAGTACAGATATATATGAAGGTCTGGTCTTTTACATGCAATTTTTATTGAAGTTTTCTTTTGCCAAACTATCCCTTTAGGCCTATCACAATTATTTATCTGATTGCATTTATTTGAGGTAACTGCAAACTGACTGTTAAAATGTGTCTTTATCTGTTGGGTTGCGACTAATGCGTGTATGAAGTTTATAAATACATACAATATATGCATTGAAAAGTTGGAAGTTGGAATAATTTAACTTGGAAAGTTGGAATACATTGTACAATTTTTGTTTTGTTTTTTTTATGGATTTTTTTATATAATTTGAAAATGCCAGCTGCCCACAGTATCATCATTTCATGATGAATGGACCAACAGAAGTGGTCTAAAATGACTTGTTATACATTTTTTTACATTAACTTACGCTGAGAGTTAGGAATGTTTTTGCCCTCTTCTTTAAAGTTACTCTTTATGGAGACAGGAGGTTTGTTCCAACACTGACTGTATAGTTTTGGCTCTTAAAAAGAAAAGATAAATATCTTCGCACATGTGCACGCGTGTGTGTTTATGCATGTGCATGCACACTCAGTCAGTGTACATGTGTGGCCCGGCTGTTGCGCTCACTAGAGCTATAAATCATGGGCAAACACACACAAAGACCTCCCATTAGTGCTGTACACTTGTCCACAGTAGAAAAACTGTGGAAATTCGCCCAGAATCTTGGCGCTCAGCCAGAACCTTACCTACGACTGAAAACTGTCACATCAGCATAATTATATTCACATTTTTGAGTTGGTTTGACAACTGAAGGACAGTTTTCCTACAGCGTCCGTTCAAACACAATTTTCTCCACATTGGAAATGAATGGCAAAATTTGAGAAAATTTAAACTGCCACAAATAATGACACAAAGGATGTCTCTCACGATGACCCTCAGAGCCACTGCATACAGACTCACATACGTACCATCACACACACACACACACACACACACACATTATATATATATATATATATAATATATATATGTACACATATTAGTAACCATCTGGGATAAGATTATGTATTAGAATGCATCTTACTATTTATGTCTAGTTACTACCATTTCATAGCCGTGTATCTGCCACTCCAGACTAAGTGAAAAACTGCAGCTAAGTGACAGTAACTGTCTAGCATTAAAACTGATTTCCCACTGAACATAAACTAAACAATACACAAAGCACTGGCTACCCATATCCTGTTCAACCTGCCAAAATAATGAAAATGGTTTCTGTCAACAGTTGTGCGAGACTATAAAACTTGCTGTAGCTCACTTTGGGGTTACTTTTCCCAATTCATTTTACATTGTCTTTCCAGTAAAAACTGTTCTGCTGATGGTCAAAGGGCTGAAATATTCTTCACAAACAATCCAAAACATCTCAGTAAAATTAGTAGGCATATGAGTTACTGTCTGAAGTTTAAAGAATTTATCCTGACACCTAATGTGATATAGCTTATTTAATAAAACTACTCTTATAGTATTACAAATGTGATGTTTGGACATGAAAACTTACAGGCAAAATGCAAACAAATGTTCAGATATTCTTTCCCTTTTTACAGATCCTTACAGTCGTATGCAAAGGTTTGAACACTCCCAGTCAAATAGGACAGTTTTTTTTGCAGTCAGACATGCAGTTGAAAATGTACTGACGATATCCATGATATGCTCAGAAAAGCATACTGTGACATATTGTGATGTAATATATCACAACAACGATAAATATGGTCATATTGTCCAGCTCTATTTTGAATAAACGTTTGTGGAACACTGTTAAGAAGGTAAAATCATTGTGAAAGAGAATTGAACCGAATAGTCTTTGAATTTTAAAGATCAGAGAAAACATTATAGAAATGCTCCATATGTTTTTTGTGAAAATGGCATTAAAATGAATGTTTTATGATACATAATAGCATGAATGAGATTTGAATGGACATGTCACTGATGTAGACCTGTTGGTCATTTTTTTTAAATATATCACTGAGACTTTATGGATGTGATTACTGCTTTATCACAGTTTCAGATGAGCTTTTCTTGTGAAAAGCTTCTAGAGTAGTCCAGTGATGGAGAATCATTGTCTTGGAAGAGCATTTATTCTACCAGTTTTATTATATAGAATTATTATAGAATCTAAAGATCAAACAGCATTTTCAAGTTGCTGGGAGTTGCACAATTTGAAAAATCAAATTCAACGCTTTTTAATGCTGTTTTAAAGCCTCAGCATAAGAAAAAGAATATCATTTCCACTGCATAACAACACACACACTCAAATATGCCACATATTAATGTCCGTATTATTGAAATCAACTGGGTGTAACTTGTCAAAGCATGGATGTACACTTTCTCACTTTTCTCAGTAAGTTTACCTGTATAGTTGGGGGTGGATGAGGTTCTGAATGAGTTTAATGTATAAAATGATCTGTTCTTTAAGCATCATTCATAATTTAAATAGAGACGTTCCAAACTGCCCTTCATCATGATCAACCAGTCGCTACTCAAACTAGAATAGCCACTCGCTATATAGATATCCATGTTTATACGAAAGACAGCTATTTCAAACACAGCAGAAGCGCAGGCACTGCAGATATTGCAAGTTTTCATTTCCAACTTAAAGTGCAATTCCACCCATTTTTCAAATTTTCTGCCTAATTCAATGAGTAAGACATAAACAGAGTCATTCAGAGTGGTTCGGTGTAAAATGCTCCGCTCTAGAGAAACTCACAGTCAGAACTGTTTGCAGTGGTGGTGATAGGAACCAGATGTCTGAAACATTTAATGCCTTTAAAAGCTACAACACAAAGTTAATACAAGAAGTGGTTATGCATGCACTGCCTGATGTCTGAGACATTGTTTTACAATACGTATGAGAGACATTTTGGACCTAAAACATATTTTTAAAAAAGCCATTCTAGGAACGCAGCATGTTGGGAATACAATATTTACCATTATCAACATCACATATGTTTTAAATAGTAAATAAAATTGCTGTATTTGCATTGTAGACATTGTGACCACTGGTTCCTATCACCACCACTGTATAGAAATATGAGACTGTATTTTTTTGTAATGCACTGATTCACATGAAACCACTATGAATGACTGTTTCCCAATGACTAAATTATGCAGAAATGTAAAAAGTTGTGGAATTGCCCTTTAAGAAGGCTAAAGAAAGCTTTTTTCCAAGTTAACCTCAAGAAAGTTTCTGGAAAATGTAGGTAAACATCATTTTAACTGTTCCAGATGCAGTTAATTAGCTAATTAGCCTACATTCCTACATTAACATCCATGCAATGACCTTCTTTAATTGTTAAGAGTTCAGATGTGATGCTGTTTTAAAGCCCACTTTCAATAAGAAGGACAGTAAAGGTGAATCTAACTATTATCACTAGCTTCACTAGTGTTTGTTGCCAAATATGCAGGTGTGCTGCTCGGAGGGCATTTTTTCCGGGTGAGCCTGTCTGAACTCGCCCTGCATGCCTTCTCCAGTCCTAACAGGCTTCACCTCTAGTGTCCTCGCCCAAAAATGAAGAGTGTGTGACCACCAAAAGATCAGCCTTTTTTAGTGGAAACACTGAAGCACCAAAAGGGGGCAACATTTCGTTGACACTGAAAGGCCAGTTGTCTCACGGGGTGGGCGCTGTTGATCCGGGGTAACTTCACAAAGCAAGATGTTCTCAGTAAAAGCGCATCATTTGAAGCCCAGTATGAGGACTGAGCAATAGAACGTTCTCTTATCTCTTATCTCTTCTCCTATTAGACAGATCTGACTTTGAGCCTAAGCCATCAGGCTAATTAAGAAATCCAGCCAGATGATTTAAAGGGCAATTTCACTCATTTAAAAAATATTGGTGTTGATCGTTGAGATGTATTGAGTGGTTTGATTCATGAGAATCCAAATTCTTGAGGCCCTTCTTGTGAAAGTTACAGAGATAGATGCTCACTGTGGTGGTGATAGGAACCAGACATCTGAAGCATTTAATGCCTCTAAAATCTCCCTCGAAGGAAACCATTACAGTAAATGGTTATGGCTTTTTAAACACAAAGATTTTTTCCAGCTTCCCCGAATCTTTTGATGATAATGTGCACTGTAGAGGGTGAAACACCTAAAATCCTTGCAATCTCTGGCTGAGGGACATTTTTAAACTGTTGGACTTTTCCTTGTGCATTACATCACCAGCGTGATTATGGTCTCAACAAGTCTTTGCCCTTTAATAGAACTTTTGAAATTCATTTTTGGTGGAGAGGTTCGTGCTGGGCCTTCTAAGGCAGAATAGTCCCCAAAGAAAACTTTATTTTTTCAGCTTTGCCACTATTCTGTCACTATCAACAACACACACAAAACTCAGAAGACACATGTAGGTTTAATGGTGGTTTTGGATAGTAAATAAAATGGCTATATTTGTATTGCAATCATCACGACCCCTGGTTCCCATCACCACCACTGTGAAGAAATCTGAGTCTGTAAGTTTCTCTACAAATAAACCATTTCATGTCAAAACACTCTGAATGACTTATTTACATCTCAAGGACTGAATTATGAAGAATTTTTTTAAAGATCGGTGAAATTCCACTTTAAGCCAACACTCAATGATTAGCCAATAGGAGAAGAGCTAATACACATTCCTAACAGATAATTCTCACTTTCAAGCTTCCTCAGATTTTTCAACATTTCTGAAAAATGTAATGGTTTAGAGGTAAACAAGGTCATTCAGAGTGGTTTGATGTGAAATGGTTAATTGTAGAGAAACTGACTGACTCCGATTTCTTTACAGTGGTGTGTGTTCTTTATTTATACAGAAACAAGTTAGCCCATTGAGGCCTAGGTCTCATATGCAATGGGGCTCTGTAAAACATACATAAAAATACATATAAAAATGTCTAAATGATTAAAACAATTAGAACAAACTTAAAAAAAAAATTAAACAAGTCAAAGTTTACATTAAATTATGCCTACAACTCACATCAACCAAAGTGTTTAAAATTACCTTCAATTGATTAAGAGGTGAGAGTTGCTGTATTTTAGCACTCAGCTGAAAGTTGTTCTACACTAAAAGGGCAATGAAAATTCTGTAGATGAAAATGCTACATTCAACACCAGCCAGTCATTATTTCTAATACATCTTTCACTTATTCTAAATATATATAGGATGGAAATATAGGGTGGCGGTTTTTTCACCAATACTGATAAAATTGTTGCTTGAACAACTTTCTTTCTACTTTCAACAGACAGACAAGCTCTATGTCTACATAAAAATCAAATAATTTAATTCTTACTTTCTTTATTATTTATTATATTTGTTAATGTGTGCCCTAAAAGATAGCTTGTCATCAATCCAAATTCCCAAATGCTTGTAGCTCAGAACACTGTCAATAACTGTACCATTAAAATTGTTTACTGGAGAACAACATACACTTTGTCTTCCCTTCATTCAGCACTACCTTCAAACTATGTAAAGGCTTCTGCAACAAATTAAAATCTTTCTGCAAATATTCAACTGCTAATGTTACAGAGGAGACATAAGAACACATGACAGTATCATCTGCACAAAAATTCTACAATTTTCAATGTGTTTTCCAACTTCATTAATATATAATGTAAAAAGCACTGGCCCAAGGATAGAACCTTGTGGAACCCCAAAAGCAACTGAATTCTATTAATAAGATAATTCTGGAACCAACTGAGCGGCTGCTGACCAAAGCCAACAGAAAGCCAATAAAAATATGGTTCTATTTACAACCTTTCTGGAAATGGTTCTATATAGTACCAAAATAAATTATGTTTTGTTACAAGCTTGACTTCATAACGACAGAAAAACCCTTCGGTGCTATGTACATCACATTTTCCATCAATTTGAAGAACAATTTTATCATGCAAAGAACTGTTTAAGCATGAAATGGTTCTATACAGACCTCATGGTTCTAAACAGAATTATCCCCTTTACTAAAGAGCTCTTAAAGAACCATTTTATTAAGAGTGTACCTCTCCACCATAAATGTGCTTCAAAAACACATTTCATGCTAAAGGTGGGCGATATGGCAAAAATCTAATATTGTGATACAACATAATATTAATTTTTTTAGACATCTAATCAGTCGGAACTGAGAAAAACAACCAGTGGTGCTACATTTTTAAAAATACTATCAAAAACTGTGAACACAATGATTTTTATTCAATATACTGCACACTGTAATCTAGTTGAACAGAACTAATTTTGCTGTCTTTATCATAAAACAGGCAGTCAGTCAGTGTCACTGAAGTACTAACAATATCTACGATATGTTCAGAAAAGCATGTTTTATTGTGACATGATTTATCACAATAATATTGTCATATTGCTCAGTTATATTTCAGGCCAAAGTTTCATCTGAGTACTTCTAAAACAGTGTGTATTAAAATCAGTCAGTGTATTCATAACCTTTTCAAGCAGTAACTTTCCGTGAGGGGGCTTTTAAAGGTGGAGGTCTGGTTCCTATGACCAGCACTGTGAACAGATTTCACACCAGACCACTCTGAATGGCTTGGTTTACATCTGAACAGTTTAATTATGCAGACATTTTGAAAGACTGGTGGAGTTGCCCTTTAAGCCAATTAGTTGTACGGAGTTGAGATAATCTCCCTGTATGTAATCCCCCCGGGGCTGAGGGGTCTCTTTCTGCTCTACCTTGTTTGCAGTCGCAGTAGCCCCAGTCGATGCGTCCCCGTCCGTTCCTGAAGAAGCACCACGGCCGTATCCTGCCGTCCGGGTTCCGGCAGTAGTTGTGCTCTCCGAGCCCTCTGCCCGGATAGCGCGCGGACACGCCGGACACCTCGGTCCAGTTCATGCACCTCGCGCCAGACTCGGTAACGTCGATGGAGCCCCGGTAGTGTCCGGCCCTCCCTCTGCTGTGAGCGCAGTCCGCGAACGGGGGCACGAAGGAGGAGGAGGAGGAGGAGGAGGAGGAAGAGCCGTCACGGCACAGACAGGAGCGCGAGACGGCGAGGAGCAGCAGGCACGCGGCGGAGAGAAGAGGAGTCATGCCGCTCTGAGTGGAGCTCGAGGAGGAATTCAGCTACAGCGGCCACATGCTCAGTCTCGAGCCTCTCTCTCCTTCTCTATCTCTCTACCTCCCTCTCTCTTTAGCTCTGGCTCTCTCTCTCTCTTCCTCTCTACCTCACTCTCCCTTTCTCTCTCTCTCTCCCTCTTCCTCTCTACCTCACTCTCCCTTTCTCCCTTTCTCTCTCTCTACTTGGCGAGATCAGTGAGCGAGCACGGGGGAAGCCCTCGCGTGCCTGATGATGATAATGGTGTTGATATGTGGACTGTTGTGAATCAGCGCACAGAGTCGGGAGTCGGGTCGTGCTGTTCGGATCTCTGAGCGGTTCTGTTCACTCGCCTCGTTTCTGTGAAGCTTCATTTTTAGATGTTGTCACCTCCAGCGACCACTTTCACTGTTTCACTGGTGCCTCAGGGAAAAAGACAGAAAGGACTCCGCTTTGATGACCTTATTCCTCTGGAGCGGATTCAGCGCCTCTGTTTACATTTCACTCAGTGCTCACTGCTCAGTGCTCTGTCAGAGAGAGAGAGAGAGAGAGAGAGAGAGAGAGAGCGCGCAAGGGAAGAAAGCTGGGTGGGGGGGCGCAACACGGAATACAGTTTTAACAGTGAGTGCAGAGCGTTTCAGCTCAATGCTGCCCTCTTGTGTTCGCACAGCCTGTTTCCTTTATTATACTGTAAAGGAAACCCGGATCTAACATTTTGTACATTACTTACATTTCGTACAGATAAATCTTCAACAGTATTTTACATTTACTCTTCATTATTCTGCAGTGTCTCCAAACTCACAGTATACTGTCAGAGCAGGGTGTGAACCGGGGAAGGTGCTGATGCTGCTCTAATCCAGCACTGCCTCATATCAGACCTCATAAATTGTAAGCCAATCATATCAGACTTCATAAGCTGTAAGCTAATCATATCAGACCCCGTAAGTTGTAACAAGAACATGGTGAAAGGGTGTTAACGAAGTATGCAGAGAAACAGAAGGACCACAGAATGATCCCAGGAACACCACACTCACAGTGAAGTACGAAGGTGGGAGCATCATGATATTCTCTGCAAACAGCACTGAGCATTACACATAAGAATATACATATAAAGCCTTTTCCGCTGAGCGTGCTGTTGGCCCCGCCCTGATGGGATGATTGACAGGTTGGAAGTCTATGAAAATGAAAATTCAGCTGGGTTGAATGTATTTTCAAAGGCATTTTGCCACAGAATGAGCAGAAGATGAGAAATACGTGCAAAGAGGAGAGGCACAATTTCCTTTTTTTTTACATTTTTCACTTTCTAGCTTGGTGTTCTCTTTGATAATAAAACTAAGAATGCATTATCAGAGAGTGCAAACGCAGATAAAGTAAAATATATTTTATTTACAATTTCGACACCGTTATTGTATAATCACATAAACCATAACTGCACAATTCTGGAAATGCATTTTCCTTTAACTAAAGGTCTTTTAAAGTGTCTAAATCTGTGTATACATCAATGCTAGTTGGGAAATTAAAATTCAAACATAAGAACAGCCATTTTACATATTAGATTTTCATTTTGCTGCTGATGTTCTTCCATACAACAGCTGTCGTTATTTATGAACTGTAGTTTTGCAGTGTTTTGTACTGTATTGTAATGTATGGCAGTAAACTTCAGGTACAGTGAGCTCTCTGTAGACTGGCTTGGGTAGAATCATGTGACCAGATTCATTTTCCTCCTTATTACTAATCAGCCAAGTCATTCTGAACAGTCGTTATACTGAGACTATACATTTTTAATTGCCTTTATTGAACCATTCAATTAAAGGAATAGTTTAACAAAACATCAAATTAACATGATTTACCTCTGATCCCAGATGCAGACGATCAGCCGATACATGCTTGACGTCTGACGTCTGCTTATAGTTTACAGCAGGAGATGTTAGGCTAACATTGCTATCAAACGCTGGTGTAGAACTGTCACCAGCATCATCTCTGTAAATACATGCCCAAAAACGTCTCTTAACCTGCTCAAAATGCACCCAGATCTTCATTTGTTTCACACAGACACAGCAACACCTCATATCATAGCTTTATCAAGATGCAAGTTCTAGCTAACAGTTATGAAACCTTAGATACGCTAAAAAAAACAAGTGCGATACTTGCATAGTGACAAAGGAGGATAAAGTAGTTCCAATTTTAGCCTAAATGAAAACAGATTTTCGAAGAAATAAAGATTTTGGCGTGTATTTACAGAGATGAGCTTGAGGACAATCCAACACCTGCGCTTAGTAGCAGTGTAAGCCTATCATCCTTGGTGTAAACTAGAGAAGCAAACATCAGATATCAAACATGTCTTGGCTGATTGGCTGCATATGGGGTGAGTGATAAATCATGAAAATTTGATTTTTTCATTTGAACAGATGGTTTGCTTCACTTTCTGAGGACCTTAGAGAAAGCCTTGGAAACTTTGGAGAAGAGTGACTTTCCCTTTCCTACAGGAACAGCTGTGGACGCACTGGTAGCCAGAGACTTTGATGATTCGTCTGCTGGACGGGACGCAGATGATACAGCCTGAAACACTGCAAAAAGAAAGAAAATGAACATGAATGACTGTTCAAATTCCATAACAGTATGAAATATAGGGCTATAATGCTGTCATGGACCAGGACTTACTTACCAGTTGAAACAGGTCTTTGCTGAGTACAGTCTGACGGGTTGACGGGTGGTCCCACCTTGTTTTTACATTTTACAATGTGCATATTTAGCGCTGAAAGCTCTTACGTGGTCTTACACTTCACTTCCTTTTTCTCTTTAATAAATTAGTTACAGAATAATTCATAGCAGTTACTGAATAATCAATCTTAAGCTCAATAACAACAATATGCCTTGGCACAGCACATCTTTTCACAAACAGAAAAATAAGATTCCAAAACGACAAAATAGAATAACGTAAAATTTGAAAACATAAAGAGGAGAATCAGAAAAAGAAAAATCTTACCTCAAGTTTGAGCTTGGGAAACCTAACTGTAGGAAATCTGAATGGAAGGCTGCGCTGTCTCTTGGATGTGGCTGGTTTATCCTCATTATCCTGGGTTGAATGCAGGATGTGGTGGAGCTGAGGAGGACTGGCATCAAGTTCTCTTGATTCAAACTCACGGAACAGATTTGGAGGCAAAAATTCAAACATAAGATTGACCAGCTCACTGGAAAGTTCTGCATGTTTGCTCTCGCTGCCCTGAGAGAACGTCAGCGTATGGTTTTTAATCTCACTCCAAAGTTCAGGCTTCATTGCAGTTGATGTGGTTTCAGAGTGATGGTGGTCAGATGAAGAGAAGACAGTCTGGGTCCCGCAGCAGGAAATCAAGTCAAGGCACTGTTGGAGTAGCTTCAATGTGGCTGCCCTTATGAAGCCATGTACAATATCTGACTGTGCTTTCTTGTTCAGAAGTCCAGGTGTGGAGACGATTCTGTGATCAGAAGTGGAGCTTCTCTCCTTCACACTGTCCAGAACAGCTGACATGACATTTTGCATTGAGGGATCAGTGCCAATACCAGCACTCAGTTACTTTCACATCTGAAAATCACACACAGACTCACTGATTGTTGCCTCATTCATCCTCAGAGCTGTTGGCAGATGAGACTCTTCGCCTTTAGTAAGGCTGCATTCTGTTATGTTCACACTGAAAGTGTTTGTACATTATGTTTGATATTCAGACTGATGGTGTCAATTAAATACGTTTGTTTAGTGCAGCTATAGAGCCGTTATAAATGAGGAAACCGTCACTGGATAAATATGAATGTGAAAGCTCATAACGCTCAACATGGCGTCTGTTTATGGAGAAAGTCCCGCCTTTAGAGAACAAACAGCCAATCAGCTCGCAGGTTAAGCTACAAAAAAAAAACACCCTTATGTTTCCTTTTTTCTATAGCAAACGGGTTTTGGGCAGCAGAACACCAACGTTACTGCTACTGAGTGCTGATTGGCTGGCATTACTGCTAGTGAGTACTGATTGGTTGGTATTACTGCTAGTGAGTACTGATTGGTTGGTATTACTGCTAGTGAGTGCTGATTGGTTGCCATTACTGCTAGTGAGTACTGATTGGTTGACGAGCCAAGCAGCTCAAGGGCTGATTGCATTCACATCATCAACGTGCACAAGGCGCCCTTTTAAAAATATAATAGTGATCCTAAAATGTTTTATGCTGTTCCGTGCTCAGAAAGGGAGTGTACTCTTTGATTTTAAAAATGTTTAAGCATTTGTAAAAATGTTTTTAGTCAAATGCTCCATATTAATCCGTTAATTTTGGACTTGCTCAGGAGCGCCCTCTAGTGTTTGCGAAACCCGAAGACATTATAGAGTGGTAATTCTCCTCACTACAAGTTCTCTTGTCTTGTAAGTCTGGAAATAACTACCCCGTGGCATTGCAGGTCTCTTGAAGATGTGTGTTTGACTATGACACTGTAGGACGTTTCAAATTAGAGTATTTATCAACTGCTTTTACCTGAACCAGAGCTCAAGTGTGTGGGGAACATAATGGTACTGCTTAGGGACCCTGTGGAATGGAACACAGCTTCAGAGAACTTGTAGAGAGGAGAACTACCACCCTGTAATGTCTTACAGGTTTCTCTAACACTAGAGGGCGCTCCCAAGCGAGTCCAAAACAAATGGGTTAAGATGGAGCATTTGAGTAAAATCATAGTTTTTAAATGCCTGAACATTTTTAATATAAAAGAATAAATTCATTTCCTGAACACAGAACAGCAAAAACATTATTTTAAGCGCTTTTGAACTCAAAGCATTTTTGAACCTCCTGTTTGTTCATGACATCAGTGAACACATACAGCCAATGAGCTGCTCCTCTCACCAACCAATCAACACTCCCTAGCAGTAATGCCAACCAATCAGCACTCAGTAGCAGTAATGTTGGCGTTCTGCTCCCAAAAACCCGTTTGCTGAAGAAAAAGGAAACCTTCAGGTAAGTTTTATTTGCTTTTTTTGGTGAAATACATCCTTCTACTTTCTAAAATTAAAGGAAAGTTCTGGGCAAGTGGTTAGAAACTATTTTAACTTTTCATTTATAGCCATTGAGCTGCATTGAGGGCTCACTCACGGGCCTCTGGTGTTCTGTAGTCACATTTTTGATATAACGGGAGAAATAGGAAGAGGCCAGGCTCTTCTTAAACACACTGAAAGGTCATTTCAACCATAATGCTAAATAATCATTAAACCACCATGACATTAATAAAAAAGAGGGACGTTAACTACAAATATCTTACTTTCTCACATTTGCAGATTTTTGTCACTGTTACTTTCTACTGTCACTGGTATGAAGAACAAAAAGCTTTTTGGATGATTAACGCTCCAATCGCAGCTACAAACCTTCCCATATATGTATTTTTAAAACTTGTTCACCATTATAAACTACACCGAACAGATCACTGGCTGTTCCAGTTTCCAACTGTTGCAGAACTGTGTTCAGTCAGTAATGACAATATAATCCATGCCATGGGTTACCTTAGATTGTAAAACTATACAGATGAGCAACAGCCTCCTCTCAACAGAACTGAATACAACGTGAGTCAAGATTTTGACAGCTGAGTGGATGTGGGGAGATTTTCAGCCGCATCAGTAAGCGATGAAGTTCATTAATTTTATGGTTTTTTCTTAAAATGCCCAAATCATGACAAACCAGCCCAAATTTTGTCCACACTCCAGAGCGTTTTTCCCCAGGCAGTCCAGCCCAACCGTCCAATCTGGCAACACTGCATTTCCTCTTTTTATAATGTGAGAGAACTCTGATAGGGCTCTCTCTAAGAAGTGTATACAATGTTGGCCAGTAAAACATGCACTCTAACTAGAATATTTAACTAGTGGGTAGAGTTCTACTGTAGTTCTACTGTAGTAAGAAGTACACATATTGGAACACAGCCATAACTCTGTCCATAGCAGATTGTTATTGTTAATACGTGCCTTATGACTTGTTCATGTATTTCAGTAGATGAGTTGTTACACATTGTCACCATGTCTTTGTGAAATGATGTTGGTCCTTGATTTCAACATGTTTCTGGCTTCCTGCCATTTGCTTTCCTCAGAAATACACAAACATGCCTACAGTTTATTATAGTGGGTGTGTCTAAAATGGACAGAAAGCTGAGCAGCGCTCCGAGGCAGCAGACCATCAAGTCTTGTCCCAGTCCAACATCTTGTTTAAAAGGGTGCCTGCTGAGGGGGCTTCATCCAGCCAATTTATTTGAAGACAGTAAAGATGAAGCCTCTGTTGACCAGACTGCCAACACAGTTCTGGCTTAAAATACTTAAAATATACTTTTAATAACTTTAGTTTGATTATATAATGTTTTAAAATCAACCTGTAATCAAAGCGGACCCTTTTTAACCCTGTCCCTGGTCACATTAAGCATGATTCTTATCTTTTAAAAGACCTTGTTTTTCCGTAATTTTCCATTAAAATGTTATTGCCTGTATCTTTTAAATTTTCTCTAAACTATCTAGGTTCAGGTTCTCCTCCCTAGATCCCCACCTGTTTCTATGAAAAAACTCCCAGCTAGCTCGGCACCTCTCCCCGATTCTGTGTTTTACTTAGAAATACATCACAATACGGATTTCCAATTCACTTCATTATTCCAGGTTTGTGAGATTCCAGGCAATACAGACTGCTTTTCCAAGTGTGTGAGAAATGTACCCACATCACTCATCACTTTCAGAATGACAAAGTAGGAAGATACCATTTCAGCCCCACGTCTGAAAATAACTTTTTGTACACTGTTCTACACCCAGTTGAAATTACAGCAACACATCCATTAAAACAGTGTTCTCACACACACTGGAAATCCTGGGAATTTATAGACCAGTTTTCCAGTCATGGAAAACACCTGGAAAATAAATTAAAAAATTAAAAAATGTCCTGGAAATATTAGTAAAGTGAAAAGTTGAGACAATAAGCCGACATGATTGCATATTTTAGCTGCTAATGTCCCGTTTGACTGTCCATTCTTAACTATTGTAGTTTGGAATGCTACAGTGCCGCATGTGGACAGATATGTGGACACTGTGGGAACGCCTGGTGTTGGCAAATTCTCATGATCCAATAGTGACTGATTGAGGAATGGTTGTATCAGTATATCGTTCAGTCAATAAGAAGTAATTGGACTTTGTTGTTGACTAGAATCTTAAGGATGTTTGCAGTTGTACGTCATTTTAACCTTTCAGCCGGTGTGTTTGCAAATCATGGAAATCATGGATTTTTTCCTGGAAAAGGTCCTAGAAATTGGTTTCTGAAAAAAAGAGTGGAAACCCCATAAAATGTACAGCAAAAACAACAATGAACACCCAACAACTGAAAAAGTTGTCTGTTATTATTACAAAACAAAAAAAATTCAATACAGAAAATGGCATCTTAATAACCAGCTCGAGCTCAAATACACCACCCACATTCTCATACAATCCAAACAGATAAAAAAGTAAGCATGCTAATGTGGCTAACATCGAATAGAAGCTAGTAGTAACCAGTAATCATGATGTACTTCACATAACAGCATTTACTGGCCATCTGCTTTCATTCACTGTTAGCAATCTTAGCATTTACGACTGAACGGTTCCTTTAAGCAGGTATTGTAGTCTTTCCTATTGTCAATACATGAACCTAGTTTCAAGACGCAGTTACACCAGTGGTTCCCAACACTGATCCTGGAGTCCTGCTGCTCTAACACATCTGCTTTAACTTTGGGAGGGCTTATGCTGCATTCGTGACAAACAGGAGATGGGAATTTTTAACTATGACTCTCCTACTTCCCATCTAAAAGCCTTCACACAACTTCATGCATTTCTGGTGGTCCATTTATCACACATGAGTGCAGCTGGCGTTTTCAAATGTTGTAAAAAAAAAAAACAACACAACAAAAAAAACACCAAAACAAAAAAACAAAAATGGAGATCCAAGTTGTTCTGACAGTGACAATATGATCGAACAGAACAAACAGAAACTCAGAAGTCTGTTTAAAAAGCTTAAAACACTCTCTTTACTTCTTGTTCTATAGATGCCCCCATGTTCAAAATACATCACATTATAGCAAACTGTAAATGTAAGAGCTCTTGAGAAACTCTTTTCCATCCACGTTCCATTGGAATTACGAGTTGTATGGACATTTAAATGGATTTTTCCCATTTGAAGGTCGGAAGCTTCTCAGTTTTCCTTTTCTCATCATTAGCTGATTAGTCGGACACTTGGGCGTGGGGGTTCATAAAGCAGGAATTTTCTAGAGTAGAGCTAGTTAATTTAAAATAAAGATTCCCAAACATATTCCTGAACTCGTCTGCTACTGGACAGGCTTGACTTCTGGCTGAAAAGAATACTCCGAATTTATAATCTAATCTCTATCTGCTACATCTTTAGCACACAGTCAGCTACCATGACAGTAATTTTGAAGAATATTACTTACATTATTTAGAAATGAACTGAACACCCACTGGCTCTGAACACACTTATAACAGGATCCAATGGGCAGATGCTGAAACAGCAAGAACAGCATTAGGAACCACTGATTCACATCTTGCTGATCATGTATAAAAATAATTTCACTGTCATATTAGCTATGTCGGTATGATTTTCAAAGCAAAAATGTGAATTATCTTGGAGGAAACCCCCGATGGGGCCCTCCACGGCCCCTGAAGCCACCCCGCTCTCCGCGGAAGTTGGGGCGGTTTCTCTCCCGACCTCGATCACCCCTCCCCACCACTGTCCCGCCTCGGCCTCCCCGTGGCGCTCCCCTTCCCCCCTCCGGTTTGACCTTAGGGGGTGGGGATTTGGGGCGGAGCCTCTCGATGTCCTCGGTGCAGCCGGACAGGTGAGAGGTGGCAAAGTGGGCGGAGTAAGCTTCAGCATTGAAGTTACTGTTGGTCAGTGTGGGACCCACGGTCAGCCAGCCTGAGCAGTCAGAAAGGAGAAATATTCAACAGTTAAGCCTATTAACATAATCACAGTTATTATAATCATTTTTATTATTATATTTTGTCTTAAGAAAATCTGAACATGACTGCAGTTATATTATTATAAGGGCTGCAAAAGGATTAAAATATTTAAATCATAATGACGTTACTTAGTGTAGTTAATTGTGATGAATCATGTTTCTCTTATTTGCTGAATGTTGACCATAAATAAAATACATTTTCAATGTAGGAAAGAGTGTGTTTTGTTATAGTCATACGAGTGGACAAAATGTGTTTCTAATCCTTTTATTACCTTCAATAATTCAATACCATTAATTAGAATAAATCAAAAAATAATTATTAATTTTCTTTGTGTGAATGCAAAGTTCACATGAGCATCACGTGATTTCCACAGAGTTAGTATAGTTAGTATAGTTTTTGTAATCAAAAATAATTGTATGTGAAATTTTGGGTGAAATTCTGGACAAATTACATATTCAGTTGGATTTTTGAAAAGAACTAAACACTACCTCTGCAGCAAACTGTTTTAAAACATTACAACTTGCTGTAAACATTAATACATAGTTACTTTATATCTGACTAACATTAAAAAAAAAATTTAATAACTTTAAAAAAAAATGAAATAGTAATTGTAGCATGTGCAAATGTTTGGACTCCCCTTGAAACTCATTATATCTTAATTGATTTGTTTGGACTGGTTAGGCAGGTCTGGAATTGATTACCATTTCATTGGATTGGAACTGTTTGGCAACCGGTGGCAAAGGAAACACTGCATGAGCAGAAGGATGGATGGATTACATTTTTTGTATATTTTTTAAGTTAAACACAAGTTAAATATAAAGTAATTGTGCATTAATATTTTCCAAAGAATGTTATTTTTTTAAATATTTTGTTGCACAGGTTGTGCGTACTTTTTCCACGTCAAACAAACCAATCAAGAAAATATGCTATTTGGCAGGGGTTCCCAAACTTTGGCATACAACACATACAGAGTGAATGGTTCCAAATCCTCTCGCTCTTGCCTTTACAGCTCGTGGATTTTTCTTACAGAGGAGGCTCTTGGGAGGAACAGTAGTGTTGTAGGTATCGCTTTAAAAGCCGTTTAAAAGCTGTGTTTGAATAAGAGGGCTGCCATTGTGGATTCAATCATGTGTGTGAGAGATTCAAACCTGGGCGGATGGTGCTGTCTCGGCCAAACAGGTGCAGGCGGCGGCGGCCCAGGCAGAAGTGTTCTATGATGTGGAAGATTTCCACAGGTTTCTCTATGTTTCCCATCTCCGGCTCCTCTGTGATGATCAGGTCAATGTCCACATTAGCATGGATGAAGTCTCCGTCAGTGCTACGCCGAACTGTCCCCTTAATGCCCATCAGACAGTGCTCCTGAAACATACACACCACCACACACACAGGTGTAAAGCAACAGCTCATAAATAACTGTAAAGAAATAATGCTGTTTCATTATGATGCTAGCTTTCCCACTTTGTATCTACATTTCTCCCAATTGTGCAATGGCTATCAGTCTGCAGGGTAATGGCTGGTACGCACTTCCTCCACGACATGTATAGTCAGCCAACTGCATCTTTCAAATCTGTACCTCATGCAAGGTCACTGAATTTAGACCATAATAGGCAAAGATATCCATCACCTGGAATGACTGCAATCAGGGAATTTCTTCAATTGGAACCATTTTGAGTTATCGTTATCTCAATTTTTGTCAATGGGTAATAGTCATCACTATTAATAACTAGCTATTCAACAACATACACTATATGGCCAGAAGTATGCAGACACCTAAATATCACACCTTTATGAGCTTGTTGACACCTCATCCCAAAACCATGGGCATTAATATGGAGTTGGCCCACCTTTTGCAGCTATAGCAGTGTTCAAACAAGGCTTTTCACAAGATTTTGTGTCTGTGGGAATTTGTGTCCATACAGTCAAAAGAACATTTGTGAGATCAGGCACTGATGTTGGATGAGAAAGCCTGGCTCACAATCAACATTCCAATTCATCCCAATCATGTTTAGTGGAGTTCAGGTCAGGATGCTGCGAAGGCCACTGGAGTTCCTCCACACCAAACTCCTCATCTTTATGGAGCTTGCTTTGTGCACTAGGGCACAGTCATGCTGGAACAGAAAATGGCCTTCCCCAAAACTGTTGCCACAAAGTTGGAAGCATATAACTGTCTAAAATGTCTTTGTATGCTGTGGCCTTAATATTACCCTTCGCTGGAACTAAAGGGTCATGCCCAAACCCTGAAAACAGCCCCAGACCATTATCCCGCCTCCACCAAACTTTACTGTTCGCACTGTGCAATCCATAGGTAGCTTCCTCCTTGAATCCACCAAACCCAGGCTGCCAGATAGTGAAGCGTGATCCATCACTCCAGAGAACACGTTTCCACTGCTCCAGAGGCCAGTGGCGACGTGCTTTACACCATTCAAGCTTGACATTGCACACAGTGATCGCACGGCTTGTGTGCAGCTACTCGGTCATAAAACCCCATTTTGTAAAGCTCTCGACAGACAGTTCTTCTACCAATGTTGCATCCAGAGGTAGTTTAGAACTCTGTAGTAAATGATGCAACATCAAATAGATGACTCTAACTCGCTACACAGTGGTCCTGCTCTGAGAGTTTGCGTGGTCTACCACTTTGTGGCTGAGCTGTTGTTGCTCCTAAAGGTTTCCATTTCACAATAATAGCACTTACAGTTGACTGGGACAGATCTAGCAAGGCAGTGATTTCACGAACTAACCTGTGGCAAAGGTAGCGTCTTATGACAGTGCCATGTTTAAAGTCACTAAGCTCTTCAGTACGACCCATTCTACTGTTAATGTGAGGTTAGGGAACCAGCCTTGTGACCGGAAGGTCGCCGGTTCGATCCCCTCAGCTGACCATATAAAGCCATAGAAAGACAAAAAAAAAGCTCTCTATAGTCTCAATGGCAAGTAGTAACTATACTACTCAGTCGTTAGCACTGCTAAAAAAGCTAAACTTCAACATTTTTAAACCTTATCTTTATAGAGAAAGTGTTTCTATAGTGAAAAAACAGGCTATCTGGAAAACAGCTGTGCATACATCACTGAACAGACAGACAACTTCTATGTCTCAGAAAGGAAGCAGAATAGATGTTTTTAACGGATATCATTCTGCCTTAAACTCTTAAACTGGTAGAGCTTGGTGTCTCACCTTAGTCCTCTGGAAAACTGCTTTGGGGTCCAGCGTTTTGGTCTTGCCAGGGTTGTTCTTGTTGGTTTTGATCCAGCAGATATCCTCACATCTCCTAAAACCCCACTTCCTTAAACACTGAGAGAGAAAACACACAAGTCTTTATTGATTTAAAATGCATTATGGAAAGGCTTCAAATTTTGCACATGCATTAGTCGTCCAGTCGCGTATAAACAAGTCGCAAAATTATGTATAAATATAATAAAAACATTCTCCAAATGAAGGGACATCCATTTACTGTAAATTTGGAACAATATTCTGTGAGTTGTTTCTCTTTTATTTTTGTAAAAACAAAGATTCTGAGACTGCTACTGACAAGCATACAATCTAGGCTCCCAAATATAAGGAGAATGCATTTATTGCTAATATTATTAATTGGCTTAACTTTTTATCAATAGCTATAACATTAGGTCTGTCCAGGGATGCTCGAAGTTGTTTTAAAGGGGAACTCCACCGATTTTTTAAATGTGTCTATCATCAGTTTAGAGCTATTAAGTATCACCATCTAGCAGGGAAGAAAGCTAATCAGCCAACCTGGCCATTTTAGGCCTTTACTTTAATACCTGCATAGAACTATGCCTAATGGTTAATCGCAATTTTCATGGATCATTCTACCAAAGTGATTTAAAGTCAGAGTTCAACACACATTTTGGACTTAACTGACTTGGACTTGGCATTTTTATTTTTATTTTTCATTAAAAAATTAAACTCATGATAAATTATAATTTTTCAGCTTCACTTTAAAACAAATCAAGAAACTCTTTTTAAAAAAGTAAGTATTATTTTAACAAATTGAAATTTAGAGGTTAGGGTTTGGGGCAGAAACCTCCAAACAGATCAAGCATGTCAAACAGGAGACCTTCTTGGCCAAAGTGCTGTGGAGATTAGCATACAGTTCATTGACTGAACTTACTTCCTAATTAGATGATGAGCTGAATCAGGTGTGTTTAATGAGGCAAAGTGCTGAAGTCTGCAATGTTTTGCCTGCAAGGACTGGACCATGGACACATGCCATAAAAAAATACCCCATAAATGATCATCTTGTGTATATTTAGTTTATTACTCTCTCAATTAATGTCTTGGGTTTAAATAGAGGGACTACAGTTTGAACTTATTCAGCAGAATGGTCTATATATATATATATATATATATATATATATATATATATATATATATATATATATATATATATATATATTATTTACAAGGCAATTAAACATGAGCTGAAATTCTATGATCGTGACAGTCCTATTTATAAATATACAACTATACACGATTTAACACCTGAAGTCTTGCTTTGCATGCATACAGTGGCCATCCTCTCCCAATGATGGGTCACTAACAAGAGCAGAAAAAACCCAACAGCTGCAGAGCTCATACACCCATGAACTGGTCATGTGTCTCCAATGCAAACAGACTATGTACGTTCACCTTCAAAGGCAAAGCTAATCTTTAAACCCTCAGGCTTATAAAGGCTTTCACACAGGAGAAATGTTAACAGCTCAGATGAAATGATTATACTGGGCATTCGCAAGACAGCAAGCCCATAAGCTTCAGAGCATCAGCCACAGACAGAGACGGAGGCTTCAAAGAGCAGCCTGACTACAGAACAAACAACCAGTATAGAAAACACACACAGCAATTACTGACTATTGTTGCTGGACGCCAAGAGAATGTCAATGTTGTCGGACTTTAAATTCTATGGGATTATGAGCTTGCAAGTCACGGATTAGGTTTCTTATTTGGGAAATAACTGTATTATTTTCTGTTTTACAAGTAAAAAAGGTTCAAGGAGAGACTGAAACAAAAAGAAATTACTTTATAATTATCATCATCATTATAAGAAAACCACTATTAAAACACCAACTGTCCTTTGTTCTACATTGTACAAATATTTCATAACCCCTAGAATCCTGGGATTATTATTCAGTTTATATCCAGCAGCTACTATGAATTATTAAGTGACTAATATAAAAGTAATGTGTAAGTTGTGTTACAAGAGTCTTTTAGAGTTTAAGAGAGTGATGAACATACAAGTGTAAGTGGTCCAAACCTTCTTAAAAATCTTGTTAAATTAACATATGTTAAGTTAAAATATTTTCTCCATCCACTATAAAGTATCATTTTAGAGACACAAGTTTTCCATAAAACAGTAACAATACAGTCATATGCAAAAATTTGGGCACTCCTGGCCAAATGACATTTTGTTGATTTTTGAAACACACTGTTTAAAAAAGGTATTTAAAAAAAGCAGTTTTATGCACAGTTCCACAGTCTTTCTATTCCTGTGTCAGGAATTTTTCATCCACTCTCCCTTGCAGAACACTGTGATGACTGTGACAGACATTCTAAAAGCTTCAGCTTCTGGTCAGCTTCAGTTTCTTGACTGACTGTGTAACATTTGCATTTTTGATTTGCTGATCTAAACGTTTTTTTGCATAATTCAGACATTGAGTTTTGTGACGAGGTCACAGATTTCATTCTGTTTGGGAAACTATGTTGCACAGTAGAATGGTGCACCACCTCTTGTCTGTCAGCTGAACGTTTTTGCTGGTCCTTTGCTGTCATATATCAGCCAGCTGCTCAGAGAAGCTCATGGTTGTTGAGTGTTCCCACCAGGTTTGCAGAGAATTGACTATGCTCTGGCTTTGGCATCAGCTGAGAATTCTTGACCTCCCTAACCGGTCCTATTAAGTCAATTAAGGCCTAACGAGTTAATTACATCCTGAGACTTTACAACTAAAAGGGTGTCCAAACTTCTGCATGTGACACAATTGTTATTTTTTTAAGTTAAAATATGACGTAACTGTGCAACAACATTTGCAGAAAAATGTTATTTTTAAACAGTTTGCTGCAGAGGTTGTTTACTTCTCTTCACTTCAAAAATAATCAAAATGTGTATAAAATCTGCATATAAGAAAACCAATAACTAATAGTTCCACTAATAGAACTACTTCTTTTCCGATACCAGCACTAACTGAAACGTTAAGGATCAGGCAACCTTATTTTTCTTCTTTAAAAACTACTACGCTTTTAAAAACTTTAATTGAGGTACTTCACTTAAGAAGAACATCATGCTCAAACTACATAAACACTCTATGACCCCACGGTAAGAGGTACAGAGTTAACAAACTATCAAGGTATGACTGAATATGTGTGATGATCTAAGTCCTTAGCATTTGTTCGTTGTGAGTGGAAACTTGGATCACATAACAACTCTGAACTAAAATTTGGATTTTATGATTATTTTGTCTTACACCTTTATGCAAATAAAGTATTTAAAGTGTGAAAGTGAGAGTCTGTGTACCATCCTGCCAAGATCCAGCCCCTCTCCTGAGCCACACCAGAGGAAGACGAATGAGCGCAGCGCTGAGATCTCGTCAATCTCCAGCTTCATAATCTGGAGACAGAAAGAGAGAGTGTGTAAGTGAGTGAGCGAGTGAGTGGACACCTCATTCCTTCTTATTTCAAGAGCAGGGCTGAGACTGGATTAGAAAATGGGATGATGAGCGCTGGACTCACATCGTCCCAGGTCCAGAAGCGTTCGCTGGCGATGATGCCGGACTCTCTGTAGTACTCTTCTAATGGAGGCTCCAGCAGGATCACGTCAAACTTACACTTCAAATCCCTCAGATCAAACGTATCTAGATCAGCCTGTAGATACCTGATACACAACACACATGCACAGGGTTAAAGCAATAGTTTTCCTCTTACCCCATATATCCTGCCAAGACCTGCTTGGTGTCTGAAGTCTGCTTCCTTAGTTTAGCGATGGAGCTATGAAGTTTATGCAGCAAAAAAAAAAAAGAAAGCTTAAAGTCACCAAGTTTATAAGTAATGGAAGTGTATATCCTAAATCAGAGATCATCCAATACAGATCTAGAATCCGTTTTCCAGTTCTGGATTTTGTAGTCACTGGTAGTTAACTGACCTGTTGCTGTAACTGACTGGCCACCTAGTGTCATACCTGCCTAACAGAAATCATAAACATAATCTGTAGCGTCCATAAGCCTGTGTGATGTAAGAGGAAGCTGAAATTCATCCACCCACATGTTGCACATTAACAAGTCTTTGTGACCTTAATTAAGAGCTGGGTGTGGTTTGAGTGAGTTGAGAGAAGTTTGGGGAATGTATTTACAGAAAAGATTTGAGTGTCTTGTCCGTCACAATGTTAGCCTCATAGCTCCAGTGCTAAACTAAAGAAGCAAAATTTTGGAGACCAACCATGTCTTGGTAATTTTTGCCAAACCATTCCTTTACATAATCTCAAACTTGCTTATGAGGTTGTATGACATACATATATGTCTGTTATATGTAGATATGAACAAACACATGCACAGTGCTAATTGATGGACCACATTTGGAATATCGAGAAAGTTGTGTAAAATTAGTTTTCTTTTTTTTTTGCCAAATGGGTCCTTTAAGATATCAGAATAACTACTGCATGAAGCTGCTGATGTCAGAAGCGTGCTCAAAGCTAAACACATTATATCACTGTTTTTCAGATCTGATGCCTAAGGTGACACTTAAAGCTAAAACCACATTTACTGGAAACAGTGAGTAACTAGCTGGCAGCTGGTGAGTAGCGTTGTAATAGGCCTGTCACCACTATTACATAATCACTTAAACACAATGATTTAAACTGATCGCAATGATTTTCCATAATTCATAGTCTTCAACATCATATGTTTAGTCTAAAATGGTGTTTATCTGTTAAGGCAAATGCATGTAAATATAAAAAAGCAGAGAATGTTTTAATCTCTGAACGGTGCTATAACACCTTTACAGGGCAGCAGTGAAATATGTTTGTTTATTTGAGGCCGAGCTGTGTCCATCATCAGTTGGGAGCTACTAGGTTTTGACAGCTAGGTTAATTGAGAAAGTAAATCAGCCAGTTTGGACACTTAAGACTTATACTATAATACAATTTAATGGGCTTTTAAACTAAATTGTTAATCGCAGTTACTTAAAGGGCAGTTATTTGTCAGCTAAAATGACATTATTGTGACAAGCCTATGTTATTAGTGCATGTTGTGCTTACATTGGTGGCGTGTTGGTAGCAGAGATGAGTTCATCTTTGAGCCGAATGAGTTCTCGCAGTTTAGGATACTCCTCGAACCTGTCAGCCAAGCCTTTAACACAGCACAGAAAACTCAGGTCAAACACAGCTTCAGTGTGGAGAAGGTGAGAAGCAATAGGGCCTTATGAAGGCTATCTTAAACCTTGACCATTTAACGTTGATGTACATTGGAATAAACAAATCAATCAATCAAAAAGGTCACATGATATGTCTCCACTAGCTTGGCTTACAGGTTAGGCTAAGTGAACTAAACATAAGCTAAAGGTGACAGGTAGTCTGTGATTACATGAAAACACTCATTTTACAATTGGCTCGTTTATAAATTTAGGCTTCCTGCTTAACAATGAACTGCTGACAAATGACAGCTGGTTAGCTGTCAAAATTTGCATCCCTTATGCAAATGACAAAGGGGATAAATCCCCAACAGCATAATCATATTTTCCACTTTCTATAGATATTTTTGCATATTTTGCATTCAAACTCATGACTGTGGAGCCCTCTGGTGGATGAGGCCCCCAATCTGCACTCCCTAAAGCCCATTCAGTTGAGGAAAGGGAGGAAACAGAGACTCACCCACGTCTCTGATGAAGTTCTGTGGCCGATGGCCAGTGTCCACAAAATGCTGGCAGTAGTCATTATGAGGGTTGAGACTCTGTGTGCCCTGGACAACACAAAGAGATAAAACATAACACCAGAACAGCTTTGGAGGAACAAATGCTGAACAGGTATGATCATTTTTTCCAGTTTCCAGATCCAAAAACAGCCTGAACATTTCACACAAGAGCTTTATGGGACCATAAAAGCTTCCTGAACAAGAGAGTTATTGTACATGTAGTCTCCCCTCGAGGAAGGTGATAAGTGTTCTCTCTCTCGCTTAGTGATAAACAATATACCGTCTGTACCAGTGCTCTGGTATAGGTACCCTGACAGTGACCTTCAATTTTAGAAAGACTGATTGATAACAAGCATTATATCAACGTTACATAAATGTTCTATCCCACAAAACAGTGCTGTTCCTGTAGTTGAGCAGTTTTTTCTTTATTGTGGTTCTAAGACATGGTATCCGGAACTGGACAGTGTCTGTTAACTGCAGTTTATAGCAATTTGCTGGGTTTAGATTGTTTTAAAAACACTTTACTAAACAGTTGACTTTCTATAAATATGTTTTCTGTCTGGCGTTTACAATACTGTAAATTTAATATTTACTGTACATTCAAATATCAATGCATATTAAAATGTCAGCATGACATTAAGAAGTTTTCTTAGGCACTACTATCCATGTAAAACAAATCACAAAAAATTCAAGAAAATAAAGAAAATGAATAAATAAATATATAAATAAATGTACAAAATCTAATAAAATAAAATCCTGGAGGGGGAAGATAAATACATGCTCCAGAAATAGACAATGTGTTTCTAAGTTTTAGTATAACTTCTGCAAACATTCAGGATTTGGCTGACAGATGTAGTTATATAGTTAACTTGAGATTAAATTTTACTAGACGTAAAAGATTTTAAGGAGAGATTTTACAAGCTACAAATGAATAGATATATATCACTAAACTCAAAATACTGAAATGAATCATAAAGTCTCAAATTTTACCACAGTTCAGAATTATTTGATGAATTTAAAAATGTGTGCTGAATACACAAATGTGACTGGAGAAACTGCTTCCACTGTATGTTATAGATAATAAAAATACACAAAGCTTTTTAGTGTTTTTTTTTCATTTGAAAATAGATTTGTTGTGCCCAAAAAATATTTTAATATTATTATGACCAATGACAATCCCACAATGTACTGATGCATTTTTATACAGATGTGAATTAATAGTAAATACACCTCTGTCTTATGTATCTGACAAAATTGATTCTCAGTGCTCCCATACTGATGTGTCCTTAGCTGACATGCTCCCACCTTTAGGAAAGTGCTGGAGTCCTTGTAGACCTCTTCATACGGGCCACTCTCCTCCTGCTGCTGAGGCTCCACATCCTCCTGAGGCACATCCACAATTAGCTGTGAACCTTCTTACCTTCAAAAACAATCACCACTATAATTCAGTCAGATCAGATCAGTATTACTCACTCTCTGCTCCTCCAAATCCTCCTCAGTGTCTTCGCCTTCATTCTGGCATTTCCTTTTTGAACCGGGAACTGTGGTATCAAATGATGCTCTGCAGAGAACAATAATCAGAACGACTGTAGAGCCTATTTACAGTTCCTCATGCAACACAAGTAGCACAGTCACTGTCCAAAACACTGTGAGTGTCTCAAGTGGTCCAACAACAAAAATAATATCTGGACAACAGATGGACTATATTTTGTACACAGAGACACGACAAATTCAAGTAAAAAAAAACGATCATCTGAAGCAAACAGCAGATGCTTAGAAACTGTTCCTCAGATGACAATGTCATTGCAGAGGAGTCATCCTTCACCATATTCTCCATGAGTGGGTGACTACATGTGTGGCATCCAGCAAGAGAACGGGCCTCAATTCTTGATCCCTACACCGAGGGGCTCCGGTGGTTCTGTTATGCTGTTGGGGGGGCATTTTGTTGCCATGGATTGGGTCCAGTTGTCCCCTCAGAAGGAGGGGTCACTGCAAATCATTACAAAGTTTTGTTTTTTTTTATCCTGTGATAAAACATTTCTATCCTGACGACAGTGATCTCTTTCAGAATGATAATACCCCCATCCACACAGCACGAGGCCTGAATGTTTTGTTTTCACTGAATGTTATGAAGAGCATGAAAATGACATAAATCATATGCTATGGCCTTCACAGTCACCAGATCATAACCCAACTGAAGTCCTACGGGAGATTTTGGACCAACATATTAAAGAGTGCTCTCCATCACCGTCATCATCAAAACACCAGAGGGAATATGGTTGTTCCATCTTTGCTAATGGTGTTCTGTCTCTTCAGCACAGCTCCACAAGGCTCACTGAGGCTGTTCTGGCGACTCAACACCTGACTAAAACACGGCACACTGTTTTTTTTCCATTAATTTGTCACCCATCTGTATATAGCAGAAGGTAAGTGAGTGGAAATCAGGTGCCTCTGACAAAGTGGACCGGACAAAACCCCACCATTTTAGAACTTAGAACCATGAGTTCTACATAGAACCAGTTCATGCTTAAATGGTTCTTTGCATGGTAAAGTGGTTCTTCAGACTGATAGAGAACGTGTTGTATATGGTTCTATGTAGAACCTTTTTGAAAATGGTTCTATATGGCACCAAAAAGGGTTCTGTTATTGTTAATGTTAAGCTTGTAACAACAGAGGAACCCTTTTGGTGCTATATAGAACCATTTTCAAAATAGAACCATATACAACAGGTTCTCCGTCAGTCTGAAGAACCATTTAAGCATGAAATGGTTCTATAGCTACAGAACTCGTCGTTGTAAACAGAAACACTTCCTTTCCTGAACAGAGAACCGTCTTTAAGCGTGTAAGGTCATGCAGGTACCTGCAGGTCTCTCTGGTCTCCTCGATCTCTTTCTGCTCCTCTTTGCTGTTGAGAACAGCGCCGATTGAGTCTGCACTCTCAGCCCCGAGCTGAAAAGAGAAAGGCAGCCGCGCTGACTGTGTGAGAGGTGCAGTGTGGTGTCTCTGAGTCAGAGTTCCTCACTGAGGCAGTAGTCAGAGAACCCCTGCAGCAGGAACAGTAACGTTACTCTCACCTGCTGAGCGAGCAGCTGCCGCCGCAGCTTCTGCCTCTCCCGGATCTCCTGCAGGCGGCTGTTCATGTTGCTGAGAGTTTAATAACCGCAGTTCAGTTATTTTGTTGAGGAAATTAGAAAAACGCGCGGACTCAAAGCCATTCAAACCCAACACGGCGCGGTCGCATGCGTTCTGCGTCACTGTGCGTAGTCGCGCGATGACGCGATCAGACCGTTACAGTGGGTGAGTCTCAAACGGAGAGAGCGCCCCCTGCTCCCTCACCGACCAGTGAGCGTGTGTGCAGTGAACTCACTAGTATATCCCAATCTAGGCGGGACCCTACAGAGACCCCTAGGGTAACATGGTGTTTATTTTTTAATACAGGTGACCACAGGATAATATATTGAGGCCACAAGTTAAATATTGAGACCACGTGGCCACAAGAAACTTAACACGCGGCCTCAACTTGTGGTCTCAGCTTATTATAAAATCATAACCATGTCACATTAGGGCCCTAACGCATTTTTGACATAATCATTATTACTTAAAGCTGAGCTGTTATTTGTACGTGAGGTAGCTTTAGCCTGCATGAGGAAGGAAACTGCAGATAAATGAAGCTACACAGAATCCAGCGAAGACCAGCTTTTGCTGGGAGCTGGATTCAGAGGGTATTTGATGGTGAAGGCAGTTGACAAGTTGGACATCCAGCTGGACTAGTAGAAAAAACACAGCCTAAGCTGGTCAGTCAGCTGAACAGGGTATGTTTTCGAGTTTGGTGGTGTGGCTGGCCTACTAGCATGACCAAGAACATCAATCATGTATCTTGACGTATGAGAGACAGATTGTTTAAAGAGTCCATATCATTATTTTATTTTTTTTTAAATAAAAGAGTTTGATGTAATATGTAAACACTGTGATGTCAGTCCATCCTCTCCATACACGTCCTTTATCTCCACCCACTCACACTGAAGTTATAAGGAGCATTTCAGCCTGGACTGCTCAAGCACAATACAGAACAGCCAATCACAACAGAGGTAATTTCAATATATATTAGCTAGGACAGTATTAGTTATATATATATATATATATATATATATTATATATATATATATATATATATATATACATATGTGTGTGTGTATATATATATATATATATATATATATATATATATATTAGTTAGGACAGTAACCAAAACAGTCTGTTTACTTCTACATGACAAAAAGCAGTGGAAAAAGTGCATTAAAAATAAATTGATGACTGGCACAAAAAACTACACCAGCATAATACATGAACAGAAAATTGAAATGCAAAATAAATGTAGGATATGGACCCTTTTAAAAACGTTTTAATTCTTATTTATTTATTTATTTATTTATTTATTTGGGCAAATTGTCTAGCTATAAATGTGACAAACACTGCTGTGACAAAAACTATGAGCACTCTTTAGAGCAAAAATCCCCTAATTAGAGTCTAGTCTGCTGCCCCCCTGTGGAGAAAGACTGTATTAGATAATTCCTATTCCTCACTTTGGAAGAGCTTCAGCTTTTAGTGCAAACAGCCTGCTATTTCCCTTATTCTGAAGTAGGCATGAGCGGGACGAGGCTTCAAGGGGCTTCATGTAGTTAAGGTACCTTAAAGACTATCTAATTTAGCCAATATATTACATCAGACAAACTAGTTATACTAAAACAAGTATTAGCCCTTTAGCACAAACCTATTAGTCTCACAAAATCTTATTTGTCTCATAAATGACACTAATTACACTACAAGACCCATAATGCATTTCATAGATTTATACAATACATATAGGTTGGTGCATATAAGAAAGTAAATCTCACATGCTCAAATATAATTCATACCATATTTTTTTGCATGTCATTTTATAATAAAAATATATTCTGATAAAGAATATCTTTATTGCTAGTGCCTTTCTCAAGAACACAACCAGGAATACTTGAACCCACAACCTCCCGGTTGCTGACTCACCGCTCCTACTACTAGGCTACGCTAAAAATGAACCAAAAGCGTTATGTGACGTACAAACTGATATTAAATAAATAAATTGTGTTGTATTTAACTCGTTTACGTAAAAAGGACAAAAATGAAATGAAAGTACATTTCAGTGAACAAAACCTCTTTATGTTAATCCAAAGAGAAGTTCATCCCAATGAAACCCAAATAAATTGCACTGAAATGTTTTGCTCCATCAGCGATTTTTATGTTAAATTAAAAAGTCTGTGTTTACTGACTCTACTCGGTTCGAATGAATGCAAATGTGTGGGCATAATTTAATTCATGAAGTTCATGCAACAATTTAAATGTTCTGATCACCCACGAGATAAAAAGATACAAGAAAAATGTGGGACATCAGCCCTTTAACAGAATGTTTTCTTACAAGTTATTCTGGGACTGTTCTGGGGTCCGACCTTGATGTTCATATTTCAGCTGCAGGGCCTCCGTTCTGAAGTCTAAAGGTCACAAACAGAAATAAGGCTTTTGACAGAACGCTTCGCTGAATGAACCAGCCTGATTTATCACAGCTGTGCAAACCTTTCAAATCATCAGAATCCAGCTGAGTGTAGGAGTTAGTGGGAGTCTGAGCATCAAAGACCATCTGAACGCTGGCCTTCCAAATCAATATGGTCCACAGCACCAGGCTCCACAGAAGTCCCTCGTCTGTCACAAGCCATCATGTTTCTTTTCATCAATCACAGGACTGCGACTAAGCAGTGACCAGGTGCCTGCACAGATCTGTAAGTGCCGTTCGTGAAACATTGTTGAATCTATAAGCCTGCTTAGGGTTACGCGGCTTGATGTTGGCTTAATACCTACAGTGTCGACTGACCACCTGCAGTGTCAAAAACCCTATTTTCTACATTTTTCTTTTGTTTTATTCCAGATTTGTTTCCAGATCTGGAATTTAAAACAGATCTAAAAAGGTATTTTTACTGAGTGCGTTCACATACACACTAATAATACGATCAATATCAGGCTACAGCAGTTATCTGATTATTTAAGTGGTCATGTAAACGTATACTCTGATTTCTTAGATTGTGTTAATGCTGTAATCAGATTTCTAGAAATCCGATAGAAAGCTGGATTTGAGCTCAATAATGGGGTTTTTCAGCACATGTATACCGTTACTCTGATTTCTTCCGTTTTTTCAGTCTCAGTCACAGCGCATGTGCGAAAACAGAGCGCTGTCCTGGAAACAGCTAGCAGCTTTTAACACAGCACCCACAAGATGATGACAAAACACTTTTGGAGCTATGCTGAAACCAACTACATGCTTGATGAAATGAAGAATTTAAATCTTCTTTATCTTCTAGACAATGTATATTCATGTTTTCTAGTAAAGTGACGTGATGTTTAAAAAGCTGTGGCATAAATTTACATTACATTTATGTTACGTATTCTTTGTGATAACTGGCAGGTTGCAAAGCAGAAATCTGATTATTGACTGATTCATGTAGACCCAGAGCTTTCCCATTAACTGATTACTCAAGTGCATGTAGATCCATTCAGTACTAAAAAAATTAATGGTCAATACCTGTTATTTGAAAAAAAGCTTGAATGCATGTAAATAAAACATAAATGTACTGTATTTTAACACTGCTGAGTTAATTTACAGAAATAGAATGTAAATTTACAAAAACAAATGATCACCTTTATTTCACAGAGATGTTTATTTCAATGGTTGTTACTGTCAATATATCTATAATAAGTCATCAAAAATAAGTTAATCATTTAAACAACACATTTTTGAATGCAGGGGCTCTTTAAAATTGAAAGAAGTAGCATTACTGAGTTAGGAGAAAAAAAAAGAATTATCTCTGGTCTGATTTCTGATTGGCTGCCCACTATTGCACCGCATTCAAAAAGCAGTCTTGACTAACTGTTAAGGTTGCACTGAAATTCTCAGGAATTGCGGGTAAAATAACTTCAGCCACTCCTTTAAGAAGCGTGGATCTCTTGAAAGGTTAATCTGCTACCTGACAGCCTCTTTTTCATACATCTTTTACCCAATGACTCTGCTGTAGACTTTGTGCAGTAATAACACTGTACATCACTTCAACACACATGGGCAGCTAAGCTCCTGTAGGCTGAATGGGCAGTAATATGCAAAGTGTTCATGGTTGTGACATCATAGCCATGAATTCAAAACAAGTTGCTTTGCAGCTTAGTTTTCGTTAATCGACTAAACAGACTAGGGAGTGAACAGTATGTTGTACACTGCTTAAATCATTTACATAGTACATCAAAAAAAGGAAAAATCTGTTTTCTATGTAATGGGCCCTTTAAAACTGTAGGTGTTCATTGGGAATTTGGCTGGGACAAAACTATCCATAGATTTGACCCCTTTAAAATCAATGTCTTTCACCAGTGACATTGCTCTCAGTGTTAAAGGGATACATAGATACCAGATGATCCCTCCATTCTCCCAGACCTCAGCAGAATGAGTAATGAGAGCGTAGCAAGACTAAAGGCAAGATGGATGACCACTGACGCCCCGAATCCACCGACCTGCATTGAGATGTGGGTTAATGAGGAAAAAGCCCGTGTTCCTCCAGACAGGGCATTATTAATTTAACACACATTCACGGGCTGTGCTGTTACTAATTCAGCAGTCGTCGTTCCCTGTTGCTAGCGTCTCTTCCTCCTACCCAGAAACAACACTGTAAGTGCTACGATTCAAATTACCATCACTGACACCTCGTAGCACCAATCAGGTCACAGCTAATGGTGCAAGGAAGCAATGAGGGCCAAACAAGGGAGGAGCTTACTAACAACCGGTCAGCCAGTACTGTTTAAAAGGCCTGGATCCTATATTTTTCTTCTATTTTGATTTTTCCCTGCTGTCCACTTATTCTTTGTCATCATATACAAAAACAGAAAAAATAGAGTAATGTTTTTCTCACAGAATTGGTCCCATCCACTTTACAGCAAAATGTGACTGGTTGATTTTTGCTGCCACTAGTGTTAATCTGACACATTAGGCTTTCAGTTCAGCCCCTGAAGTCCTAACCAATGGGAGAGTTTGCTTGGCTATATCTACCTAGTTAGCACAGCTATCTATTTTCCCCAGCTAACACTTAAAAATGAAATGAGAGTAGTACAACAGTACTTGCAGAGATTATGAAATGAATTCCCTTGCAGAGGGTATTATATAAAAATGAACTAAACATGTATGTATTCTATTTCTAACAGTACACTGTTAGATAATAAAGGTTCTGTGCAGGTACATTTTTTGTTCATCAAGGTACAAACAATGTAAATGTTCCCTCAAAGGTATAACAGTGGTTTTAAGGTCCAATTGTGTACCTTAAATACTTTTTTCCTAGTGGAAAAGTACACATTTGTACCTTTTCATAACCTAACGTTTTAATACAGAACAATAAAATAAAAAGCCTGGTGTGTGGAGTCAATACAACTTAGAAAATATGATTTCAATGGATTATGAAACAGTTATGTTCCCTGATTAAAGGTACTGAGATGTACTCTTGAGGGTACCACCCCAGTGAAAAGAGGGGTACTGCCCCAGTGACAGTTTAGTTTAATTTGTTATTGAGAGTGTACTCATTGGTCTTCTCTGAACGCCTAAAAGCCCTGAAGGTTCACCACTGGATATATGTAAATTAACTGGTTGAACTGGTAGAATAAACTGTAGTAACCACAGAAAATATAAACTCTAGTCACTCATTTAGGATCTTTTGGAAAGCTATTAATCCATTTGCCTCCTGATAGCCAGGAACAGCTTAGCGCAGACAGCTTATTCACAGTGTGGGTGTCGCATTAAAACAAGAAGAATGTGAAGATGCTCTTCGCTGGGAAATTTGATTCCGTGTGAGCAAGGCGCTGAGGGTCTATAAGCTCAGACAAAAGTATAAGGAAAGGTTAACCCTGCTAGAAATAACAGCATAGACCAGCATGGCTGGGCACCTGCAAAAGCAGCATATGTTGTGTTTGGATGCTGGTATGCTGGCCAACCAGCATGATCATGCTGGGTGACCAGCTAAACCAGCACTAGACCAGCATCATCCAGCTTAGACCACATGGAATTCATACTGGTCTGTGCTGTGTTTTCAGCAGAGAAACTATACATTCAAACAGTTATAATCAGCAGCAACTGTTTAGGCCATAAACAATTTCAGTATCTTGTGGTTAACAGCTGAGTGAAGCTGGCTAATTGCTAACATTAATGTAAGAGCATAGCTGATTTGCTAGCTGGCTAATGCAGCATAGTACTTAGCTAACGTTAGTTGGATAACTAGCCTTAACTATTTTTTGCTAGGATTTTTTAGGATTTATAAGTCTGTGTCATCAAAAACTAGCAACTGTCAGTAGTTACCAGCCTAGCTCAACTTGGCGAGAACTGACTCAGTGTTCAAATCCCCCAGGCCTACACCTGCACCCAAAACATGAATCATTCAGACATGATGGATGGAAGGACATGGCTAATTGGGTCTGAAAGAGTCCGATGAGCCACAGAGGGTCACAGATGAGGAGGTTTCGGATGAGAGGCTAGGGTTATGGGTCAGTGTCCCATTACTACTACTGTTACAGCTGTGTGCTTTAAATAAGCTCTACTTACAATCACACAGACTCCTGTACTGCTTCACATCAGTGCTGATGTCTCCGAAGATTTCCTGAAGTCCTGTGCTGCAGTCCTGAAGTGGTTTGAGCAATCGGCTTGCAGCCCATACCCAATGCATCTTGGTTGCATTCTCACTCTGCCTTCAGTGATCAAAAAGCTATCCAATCAGCTAAAGTCCAATAAAATCACACATTAATTCAATTCCAGCCCTGTTCGCGCCTGCCATTAACCCAGGATTTGATGAGTTATGGAGACACATTGTGATCTAATCACTCAAACCAGCTTCAAGAGGCAGGGACAGAGTACTGACCAAGCCAGTGGGGACAGTGCCCAGGGACATCTGACTCGACAGGCCTCAGACCCTGAGGCCAGAGGCGACTCCGAGTATGGCAGACACAAAAAATATGAATAGCCTACAAATATGTAATAACTGAATAAATGAAATAAAGGCCCCTCTCCCGTAACCTGCCCCTACAAAATATGTGGAAATATAACTGTGCAGGAAATAATTGGCTATAGCAAATCAACTGAGAGATAATGTATTTTTTCTAACACTGTTCAAATAAACAAACGCAAGATATTTTTCGTTTTTTTCATTTTTGTGTTACTGGGGGGCCTCCAAAGACGCTTGCCCCCAAAGGCCTTGTGAGACCATGATCTGGCCCTGCCAAGTTGGACACATATAACAACATAGCTCATTTAGTCTCTTTTCCTGTTTGTTTAGAAGTTAGGTTAGCGGTTCAGTGTAATCGAAATGTTTGTAGCTGCCCATACATGTTGATGAACAAGGATGAGACGCAGCGAGAGAGTGATGTAGTAAACGTGCGCAGCACCCTTCCGCCAGTTAAAAACACTGATCGTAAGTGTTTACTAGAGGCACATTTAAAACACATGGAAATGTCAGATGTTGATGACTATATGTCTCAATGTCCATTAGAGGTCAAATTACTCCACATGTATGTTAATATCAGGTGTGAATGGGCCCATGTTGGAGAGAGGAGATCCAATCTGCTGCTGTTCATGTATTATATGCTCATTTTCCTCTGCTGTATGCGGTAGCTTCTGATTTGGAATAGCCAAAGATGATGCTGCTGCATTTTAGAACTGCAAGGAAAAGGTCACATTATAAATTAGGTTTTTTTGCCTCCATGTGATCCAGATCTGATATTTTCAGAGCTGCATGGACACACAAATGTGATCTTTTCAAATCAGAGCTGAGCCATTTTCATTTGAGGTCTTATAAGATACATATCTGCTTCCTGACCATGCGACCTGAATGAGAACGGTCAGATTAGAATTCTTTTGGCAGGTATTTCCATTGTTATCCCATGTTCACAGTGCACCAGCAGCTAACATGAAGTTTCTGCTTTTAAACTCTGCAGAAGCATTAAAGTATCTGGCTTTGCCAGTTAATTCATCACTGTTCATGATGCATCATTCACGTGATGTGTGATTATTGGTTAGGATGTGGCGTCACGGCGGCGCAGTGGGTAGCGCTGTCGCCTCACAGAAGGGCCTGAGTTTTCTAAATGGAGTCCAAAGACATGCAGTCAGGTAACTTGGTGAGGGTGTGAATGTGTTGTGTCTGCCCTGTGATGACCTGTCCAGGGTGTTTCCTGCCTTCTGTCCAATGAGTGCTGGGATAGGCTTTTGTGGCCCTGGAGGATAAGCAACTTAGAAAATGTGTGTGTGATTAGGATGTGCACATGTGAGTCATAAAATGTGCACAATCAAGGCAAAAAGACCAGATCTGAGCAAAAAATAGGCTTGTGATATAAACACAGCATTATTCATTTGTGTACACTGTAAAGCATAATAATTGCAAAAACCTATTTTTTTTTAATTACTAATACAAATCAAGTACCACATACTATTTCTTGTATAAGCCTTAGTTACTTCTGGAAATGTAGCAAAGATCAGTTGATCTGAGTATGTCCTACAGACTGAAGAGTCTAATGTCCAAAAATTAAAATGAATTAACTCTTTTATTCCTCATTTATAAATATAGCTCTCTTTGCTAAATATTTTGTGATATGTGATATTCTCTTGCTTCACTTGATGCCATTGCACAAGGAATAATATTTTATTCAAGTTAATCTAATTAATTGAAGAGTAGGCAGAACTTTGCACTGGACTCAAGGTTGCCCTTTAGCAACAGCTAATAGCTATGCTGACTCAGTTCTGTTTGATAGGAGGATAGATTGTGTTCACTCTTGAAGAAGCAGATACGTTTACAGTTGGCTCAGTTGCGTCTCAGACCGCATTCTGAAGTGGTCTGAGTGATTGGATAGCAGTCCGTCTTGATTGCATTTGCACTTTAATGATCAAACAGCCATCCGATCAACCAAAGACAAATGAAGTGGCCAAATATAATCAGTCATTAAAGTGCCCCCCTTCACACTGTAAGCTTAAATTAGTTGATTTTGATTAAAAATATCACGCAAACTTAATGCCTCAAAAAAATTAAGTTACTTAACAGTTTCAAGCTTAAATAACTTTATAGTTATTTAAAGTTATATAGTTTTGTACATAGTTACCATGTATTATATCAAAGTGCGGGGTGAGTTTGCAAAGAGAGTTATTTTAAAATTTTGAATAATTACAGTTAATTAAGAGAAACCAACAAAACTGCTAAGAATGCTGGGAAGCTACCTGGGCAAAACACTCTTCAGTCTGTAGGACTGATCCAAATGAACTGATCTTAACTACATTTAAGTAACTAAGGATTAGACAAGAAATAGTATGTATTGCTAGATTTGTATTAGTAATTTTAACACATTAGAAAAGTAAACCAAAAAAAAATCACTTTATGTTTAAGTTTTATGCAATTATTATGTTTTACAGTGGATCCAAAATACTTAGGTTTGGGTAAGAAACAGTAAGACAGTTCTAAGTATGGAGTTTATATATTCCACTGAAGGAGAACAGCGCTGTGTGTGTGTGTGTGTGTGATGAGGTGACTGATAAGTGAGTGACATGAGTTAAGAGGAGGTTTACGCCTTATCAGATGTTGACAGTGGTGTGTTTGTTGTCAGCATGACACCTGACCTCACTGTGTGTGTGTGTGTGTGTGTGTGAAACAGAGAGAGAAGGGTGTCATCTTTAGCATCTCATTGTTACTGGCTCTTTTCAGCTCAGCTTCAGTGCTCCGGCAGCTGTGGGCTCTTTACAAGGTCAGTTTAACTTTCTTTTTTTTATGTTAATGTTTATGCTAAGTATGTGTAGATATGTGAAGTTCAGTAGGTGAAAATGAGGGTTAAAACCCTTCAGGAACAGTGTTCATCTACTGTAAAGCTAAACCACATCTGTGCATGAGTTTAGTATATTATTGCAGTCGTGACAAAACTTTATATCTCAATATGTTTACTTTTTTGCATAATTTGAAAGTTGTCCTTTGCATTGTGTTAAAATTTCATGGCAACAGACCAACGTAAATGCTCCAAAAAATCCTGTCACATTAATTCCCATTATAAAATATGAACGTTTCAATATAGTAGATAGCAGCAACTGTATAGTTGCCAGTTTGTATGGTACGATGTGAGGTTTTATTGTGACAGTGATGTGATGATATAGAATGATGATGCAATGATGATGTTTGCTGCACATTTAATGTCTGATTTCTATCTATTGGTTTAACATATTGGAAAGAAAAAACATAACATTTAAAATGTGCTGTAACTTTTGCCATTTTTTTTGTTTGTTCGTTTTTCAATATGTTAAATGCTGCAAATAAAGTGTGCATTAAAATGTACAATAAAGTGTTTTCTCTGTAGAGGATGTGTTATATGTAACTTATTTTCACTTTAAAAAAAATAAAAAAACATCCCATTTGACCAGGGCACCGAAACTTTTGCATATGACTGTATGCACATGTCTCTTTTTCTGTGAAATCAAATTACAGCTAAAAAAAAAGAAATTGAGCAAAGTTTCCACAATGATGAACAGAGCTGTAGATGATTTCATGGAGAATGAAGTTCTAATAAAATTAGCATCCAGAATGTCTCACATTTAAAAAGTGCTGATTATATCTTCAGACAGAATACAAGGAATTACTGTAAATGGGCACTTACAGTATGTTATTTAATAACTTCTTGATGCTCACAAAAGTTTGAAATATTGAATAAAACATCGTAAAATATCTTATAGTGTCTAGTTGATTGTACTTCAATGTACACTGCATAGATTATTATTAAATAAAATAAAAGTAATTATTAAAAGGACCAGCTATTCCAAATTTTATCATTGTATCTCCAAAATGGTAAAAAAAAAAAACATGCTTACCATCCATCCATCCATCATCTAAACCGCTTATCCTTCTGGGTCGCGGTGGGGTGCTGGAGCCTATCCCAGCTGTCATTGGGCGGAAGGCAGGATACACCCTGGACAGGTCGCCAGTCCATCGCAGGGCAGACAGACAGACATACACATTCACACACACACACTCACACCTAGGGGCAATTTAGGATGTCCAATCAGCCTGACTGCATGTTTTTGGACTGTATATTAATGTAAAGAGACTTTATTCCTAGTAATTTTGGACCATTTTTATTGTTCCATTTATCATGAAATGTTTACACAGTGTAAAAGGCAACTGGCATTTTATACGTTTAAATATAATAATGACGTCTGGTGTATAACCTGTGTCTGTAGTGTGTGTATGTGTACATACTGTTGTGTGCGGTTTACACACCCCCTGGCAGATTACATTTTGTTGATTTGAAATAAAATGAGCTAACACATCCTCTAAAGTAAACTTAAATATAACATTTCCTGCAACTTTTAATGCTCAATTTCTATTCATTTAAATTTATTTGCAGAGGCCACATTTTATGCATCATTTTTCCCCAGAATGTTAAACTCATCATAAAAACAGTGGTTGTGCATTAAAATGTGCAGGTGTCTGATATCTGTAGAGGACTAGCACTTATTTTCAGATTAACAAAACATGGAATTGGAAACATGACAAGGGGTGCCTAAACTTTTGCAAACAATGACTGCGCAGTGACAGTGTGTGTGTGTGTGTTTGTGCTCAGTTAACTGACCCCTCAGTCCAAAGCTGGAGTCAACACTACGTGACATGACAGCACTGAGCTTGCTGGATCAGAGCTCGTCCGTTGACGAGAGTATTTCTCCTGAAAGTGAGCACTCCATCTCCCCCAGACAGCCCTGCATTCCCACTGCGCACTCTGTCTGCTGAAGAGGCTGGCACTCACCCTCTGAAGGCCATTTCAAAAGCTCCCTCAGTAGGGAGCAGGTCTGTGGCTGAGAGAGAAAGAGCCAGGCTGGGATTTCCTGACTGTGTGTACTCTCACGCAGCCCACGTCTTCCAAACGGCCCACGTGGAGAAGCCGCTCGCTCACAGAGTCATCAAGTACTCCCCCACTGCTCACACCCACACTGAGGATGAGATTTATGGAGACTATTCCAATGCAAAGCAGAACGAGCTGTGGGCATATGAGCTGGCATTCAGTGCCCTAAAATGTAAGTAACTAACCTCAGGTAGATATTATACAATCATCCATTCATTTAAGATAAGTAGCCTATACATATTCTATAGATATTCAAACATTTAGTGCTAGTATCATCAATAACATATATACTTAGTGTGTGTGTGTGTGTGTGAGTGTGTGTGTGTGTGTGTGTGTGTGTGTGTGTGTATGTATATATTTAGTACAGAGATCATAAGTAGCCTTTACGTTTAGTACAAAGATCATAAGTAGCCTATGCAGTTAGTACCAAGGTCATAAGTAGCCTATACATTTAGCACAGAGTATCTCTGTATATTTAGTACAGAGAAAATAAATAATACATTTCATCCTTCAAAAAATTTTAGAACAGTAAGATCTAAGTTGAGACTGGGACTGAAATCTGTTGGCCTAGTGATTTTACTATACCACCCACAGAAAGTGAGAGGGAGAGAGAGAGAGAGAGAGAGAGGGGCAGTTTAGCTACAAACTTAATAATAAATGTGTCCAGTCTGTCTGTCACTAACATCTCCCACCAATTTGGAGATTAGGAGTGTTCACAGGTGTCGCCCTGCTTGCTAAGCTCAGCTCTGCACATGAATTATTGGGTGGTGCAGTGTAAGCACAGGGCACTGGAGTGGGCTGCATGTGAAATCAGGGGCTGTTACTTTCCAATGCGCATCACAAACTCAGCCATAAGCTCACTGCTTCGCTTCTCGTCCACCTCATAACAAATCAAGCAACTTTCTCCTCCTGTGCTAGACTTATAAAAAACAGTCTGGCTGCCGATAGTGTAAAACAGGACGCAGTCAGAATGAGTGTAAATGCAAAATGCTAACTGGCACCTGCCTTTTATTACTAGCATAATAAGCAACATTGGCTTTTGGAGAAGTATTCATACTAAAATATCCCTGACACAATGCACTGACTGAAATTTTACATTTGGAAGAAGAAAAGGAGTGGAAGACAGAGGTGCTCAGCAGTTTTGTGTCAAATCCAAGGAAAAAACCTTATCAAAATGCTAAGCTTGCTAACAGTAATGTAAGATATCTTTAACCAGTTAGCATGAGCTCAACTCATCCAAGCTTCACAACTTGGATCATTAGTAATATAAAAATAGTGTTCATTTAGAACATACACGAAATAGGTTACAGTGATTGTGTGTAAGTAAAACACATGCTATATTTTTATTTATTTATTTATTTTTTTTTTACAAAATAACTCCATCCAAAGGAAAGGACTGGAATGCTAAAGAGGCTCAGTGTCAGATCAAAAGAAAAGCCCTACCAACCTGCTAAGCTCACTAACATTAACATAACCTCTTAGCATTATCTCATTTAAACTGTAAAATATGCAGACGATACCACCGAAACAGGCCTTACTGTAGATAATAATGAGACCTGTTAGCAAAACTATCAGTAACGTGGTTTGCTAACAGTGACCTCCAGCTTAATACATCAAAACAGTGGAGATCATTTGAGGATTATAGAAGAACAGAATTTATAAAACGGATAGTTCCAATCCTAAAATCTGATTGGCTGAGCCTCGTTTGAAGCCGTTGAAAAAACATGATATATGCACACCTTTGACAGCCTCACAACAACTGAACTCTAGTGCTGCTTGCATGGAGCACTGAGTGTACTGATGAAGTAAGAACCCATTTTTTGTTTAAACTGAGAGGATTAAAATCTTATTTTCTTAACTAGAACTAGGCTGGTCATCTAGCCAACAGGCTAAAAGCCAGCAAACAGCCTAAAGAGCTCCAACATTAATATCACAGGCTTGAATTAGCTGAAGTACTTATGATTCACTGTAAAACTGCAATATAAAGTTTGGCCCAGGCTGAATCCTGAATGGCTACCTACTCCCTAAATAGTGTTCTCTGCAAATTTTGAAATTCTAGCTTCTACAGAGAAACAGTCCACTATTTGTAGAGTATGGATGTGGCTAAATCCCAAATGACTATTCTTTTAGCAGTATCATGCACTGCTGGATTGCAGGATCCAGTATTTAAATTCCTATGTAGTGCACTATGTAGGGAGCAGGGCGTTATTTGAGATTCAGCCCCAGTGTGGGAAGATGGGCACCACTGGATTGGTGCAAAATAAGACTGGTAATTTGGTGGCCAAAAAGTGCTTATAAAGCGAAGGTTTTAGCATTAAACAGTGCTGTGTTATCATATGTTCATTATTATACAACAAAAAGTAAAATAGTTAATGAAGTAACTGCAGCATACAGTGATGGGAGATCAAACATTCTTCTCCTCATGGTTGCTTAGCAATGATATCATACTCTGGAACTGCATTTCTTGGCAGAATACTTCTTCCTTGAGTAAGCTGGAGGGGGGTTTTAGGCACTGCGCTTCCCATCATGCCTAAGAACACCCTTCTCCATGATAAAGTCGCTGTAACACGCAGCTCTTATGTTTATTGCTTTAGTAAAAACTCCAGTGCAGATTTTGGGACAGTCAATATCTGTTGTAAACATTTTTACATTAGTGATTCTGTGAAGTGGAGCATTAATTCTGATCAAATCTTCAAAGAATCTGAGCCAATGTTCTGTTTGAGACAATTAAAAAAATACAAACAAGATCAGTTGGATAAATTTTATTTGTTCATTATCAAGTGTTCTTATGTCAGCTATTATGGTTTGGTATAGGAATATAGGCATCAAGACTCGTAATAAACTGCCAGGCATTGTCAGTAAAGCTTCAAAGATAATTGAAATATCGCTTCAATCAGTCGACTCTGTTTATACTCAGCGCACTCTTAAGTGAACAAAAAGCATAATTGCAGAATTTGCTCATCCAGCATACCATCTTTTCTAACTACTTTCTCCCCCAAGGTGTAAAAGATCTTTAAAAATGAAGACATTGAGCTTTAAGAACAGCTTTTTTCCTACTGTGGTGAAGTTACTAAACCCTTCTGAGTGGCGTATGTCATTATAGTCTGTCTATAAGGTCTCCAACCCTTATAAGAACACACAACAAAACTACTGTGTAATTTTCAATGAATCTTCTATGCTAAATGTTGCTAAATGCTAAACTGTATTGTATATTATTTACTGTGTATGTATTATGTTGTATGTTTATGTGCTACAATAAAGCTGAACTACATCTTGTAGCACCAAAAGCAATTACCACCAACATGAGGTGTGACAATAAAGGATTAATCAGTCAGTTGCATGATGCTAAATACCACTAGCCTCCATAACTCGTATAATTATTTGCAGTGTTCAGATTTTGGGGAAGCGTTTGTTTCAGATCTAAATGAAACTCCCTACAGTGACTGTTTAATGTGAATATTTAAATTTTAATTTTTACAAACTGCCCACCCTAATAAGGACAGAAGCGCTAAGCAGTCTCAGTTTTGTGTTGGATCAAAGTCCCGTAGCCAGCCTATCTATGCTCTCTCATCCATCCTTCCTTCGCCCCCTCCCTTCCCCTTCTCTCTCTTTTCATCTCTTAGCTCTCCCTCCATCTTCCTCTGCATTATTGAACAGCATAAGTCATTTGGGATGCTCCTGCCTAAATCTGCATGTTTCCATGCCCGGGCTTATCACCTCAGCTCCCCTCTCTTCTGCATCCCTCCCTCCCTCGCTCCTTCCCTCTCTCTCTCTCTCTCTCCTAAATTTGCTTTCTCCGGCATTTCAGCTTGAGGAAGCTTTTTGATGTTTTGCACAGCACACTGAATTCCTATTTGTCTGGTGGCTCCAAATATCAGCTGACTAATATATTCAGATTTTTGAAGGAATAATGTACCTTAGAAATGCTAATAGATCTATGAGTGAATTACAGGAAGTCATGAATATCTAGGGTGTAGCTAAGTGGTCCCCACTAGCTTTCATTCGTTCTGACCATGACATTTACTGTGAAACATGAGCATTCCTATAAAGGCTCAAGAGCCTTACAGATTTTTGTCTAATGACATCTCTGTAATCACTGATGCAAAAGTTCAGATAAATCTAAATCAAAAATTACAATTCAGTTTGAATTGTACAGCATTTACAGTAAAGCGGCTTCCCAGAACTGTGGGTCTAGAACACTAATGAGAATGCTGCAGACGGAAGAAACACAGAGGAGCCAAGACTTAAATAAAAACCTTATTACGAGAATGAGAGAGAAACACTAAGAGGAACCATGACTCTGAGTTCATGAGGAAAAAATGCTGAAAGGAATCAAGACTCAAAAGAAGAAACTCCAAAGAGCATGAAGAAGAAATACTGAGGAAAACTAAGACTAAAAAGAGCGTGAGGAAGAAACACTGAGAGGAACCAAGGCCCAATCCCATTTTTACCTCTACCCGTTGTTTTTGAGCGCCACTTTGCCCCTTAGAACTGAGTTACAAAGGGGTAATGGTTGAAATCTTCCCCTATGAAACGGGACCCTCAAATAAAGAAGAGCATTACTTCATTAAGGCTACTGGTGCTGCTCTGTAGGAGACCCTGCCAGTCTGCAGTGATAGCAGAGGAGGGTAAAGTTCAGCAACCTCACTGCTGGGCTTCAGTCACATTTAGGGAATCATATGCCTTCAAAGAAGGGGGACAATTATTTATTATCACCCACCCCTAATTCTGCAGTGTTATGAAAGCTGAAGTCAGCTATTCTTCAGCTTCTTGTTCAAAATTTCCTGTTCCACCTTAAATGGTGCAGCAGTTACATCACGGTGCCTGAGGCGTCAGAAGTGCTGCACTGCTTCCACTGCAAGGTGGAAGGGGAAAACTAGCTAGCTATAGCTACCAAGACATCAGCATACTACTATTGATTTTTTAAGCTTGTTATGAAGAAAAGGACCATAATACAATGGAACGAGATTAAACTTAGATAATACGTTGGTTATTGTTATTTTTTCAAAAGAGAAAATGACTTACATTTGTGGGTTTGAGCCAGATTTGGGCCACATTCATTAGTTCCACTCAAGTTACAGTGTGTGGGCCAGATCTGGGCCGAGGATCCAGCTGTATACTGAGCCAGAACAAACCTAAGGATGTGGCCCTCAAGTGGGCTGGACAAATCTTGCTAAGTTGTGTGAAGGCAAAATTTAAACAATACGGCGCTCTAAGATTACTTGCTAAAGTGGCTCACTTGCTAGTGAAATTGCACAAGGTAACTTTCTAATGATTGATGCATTCTGAAAAATTATGAAAGCATAAAAAGCTTACGGCTGCATTTTAGTCTCATTGCAGGATTGCATGTTACATTATAGGAATATGGTTTGGAAAAAAATCTAATTAACACAGTTTTCCACCCCAGATGTAGTCGATCAGCTGAGATATTGCTAACAAACAATAGAACTCAAGTCACCCAAATAGCCCAATTCGTTGCTGTAAAATTACATCACCAAAACTTCTCTCAACCAGCTCAAACCTCATCCAGATCTTCATTAGATTCACACAGACTTGTCGATGTGGTTTAGGACACCGTTTGACGTACTGTGAACTATGAAAATGAACAAAACTGCAGGCAGCCACATTAAATAACAGGGTCTTTATTCACAGGCGATCTGAGGAGTAAAAGTGCTGATCTAAAATCAATATTTGTGACATAAATACGCAGGAATCTGATGCAAGATCAGTCCTGCTTTGTGAATGTCGGCCCTGGTGATGTCTGCAATGGTTGGTTCATTATTAAAGAGCACAGTAAGTCATACTATGTCCTAAACCTCATCGACAAGTCTGTGAAACCTTAATGAAGACCTCGATGCGGTTTGAGTGGATTGAAAGGAGTTTTGGGGATGTATTTTTATAGAAACAATTTGAGTTATTCGGGTGACTACTGATTTCTTGTGTTAGCAATGTTAGCCTAGTACCACCAGTTCTAAACTAAGGAAGCAAAGTTTGGATCCCAAACATATTTTGGCTGGTTAACAACATTTGGGGTGAATGAAAAAATAGGTAAATTGGGTAAAAGCAGCAAGCCAAGGAACCAGCATAGCGGAATGTGGCAGGAAAAAGTCCAACATAGTGGGCTGCATCATGTAAGTCCTGGTCTAAAAACCAGTCCCACTCTTATCTATAAAAATGTACAAATACACTTTTTTCTCCTGCACCATTTGTAGCTGAAAATAGTCAAGTGTGTCAAATGCAAATGTCCCCATGCCCTTACTAGAAAACAGGCAGTTCTGTTGCATATTCAGTAGCAGCTAAATTTCTGCTATCATCTTCTCACAGTCCAGGAGCTGCTAGAAGACATGCTGATTGACAGCTGCTTCTACCCATCTCAGCAAACGGTAAGTTTGCCTTTACCTTGACTGCTGCCTGAAATCATCTCTGAATTACACCATGGCCTTCAGGGAATGTTTATGTTCTGTACGTTTAGCCAGATGACCTCACGTCCCTCGTGGTGGTCATGCTATACGACCTCCAGGACAGGAAGTTCCAGCCCAGAGAGCCACTGACTGGAGAAGGGGAGGGGCCTATAGAGGAAGTGAGACGGGTGGAGAACAGCCTTTTCAGGTTTATACAAAAATAATCACTGAATTCTAACTGTATTCTAAATTCTACTATAAGACGTATATTGTACGCTAATCTAAAGCCTCTGTCGACTCGTTTGCTTGATCCTACAGTTTTTGTGATGTTTTCACAGAGAAAGAACAATGTTGGTCTTTTCTGTTGAGAGATTTTTTTCTTTTTTCTGCTGTTTTTTTCGGTTGGGTTTTAGTTTAGTGGGACCCAATGTGGCAAAGGTCACATCAGATCTGCCAAAGTACCAATCAGTGTTATCAATCTGTATATGTCAGCTTCTCGTGTTCCTCTTCCTCACATAAAGTGATTCTCTCCTGCTACTCTGAGTCCCGGACGAACCGCCCAGGAAGTGCATTATTTAAGCATTTCTAAAATTGTTAATGGTGCTTGTTATGATGGTTTATTACATCGTTGTTTGTAGTGTAGAAAGACACTGCTTCCTACTTGCGTTAGCCACCTGTTGCAGGATCTGACTATAAGCTATTAACTGCATTTGCAAGAGCACAATCGCTAACGGTCCACCTTAAATGAAGGAATAAAGTGATACATTAGCTACCCTCGCAGAGTTTCTCCGCAATTGTACTTGACAGGCGTGTTAGCAGTTCATTAGCTAACTGTTGGTTACAGACATATTGTTGCTGCTGAACATTCAAATATCAGACATGATATGTCTGTGATCTACAGTCATAAGAAGAAAGCCTGAGTTCTCAAACGTTAGCTACACACTTAAAAAAGATGGTTCTTCAAGGGTATTTTGGTAAAAGCAGTGGTTCTATATGGAACCATGAGCTGTATATGGAACCATTTGCATGCTTAAATGTTTTTTTTTCATGGTGAAATGATTCCTCAGATTGAGGGAGAATGTGTTGTAAATGGTTCTATATAGAACCTTGCTGAAAACGTTTTACATAGCACCAAAAAGTCTTCTGCTATTGTTACAATGTCAAGAAACCTTTTTGGTGCTCTACAGAACCCTTTTCAGGTTTCATATAGAATCACATGCAACACATTTTCCATCAGTCTGAAGAACGCTTCCACCATGCCAAGAACCATTTAAGCATAAATGCTTATAGAACTCACACACACACACACACACACACACACATCAACTAAACCGCTTATCCTTCTGGGTCGTGGAGTGGGGGGTGGTTCGGGGTAGGGGGTGCTGGAGCCTATACCAGCTGTCATCGGGCGGAAGGCAGAATACACCCTGGACAGGTCGCCAGTCCATCACAGGGCAGCTTATAGAACTCATGGTTCTAAAAAGAGCAATTGACATAACTAAAGAACCCTTGAAGAACCATCTTTTTTAGGTGTGCAAAATGTAATTAGATCTCTATTACACTTTTTACTGCGGTGGAGAAGAGCGAAGTGGTCTAATGTTCTTCTAGGACTCTCGTTCTTCAAAATAAAACATGTAGGGCTCAACCACTCCGATCCTGCCTGCTGCGTGTGCCAACTCCATCATTTCTGACACGCTCAAAAGGTCTGAGCTGACAGCAGCTCTGAATTTTTGGAGCCTTTATCTTCTATTAAATTGTATTCTGTTATATATATTTCTTACATATAACACTGGTAAATGTGTTTTGTTTGCAGCATATCTTTAGTATTAAAACACAATTTTAAACATTTGAAATCCCAATGTTGACAGGGGCTCTCATAGTTTAAGATTTTTGCATGTTAGCATGTACTGGACTGTCTTGTACTTATGGAAAGTGCTCAAACATTAATAATCAAAAATCATAAGTTAAAACATTAATAATCAAAAATCATAAGTTAAATCCTTTTAATGAAGCCAATTGAAAACTTTTTTCCTGTCCGTGTGTGTTTGTGTCAGTTTCAGGACTAAGCTTGCAGCTTCGTTGGCTCGATGTAGAATCAAGCAAAACCTGCTGTCTATCGATGACATCTTGCCGAAGAGTGTGAGAGAAAAACACCAGAGAAAACATAAACTACCACTGTGTGCCTGGGTCAACACACTTAAGACCAGGTGCGCTACCATTTTACTATATTACCAGGATGGTACAATGTGACAATACTGTTACACAGGTTTAGTTCAAATACTGTAGAATGAAACCAAATGTCTTTAAGCAAAGGGCTTCACAAAGTACAAAATGCCCAAAATGCCATATCTAAAGCCAGATACAATTTGGGATTTCACTGTTCGTCTGCTGGAAAAATGAATCAGGCCTTGGATTTAGAGGCTGAGGCACCTGCTATCTTAACCTTTATGGATCATTCCGACAAACTGGTTTAAAGTCAGAGAAGAAAACTAATTTTGAACTTCTAATGACTTGAACTTTAGACTAAAATCCTTATGTTTATTTTATTAAAACAAATGATTAAACACTCTGGTTTGTCACTACCAATACAATCAGAACTCTACTTAAACTTTACCAAATGTTTCAGTAGTGACTGATGTGGTAGTGACAAGTTTGCTAATTTTGAGCAGAACTTAATAAAAACACTAGCCAGTATATGACTAGCAAACATAGCTTTGAACAGCTGTTCATCTAAAATAACAAAAAACTTTACTGAATTGCAGAAAATATGTGTTTCGCTAGTGACAATTCTTAATGTTACACACCGATTTTCAGACTTTTGGACACATTTACTTCAAAACAATGGAATCTAGCTGCTCATCATGTGGCCATGAGGGACAGGGATGCAGTCTCACTTCCTGCTCTAAAATACAGGGGTGTGGCTAATATAAGTCTCCACCCACAGACTAAACTCTGTGTTTCGTTAGTGACACTAAAAATGTGGGACAGTAATTTCTAAATTAAGTAAGTTTTAATAAATACAAACTCATGATAAATCAAAATCTTTCAACCTCACTCTAAGAAAAATTTAAAAAGGTACAAAAACTGTAAGTATTACTTTCACAGGTTTAGTGGTTAGGGGTTGGGACAGACACCTCCCAATTTTAGGGGAGATGTATTTAGCTTAACACTATCTTAGTTAATGCCTTGAGTTTAAATAGATCATAGCATAATTCTTGTCAATATCTAAGGTCTGAATACCTAACTGTTTTCAAGTTAAAACACACTTATAAAATAACATTAACTTTAGATAATAAACTATTTTGATTCCTGTTTTGAAATCTGTGACCATATAGCAACCATGTAGTGCTGGTGTGGGTTCAAGAGTTGTTTTTGTGTTTAAATGTTTTTTTTTATTATGGGAGATTTTTTACTGCAGTTGTGCTGTTTTATCTCAGCGCAGTCATGTTTGCAGAGAGGCTTGAATTGTTTTCACAGCTTGCGGTCCTCACTCCTCCCCCTTCACCCCTCATTGCTCGCTAGCAGCTCAATACAGAGTCACAACATTTCAGAGCCAGCAGTACCTTAGTTAATTGGATAACAGAGTTGAAGGGAGAAGTATTTTATTTGATTATATTAATTAACAATATCCAAATCCATTTGCATTCTGGCAGTGGAATAGCCACTAGGGGGCCTGCAGAAAGAGATTAAAGAGGCACAGAAATGCTATTTGAGGGCTAACAGCGCCCATTTAAGGGGGAATCTGAATTATTATGGAGAATATTTATTATTGTGGAGAATAATAATAAAATCACAAAATGAGTGTTGAAATTCAAATCTTTTACATACTGTACTGTTACAAAAATTACAGTGCTTTTTAGTATTACTATGTGTTTTTATTTTAGATCGACAGTGCTTCAATTTGAGCCATAACTCGAACAACCTTCCTCAAACTAATGCTACCTGCTCAAAATAGTTCATGTACAGCCCTGTAGATGCACATTTAACAAGCACTTGTGTTTGTGTGTGTGAGCTTGTGTGTGTATGCACAACCTGTCTCCACAGTATGGAGGAAGTGTGTGAGACCCTGAGAGCAGCAGGCTTCTTCGAGGTGGACCCTCAAAGTCGTCTGAAGGGAAAAGCATTCTGTAAAGACCTGCACTGTCCCGACGTACTGCTGTTTTCCCAGCAGGCTCGACAACAGCTGGACGAGACTTTACTGATGACAGAGCATGCTCTCATAATACAGGTCAGACTCAAACTTATAAGACACCACACCACACACACACACACACACACAAACACACACACACACACACACACACACACACATATACATACACACAACTATTACAAACCTTCATCACAAATTCCCAAAAAGTCAAATAAAATAAAAATAAAAACTGAAAGCAGTGATTTGTAAACATTTTATGCAGACTCAAAGGAGATTTTTTAGATAGACAGGAATTTTAAATTCATAACATGTACATTTTTACAATCAGTGATAATAAATTAAGGGACGACCCCAGCATATTTTAACCCCTTAAAATCCTAGGCTTATTACATACTAAGGCTTATTATTCAGTAACTACAGGGATTCATGGTTAAATTATTCTTCGGTTATAGAAGTGTGTAATAAGACCTTGGGCCCTCCTGCTGGCCCTGGCCGTTTAAGGGGTCGTTGCATCATGTATCAGCTAAAATAAGCTTGATCCTTTTGTTCTGTTTTTGCTCCGTTTACTCCACTGATGTAGAGGCACCATAAATGGACACTGTTTACAACCTGCAGCTGTAAATTATACATGTAATATCTGCAGCTCCAGTGTTTTCACTGGGTTTAAACTAAATGTGTGCATGTACATTCTGCTGCTTGCTACCAAAACCCATTACTAAACACATCCCCACAGAGTTTTTCACCCTTGAATCGCAAATGAATTTCAGAAACACAATGCTGTTCTAGCCATGTCCACTGTTTCTGGTGTCTTTTCATCTGTTATTCAATGGTCAGGAACCCCACAGAGCAGGTATTCTGCTGTGTCTGATCCACTTGTACCACAACACACACACTAACACACCACCACGTCAGTGTCACTGCAGTGCTGAGAATGATCCACCACCCAAATAATACCTGCTCTGCGGTGGTCCTGTGGGGGTCCTGACCATTGAAGAACAGCGTGAAAGGGGGCTAACAAAGTATGCAGAGAAACAGATGGACTACAGTCTGTAATTGTAGAACTACAAAGTCCTCCTATATAGTAAGTAGGGCTGATAAAATGGACACTTGCAGAAACAAGGATATGTTAGCTTATGAGCTAAATACATTCCCATCTCCTTTGTTAGATTTTCACTCTTTAACATGGTTTCACCAGTATTCCCACGCATTAGCTTTAACGTAGGCAGGGATGCAGTGACTTCAGCGTTCACACTACTAATGTTACGCAGTCATATGCATCTCTGACCACCTTGGAAGGGTGTAGGAATGATAGGATGACAGTGCCTCTGTAAGACTCACTGAACCCTGTTCAAACCTGTAGTTAGCACTATCCACTTACGACTGGATCAGCTGGGTACCTTGCTGTTGTTCATTAGACTACAGCATGCCATTCAATACCATTATCCTGGACAAGACCATTGTTGATCAGCTGTCAGATGAAGATCCATCATCCATGGACTTGTTGGCCTGATAGGCAAACTGCAGTGGGTTCCATGTGGGGTTGAGGGTGTGATGTCCTTCAAGTGTGCTAACACCAGTATCTAGTTTTAATGACTACAGATGTCAGAACAATGGGCCCATAGTCATCCAGTCCTGTGATGGCTGCTTTTTTGGGGATGGGTATAACTGTGGAGCATTTGAAGCAAGAAGGTTCTTCACATATCTTCAAGGATATGTTAAAGATCTATGTTACAACAGGTGAGATGAGTTGGTCAGCCAGATCAGGAAGGTGAAACACAGTCTGGACCTGGTGCCTTTCTGACCTTAAGTGTCTGGAAGGTTCTCCTCAAAGATTTTCAGTGCACTGGGTGGGAGTTAAAGTATGGGGAAGGGGTGCTGATGTTTGTTGTTTGGTTTGTATGAGATGTGAATCAGAGCTGGAGAGGTGGGCTTTTTAAAACCTGTGTTCAGCTTGTCCTGCATTGTCTGAGAGGGATGGCTTCTTGTAGCTGGTGATGTCTTATAGGCTTGTCCACACAGTCACTGGGTCGTCGGCTGACAGCCTACTGCTCAGCTTACTGGCGAAGCCCCTTTTGCCTTTGATCTCTCCTGTAAGAGAGTTCCTTATCTGATCGTATAAATTCAGCAGATTCTCGCTTCTACCTGTAGGTGGGGGAAAGATAAACAAGGCAGTGATCAGATCCTGGACAGTAACAGGCCTGAGACTTTGAATCTTTTTCAGAGCCGTCCTGAAAAGTAATGTCAGCCCTCCCAAAGTGAAAACTGACAGTGCAAAATATTAAACTGCTTTTTTTACATTTCTGTTTTGAATTTTTGACCTACCATATTACAGATTCACAAACGTCAGATAAACATACACAGAATCATGCTCAGCACAAATGCACATATACACTCATACACATAATGCATTTGTGTGCATTTGTATGAGTATCAGAAGCTCTGTAACTAAATATGGGATCTTTTAAAGCATGACATTTCAAAATTGCATTCTTGTGATGGAATGTTGCTGTGTGAATTGCTATGGGCTTCATAAATGGCTAATAAACAGTAATTATTAACAATTATTAACATTTTATTTATTTTAATTTATGGCTGCCTTTAGAAGAAGAATAGAGCAAGATCATCATCATCATTGTACACAACAAGCACTTTACTTGATTGTCTGTTACAAGCTATAAATGTCCATGTTTAAGGTAGAGTGTGCTAAAAAAACATTAACACACAATTATTAGCTTGATGCTAAAATTACATGTGAATTCCCATTGACAGGCTAATGGAAATTAGCGTTAAGCTAGCAGCAGAATTTTTAAAGAAGTTTTTAAGGATTAAAAACAATTTCTGGATTAAACATTGCTATATTTAGGGAGGGGGCGTGGACAGCTGGCACAAAACATAGTCATGATATTATGACTATATTTCGTAGACATTAAGGTAATTGTCGCTGAAGTGACCCAAAATGGTTTGAAACATCTTCCCGTGATCAGCCCTGTGGCTTAGCGGAGTTATAGGGTAAATCTTTGGTTAACGATTGGAAGTGCAAGATAGGGGTTTCTAATGAAGTGGACAGTCAATATGAATCACTTGCATTGCCCTCACATACATACGTTCATATTTTTCCTGCCCACAAATATGTAAACTTCTCTGTTTCCACTGAGTGTGTTGAATGTATATGTTTGTGTTTGTTTCTTAAAGGCTAAGGTCCGCAGTCTGGCTGTGAGTGCGGTCCGCCCCCTGTTGGCGAAAGATACTGATATTCTGATGGTGGGGTCCTTCTCTGCTCAAACTGTAGCACATGTAGCGGTCCTCGCTTCTGCCTGTGATGTTCGTGTCCACATCTGTGGGCTTCCTGCTGATCCCGCCCACAGGGAGGGGCTACAATCTACAATCTCCACCATTGGCTGCAAAAGTGAGAGAGCATTCAGAGTTCACTCGTTATGGCTGATCTTTTGGCTGTTATGGCTTGTTCTTTTTTTTTTTTTACCAAAGATTTCATCTCTCTATCATTAAGATATTGAGACAAAACTTCATGAAGTTCATAAAATTTGTCTGTATTCTGGTTATGCTAGAATTCATAGCCTATATGGGCAGTACATGCTCATTGGCCACTTTATTAGGATCATGCTAATAAACCCTAAGCACATTATCATACTGGAAGTAGCCTTTAGAAGATGCATAAATTTACAATAACAATACAAAACAATTCTCAGATAGGCTGTGAAATTAAAAACCATGCTTGTTTGGTATTAGGGGGCTAAATGTGTGCCATGAAAACATTCCCCACACCCTTACACCACCAGCAGCAGCTTGAACTGTTGGATGCAGGTTGGGTCCATGGATTAATGCTATTCATGGCAAATTTTGACCCTACAAGCTGCAAGTCACAGCATAAATTCAGACCAGGCAACTTTTTAAAAAAAATCTTTTTCTGTCCACTTTCAATCAGCCTGTGGTCATCATAATCTTGGATTCCTGTTCTTGGCTGAGAGGAGTGGATTTGGTCTTCTGCTGTTGTAGCCCATCCACCTCAAAAGATGCTTTTCCGATCACTGCTGTTATAAAGAGTGGTTATTAGAGTTTCTATTAGAATTTTTGCCTTTCTATCAGCTGGCCATTCTCCTCTCATTAACAAGGCATTTCTGTACACAAAACTGACCCTCACTAGATGTTTTTGCGTAAACTGTTGTGTGTTAAAATTCCAGGAGGTCAGCAGTTCCCAACAACCACACCACACTCAAAGTTACTAAGGTCCAATTTTTTTCCCATTTTGATATTTGATGTGAACATTAACAGAAGCTCTTGTTGTGTATCTGCATAATTATATGCATTGTGCTCCTGCCACATGATTGGCTGACATGTGTGTATGATTTTGATTTCATGCTTTAGCTCCTATGGTTAAAATACAGCTTAAATCAACCAGCGTAATCAATTTTCTGGCAGTGGGAACCCCAAGCCTGTCTAATTAGTGAGGTATCTGTGTGTGAAGATGTGCAGTTTCTCTCAGATGAGTTTGCTGAGCTGAATGAATGGGACTCACGCATTCAGACGGTTCGGGTCATTCTACTGCTGCCGCGATGTACAGCGTCTGGGCTTAGCAACCCTGTAGAACACATCCTGCATGAGGACGGAGGTACGGAAAATGAGAAAACCAATACATATGGATGGTTAAGAATTCCGCTATCTACGAAGAGAGTGACTGTAAGTAACAGTAACTGTTCTCACCAGACAGGGAACTGCTGCAGGATCTGTCTAAGGGCACCATCTCGGACACCAAACTGGACTCACTGGTTTCTAAACAGATGCAAGACCTTAGTCATGCACTAACATGTAAGACACACGCATTCACTCATGTAGGATACAAGCAAGCACACACCCTCAATACACACCACACAAGCACAAAACAGGGCTTTATTACTTAAACCAGCAAAACCCTAACTGTAGCTATTATGACAGTTAAGGCCATTACACACGGAATGAGATACGAAAAACAATGAAGCAAAAATGCAAAATATATGTGATTGGTCAGTGAGTTTTTGTCACAGGTGAAGGTTCTCAAAAATCGAAAAGAGGGTGAAGAAAATAATGTCACATTTTCACCATCTGGAAAATCGCATTTGACATGCAGTCACGCACTCAAATTCATTTACTGCCCTCTGAATAAATCGTGGTCAGTGTGTAAAGGCCTTCACTGTGATACTGCATCTGTCTTGCATAACAAAACCTTTCAAGGCCAGTTTTAGTTTAGTATTATAAAACATTACATGACCAACAAACTAGACACATTAAGTGATTATTCAACTGGGATAATGCATTGTTTCTGTGAAAGTAATTTTGTTTGAAAGGTAGTAGCCACTTAGCAACACAGTGATAACTAGAATCTGATCTAGTTTAAAAACAATCAGTGGCAAAATTAAACAAGCCAAAGCAAAAAAACCAAACCATAGTATAGACCAAGAATATGTTACTCCTGCTGGTATGAACAGGATCCTGAAGTGTCCCTTTCTGAGGTGTTTAATACCACCACGATGGGATCTAGTTACCCATCACTGCTCACGGCACCTCCTGGTGGCCCAAGTGGCAGTATCAGACTATTGTGCAATAACCTCACACATGCGTATATAAGAAGCCAGAGCTATTACATTTTCACTCTGCAATGCAAGAGTGATTTTTCATCAAATACTTTTCACTGTGTGGGGGTGTGTATGCATGGGAGACATTCTGAATCACACTTTTACCCCAGAGTGATTCTCTCGTCCTATTTTCTCAGGCCATTTTCCACTAACACTGTCTTCTAAAAAAAAAGGCCACAGCTTGTACTTAAGCTTTGTAGATAGTAACTGAGTTTCTCATACTGTATTCATATTTTTATACCCTTTGTACACTTTCTTTCATTAAAGACATAAAAAATGCATCAGTAGTATCCACATAAGTATCTGCAGCTATGTTAAACTGAAATTTTCTTGTTCGCCACATCTCCTGAACTACAGTTCCCAAGGTGCATGCTGTGGTCTACTGCACATGCTCAGTGTACGCAGAAGAAAATGAATCATTGGTGAAGAGAGCACTTGAGAAGGCAATCATTAGGCCAAAGCTACGGCCATTCAGGTACACACACACACACACACACACACACACACACTGCCTCTATCTATAGTCAACATGAATTGCAAAAATCATGGCACGTTCTCCTTCCATACTGTGACGTATGTGTTGATATGACCTTCCCTGCTCACTGATGCACAGTGATATAATCAAAACACAGAAGTTTATAAGTGGTCAAACATCAGTATACTTCAATCAAAGATTTCAGGTAAACAAGATTTTTTATATTTTAGTCGTAGCCAGTTCCATCTGCTAGTTAGGTCTCCCTATATCACACAATGAATGTGTTTACATGCACTTAATAATCTGATAGCTGCAGAAAATCAGATTTTGTCAGTAACCCGTTAATTGCGTTTACATGCACTTGAGTAATCAGATAATGGAAAATCTCCGGGTCTACATGAGTCAGGCAGTAATCGGATTTCTGCTTTGCAACCAGCCAATAAATTTAGTAAATGTAGCATAAAACTCAAACATCACACTACAGCTTCTTTTATTTTTAAACATTGAGTCATTTCATGGAATATGTGAATATACATCATCTAGAAAATAATATATTATTTATAATTAGATTTCAATCCTTCATTTCGTCAAGCATGTATTTGGTTTCAGCGTCAATCCAAAAGTGGTTTGTTGCCATCTTGCAGGTGCTGTGTTAAACGCCGCTTGCTTATTTCCGGTACTGTGGTCTGTTTTTGAACATTTGTGACTGAAATAATAGAAAGAAATCAGAATAAGGGCATACATGTGCTGAGAAATCAGATCACTGAGCTAAAATCCAGCTCTTTATTGGACTGCATAATTGGATTTCTAGGACTTACTCTAATCTAAGACATTGGAGTTTGCTGTTTACATGACCACTTGAATAATCAGATAAATGCAGAAATCTGATTATGATTGGATTACTAAGTGCACGTAAATGTAGTCATTGCTACCAAGCCAAGTCAGGTGATAGCAGCCAGCACATCTTTTCAAACTACTGCTAATGTAACATCACTGAACATGCTTGGAGGAGAAAGCTAAATGCCAATTCTAGTAAGCCCGTGTTGGCTAACACTATGTTGAGGCAAATGATGCTTTCTAGGACTCCAGGCCACAGATGAATGTGGAATCACCAGGGAGTGAACTTGCAATCTTGCTTCAAAGACTGGAACACCTGGAAGCATGGAAACAGCATTTTTGTCCTTTAAAATGGTGTAATGAACTGTGCTTATGACCATGACAATGAGTGTGAACTAGCCAGATTTTCCACCTTAAAGTATATTCACACTGAGATTTTTTACGGCCGGAAGATAAAGCATTCGAAATTATTCCAGAATGTAAGATCATCATGGGAAAAGGCCTATGGCTTTTTTCTCTAACTTAAATTAATTAAAGAGACGGACACAGAAATTTTTGACCGGCGCTATCATGATGACAGCATTTACACTGCTGCATGCCGCCATTGGTCGAGCAGAAAGGCACGGAAACACTTCAACATCAATATATAAACACATTAGCTTACTCTGCTGTTTCTCCTGACTATGGGAAGCTGAGCTGTGCTAGCTCCTAGGGCACTCAGGTAGTAGTTGTTTGTGGTGGTGAAGAAATATTACTGCATAATGATGAAAAAGCGACAAGAAGATTGCAACCTTAAACCATTCACTCTGGACACCTGCAGTTAGGACTGTACAAGGTTTCTGGTTAAATAGGCTTTTGCCCCTGTGGTACGCAGTTGTTATTAGTAACTAACAGCAGTTAGTGTGAGGTAAGCAGTTGTGTGTTGAGTTTAACATCATTTTTTTTATTTCTGTCTGATAATGGGTTGGTAAGTTTCTAACGATTTTCCTTACTAAAGTTGGCAAGTTGGTGTTCGTCATGCTCACTATAGTACCGTCTATGAGAATCTTCCACCAAAATGAAACTGAGTACGGGAGTCAGAAACTGATGGGCTGCAACGCTCTGTAAAATGTTTAATCAAGGGCCAGCTTGATTATCTGTAAATGTGTTAAAAATCAGGCTGACCGGAGCTTCGTCAACATGTGTCAACATGTGCACACCTTGCCTGTGGCTGACCACAAAAGCAAAACGTTGACTATACACTGATAACCATAACATTGAAACCACGTTGTTGTATTTACACTATTTGTCTATTTTATCAGCTCCACTTAACCAGTTAAGTGCACTTTGTACTTCTACAGTTACAGACTGTAGTCTTCCAAATACTTCTTAGCCCCCTTGTACCCTGTTCTTCAATGATCAGGACCCCCACAGGACCACCATAGAGCAGGTATTATTTGGGTGGTGGATCATTCATCAGTGGTCACAGGACACTGTTGGCTGGATATTTTTGGTTGGTGGACTATTCTCAGTCCAGCAGTGACACTGAGGTGTTTAAAACTCCAGCAGCACTGCTGTGTCTGATCCACTCAGACCAGCACAACACACACTAACACACCACCACCACATCAGTGTTACTGCAGTGCTGAGAATGATCCACCACCCAAATAGTACCTGCTCTGTGGTGGTCCTGGGAGGTCTTTATAGTGAACTTTAGCTGAAAGACCGGGGAATCATCGTACTCAAGGAATATTTTTTTTCTTTCTCTTCTTTCCCTTTTTCCTTTAAAAAAAAACACATTGGACTTGATGTGAAAGTTCCACTGCGATAAAATCGTCTTTGTTTGAAAAATGCATACTGGGCTTGCATAGATCTTTCCCCTAATGGTGACTAAAGTACTTTTTAGTTTTGCACTGGAGCTACGAGGCTAATATAGCTAATGAAGTTTATATCTCACCAATTTACATTGTGAAAACTGCATATCTAAATCACACAGCTGCTTTAGTGACGACTTGGTCATAGTTTAGTAATCCCAAATAGACCTGCCTATCTCGAACAGACTATTCCTCTAACCTTCTCTATCAAAGCTTCCACACACTGTTTGAGAACGAAATCCCTCCTGTCACACACCACTACTTCCAATGATTGAAAAGTGTCCGTAACCATGGCAACAGCAAGTCCTGTAATCCAGTAAATAATATGTTGCAGTTCTAAAGATCTGTATTAACCACAAGCCTTTAACACCCCATACTGCAATTATCTACCTATTTAATACACACACACACACACATAAATATATATGTCCACCATGGAGAAGTGCGGACGTAATGATGAAGCCAGCATTTGCTCTATGCTTCTTACTACAGTGACTTACAGTTTCCACAAATAATGGACCAAAAGAGTCCATTCCTACAAGTCTCTGCCTTTTGAGGTTTGCATATTTTGATAAAAGCAAGTGAGCAGGATCTGTTTGTCATTAATGAGCACATATGCAGGCTGGCTTGGCTAGATTCATGTTGGCTGTGTAATTCATGATTTTGTATGGCAGGCTGTTCTCCATTCTGTCCTCTCCATCATCTCTTCAAAGGAAAACTCCAGCATTTTACAACCTAATCTATGTCTGTAGCACACAGTCCACTACCATGAGCATCATTTTGGAGACATATCCTGTACATAGAAAAGAACTGTAAACTCAAAACACACGTCTCCTTCTCGCAGTAGCCATACAATACATTTTCTGCTGGTTTTAGAGATCCCTCAGTTCTTTAATAATGTTGATGGGATATATTTTGAAATAAAATATGTATGATTTATGAAACTGGAAGAGAACTGTATTTTTGTCTTTGTAGCTGAGTAAGTCAAAGTGTTTAAAGGAGTGAACTATATGTAAGATGACGCAACCTGTCGAATTCATACTCCACACTCCAAACAAATGGGGCAACATATCACCAGAAAGTTGTGGTGTCCACCCCTATCATATCCCCCTTCAAACATGTTTACCTACCAGTCTAGAAGAAATGTTACAGGTTCAGCATCAAATTTCATCCCTTTACTCATCAAGAGCTATTAATACTTTTTTTTTCTCTATTTACGTTTTTTATTTGCTGCCAGAAGTGGTTTTGTGCCGAGAGTGGATTGCAGTGGTGATAATGGTTGCTTGCCAAGAGCTCCAGCCATCATCAGCTGCATTCCAAAGCCTAGGCTGCAGCCAAGGTAGGCTGCATTTCTCAGGCCGTTCCAAAGTGAAGGTCCTTTCGTACACAGCCTAGAAATGCGCCTACATTCTGAGTGATTTTGAGGATGCATCTGATGTATCCTTACGAGTCTTTGGTTACCCACAGTTCTGTGTGCACAAACAAAGCGAAGGAAAAAAAAACAGCATCACGAAATCAACGGAAAACGAAGCCACTGGAGCAGAGCTTGTTTTAAAATGTAAGTTGTTCAGGACTTTGAATTTGACTTTATGAGCTTATAAACTGATTGATTAATTAAACCATTCACCCATATATCATATTTTAATCATATATATATATATATATATATATATATATATATATATATATATATATATGTATAGTTTATCGTACTACATAAGCTTGTTGCCGTATTAGCTACCATAGCAACAAACACAATGCAGCGGGTTCTCTCACAAGTTTCTCACCGCAATTGCAAGAGGCGGGACCTTTCTGGTGACGTCATCCCACAGCCTCTGTTCCATTTGTGTGACCACTAGACTACTACGGTGGAGTCTTCATAGGGCGGTCCTACCGAGGACCCGCCCTACCTCGGTTGCAGCCCTGGCTTTGGAACGCAGCTACTGTGTTTACTGGATGCTACAGTGACTCACTATCGCCTCTTTAAGTACAAAGTGGTATTACGAGAGAGGTGCTGATATCTTTGCAACATGATACACAGACATCTTTGAAGTAACACCAAAACTGGTATTTCTTCATATTATGTTGATCATTTTAGTTAATTCTGAAACTGTAAATCTGTTCATTTTGGAACTAAAAATAATTTTACACTAAAAATACTACAAATCACACCTTTGAATGCTGTTTTTATTCTGGAAGTTGTATTCAATTGTTTGATATTAAGAAAACTGCAGTTCTTTTTATTTCGCTGCAGTTGTCTATGTGGAGAGGCGTAGATAGATTTCAAAGCAGGGGTCCTCACCCATCACCTTTCACCCCTCATTGCTCGCTAGGAGCTCAACACAGAGTCATAAAAAACAGTGTCGTAACAGTGTCCTAGTTAATCTGATAAAGATCTTTAAAAAAATCTTTTATTTGAATATATTATTAAAAACTATCAGCGCTGTGGCCAATTGGAGGGCTGCAAGAGTTTATAATTGAAGGTAAGGGAGAGCTGCTCATTTCTACCAGTCATGCAAAATGTGTGTTTTTGTAGAAAACGTCCATGAATTCCACATTCAAAGGTATTTGTACATCAAGAGGTAAATCTGTATAGTTTGTTCTTTCAAAGGTGGAACGGGAAGAATTTGTTGTAATATGTTGCCACTGTAGTGGCACAGATTGACTTTTTACAGGTCCTACCTGATCATCATAGGCCGGGTTTTCATTCAAACGTTTTAAGTGTTCTGCGCATTTATGAAATTTTAGCAGAAAAAAATGCAAATTAAGTTGTTTCTATCCACTACAGTTGTGTGCAGAAACTTTAGATGACGTAGGCGACTATAATTTACAGCCATTTGCCATCTTTTTATGGCCGTGTTGTTTGTAATGGCCCACCTAATGAGGCCTGAAATCTCCGTGCCACCCCAACGATGTCTACCTTGCATCTGGGAACACAAACGCACCACACAATTCTGGGAGCACATTGTGAAGGGTCATTTTTCAAAGGAGCTTTTGACTAAGAATTTTAGAGAGTTGAAAGCACCCCTCAAATGGACCATGACTGGACCATCTGTAGGGCCAGTAGTTTCTCACTTACAGCTTGTTACATCATTGTTTATTTGAAAAAAACCCTTTTCCATTACTCTGTTTCGTGTTCCAGCTTTAGCCATATTCTGACTTTCCCACCTCGTCCTAGTATAAAACTCTACTGCGATATTTGGGTTCTGGCTTTTTCCATTCACTTTTTTTGCACATTTTTAAAATTCACAAAAAACCAGTAGATGGATAACCGCTAATAATACCATTAATATAACCGCTAATATAATAATTACTTTAAGGAAACCAGAAGTAACTGGAACTGCTTTTTTGCTATGCTGCTCCATTATTCTAAAACCTTTGTTACTGTTATCGAGAAATGGATAAAACTGAATAAGAACAGCTTTAATACATGCTCTCATTCTCACACCTGTGTTGTTAGAAAGTAATGACTGCACTTCAGCCATGGCCCATTCGCTTCTAGGTTCTGTTTTGAGTACATAGATTTTCTGTTATTTTCTTAATACAGAGTAAATTTGTTAGACTTATTGTCTGTGGTAACTTAACATCGACTACAGATGTGGTGGATGTACTCTGAACTTCCGTCGGACCACCTACTGCCATTCTTTAGCCCTCCTCCTTTCCCTTTCTCTCTGTGGTCCTTATGGAAATCACCAGGCCAACAATTCTCAATCCTAGATAAAAACTAAATCCTACTGTTGTAAAATTCTAATGTACTCTGTAAGCCTGTGTGTTTCTCTTTGTGGTTCAAGAACAGGAACAAAACTCTAGTACTGAGTGTATTCTGATCCTTCAGGATAGTGTCTACAGGATGGAGGGAGGAGGCAGAGGAGAAGTTCTTCAGACTGGAGGAGTCGGACTCCACTGACGGCTGCTTCATCTGTGTGCTGAAGCGAGATGTACGTGTTTGTGAATGTGTTTGTCTAAGGCTCAGTTCACACTTGGTACTGACATCCATCTTGAGTGATCTGATCATGACAGGGCGGCAAGATGTAAAGCTCTTTATTAACTAGCATTTCCAGGGTCTCCAGTGAAAACTTAAGAAACATACTTCACACAAGTTTGAGAATATAAACGGTTCAAGTTATGCAAACACAGGTTTGCGCATTGCTGCATTCTAAAATGTGTCATGATGCAAATCATAACACAGTGCGCGCAGCATTCTGAGCGTCACAGCAAGGGGTGCAAGCCTAGCCAAGCTGTCTTGTACTGCCAGCGAGCTTTCTGTCAATTGTCATGGCAGAACAGCATCTCCCACTGAACTGGTTTACTCGTCTACACATACACCGATCAGGCATAACACTATGATTATATCTTGTTTCTACGCTCGTTGTCCATTTTATCAGCTCCACTTACTATATAGGTGCACTTTGTAGTTCTACAATTACAGACTGTAGTCCATCTGTTTCTCTGCATACTTTGTTAGCCCCCTTTTACCCTGTTCTTCAGTGGTCAGGACCCCCATGGACCCTCACAGAGCAGGTATTATTTGAGTGTTGTATCATTCTCAGCACTGCAATAACACTGATGTGGTGGTGGTGTGTTAGTGGGTGTTGCGCTGGTCTGAGTGGATCAGACACAGCAGAGCTGCTGGAGTTTTTAAACACCTCAGTGTCACTGCTGGACTGAGAATAGTCCACCAACCAAAAATATCCAGTCAACAGCGTCCTGTGACCACTGATCAAGGACTACTATACAAGATGAGCTATCGTCTCTGACTTTACATCTACAGGGCGGACTGACAAGGTAGGAGTGTCTAATAGAGTGGACAGTGAGTGGACACAGTGTTTAAAAACTCCACCACCACTGCTGTGTCTGATCCACTCGTACCAGCACAACACACACTAACACACCACCACCATGTCAGTGTTACTGCTGTGCTGAGAATGATCCACCACCCAAATAGTACATGCTCTGTGAGGGTCCATGGGGGTCCTGACCACTGAAGAACAGGGTAAAAGGGGGCCAACAAAGTGTGCAGAGAAACAGATGGACTACAGTCTGTAACTGTAGAACTACAAAGTGCACCTATATAGTAAGTGGAGCTGATAAAATGGACAATGAGCGCAGAAACAAGGAGGTGGTCATAATGTTATGCCTGATCAATGTATATTTTATATATCATTGCCTCTTGATTACATAGATACAATAGGTCTGTGCTGTGATGCCGCAGTTAATCAAGGTGGTCGTTCATTGCTGTCCGGGATGCATCAGTGCACTTTAGCCTGTACATTACAAGTGTACTTAGCACTGTCCACTTATGATTGGATCACCCAATACACATTAATGCTGAGTGTGAACGGGGGTTCTGATACAGAAAGGCTGTATCAGGGTGTACGGTGATTACTGATTACAGATGATTACTGGCATGTCAGTGGGTCGCCTATTTAAGTGTTCATGTATAGCATCTCCTCTATATGGATCATTCTACTGAATTCAAAACATTTCAGATCTTGAACTCACTTGGACTTCAGACTAAAATCCTCGAAACATTCAATTTTGTCGCTAACAAAATCATAACACTACCAGATGTTTCAGTATTAACAATTTTAGCTAATTTTGAACAGAATTAAAAAACTCTAGCCAGTACCTGACTAGCAAACACAACTTTTAACAGTTTACACATAAAATCATAACATTTTTCATTAAAACACAAAAAAAAGTTTACTTAATTGTAGAAAATACGTGTTTCGGTAGTGACTTTGGGACACATTTGCTTCAAAACAGTGGGATCTAACTGCTCCCCATGTGGCCATGTGGGACAGAGGATTCAGCCTCACTTCCTGTTCTAAAATACAGGGGTGTGGCTAAAATAAGGCTCTGCCTATGGACTGAGTCTTTGTTTTGGTAGTGACATGAAAACATGGGACAGCATTTTCTGATTATAGGCTTTTAGAAATATTTAAATTATTAAAGTTTCTTAAACATTAGACTCAAGGTAGATCTAAATCTTTCAGGTTCACTTCAAAAGAAATGAAAAATAAAATAAATAAATAATAAATAAAAAAATGCAACAAAAAATACAGTAAAAGGGGTTAGTGTTTGGCATGGTCACCTCTCAAAGCAAGGACCCTATAAATTATGATTTAGTATATATTTAACTTATTTTTATCTCTAATAATGCCTTGGCTATATTAGATCATTACATCTAGGCCATCCTTTGTTCTGTATTGGACTATAGAATATCTGGCCACCTTATACAAGTGGAGCTCAAGTTTAGTCCTTGCTGTCCTAAATTCTGGAAGTGCAGCGCTGCCTCTCTATAAATAATAAATTCTGTTGTCTGACCAGATCAGAATCTACACACGCACAAACCAAAAATAACCATCATACCGCCTACAAGTTGCCATGCACATGAGAAAATGGGTGTGTAAGAGCACCATATGAGTCTACTATGCTTTGTCAGTAAACCTTCCACATTCACAAAAAGACTATGTGCACCAGTTTGTGGCTCTGAATCAGGGATTTGAAATGGTAGAGAACAAAACTGAAAACTGAACAGCATCTTTCACAGAATGTAGGAAAAAACAGAAATATCAAGTATTTTTTTAAGTGATACATACAGTTATTTTGTACCAGTTAATTTCCAAAGAATCAAGGCACAAGTAAAAAAACTAAACGTTCTTGCTCCAGGGTTTAACCCCCAACATACATGGGTTAATAACATTCTTCTAAGATACACTACTATACGGACCTGTAAGAACAACAGCAGCACCAAATCAGTCACTATTGTATTTGTTTAATAAAAGTTCCAAGTTTGAGTGTTACTTTAATAATCCAGGAAAGGTCAAATGAAAATAAAAATAAGATAGAAAGTATGTCTTAGCTTAAAGTCGTAAATCCTTCCATACTGTGGTCCATTTCGGAAAACATGCTATAAGGGAGGGTCTCTAAACTAGCTGAGCCGAACAATAGACATATGCTTGCTAGGTCGGCTTTCGCTCGCTTTTTTGTTTTGTTCAAACTGCTTGGGCAGGACAAAGTGCATCAAACTTATGCAAGATTTACATTCTAGAAAAATGCTGTTTGTTGTCGGTTTTCAGTCCAGTTAACCAGCAGTGAACTGGAACTATTTGAGCTGGGCCTTCAATTCGGACCATAAGTGTTGGTGAGGAACAAACCAAGTTCTATGATAAAACGATTTTCTGTTAGATTCAATGGAGGAAAACAATTCTTGATTAGCCAATTCTTCGCCAGGCATTTCAAGAATTTAGCTCTTTCAAATACAAGCAGGATTCTATTGAATAAAAGACTAAAAAATCATAGATATGGATTTTTTAGTTCGTTTAAATCATTAGGACTTCTCTGAAGGCCTAGAAGAGTCTGAGAATCTCCCTCTGCTGTTAACCACTTCTTAACTCCACTACAAATTAATCACAAGTGCTCTGTATGTTTATGCTCTAACAGCAGGAACCAGCAGAACCAGAAACCGTGCAGGACATATTGGCGCGTGCAGCGGCCAAAGGGCTACTGGGTGACCTGATAGCCCCACAACCTTCCGACCAAGTCAAGCGAAAAAAGAGAGAGAGACGAAAAGGAGCAGCAGTGCCTCTTCCTCCCCTCTACCCCCTTCCACCTGCCATTGCAGTCACCACTGGACTTCTAAATGACCTCAGTGTCCCTGACAGAGTGTATGAACAGTCACCTATGGCTACTGCTGTCCACATCAGAACTGGCAGTATGTATTTTAGTAACTTAACAGGTGATGAGTCCAGTGACTCGTGTCGCTCTTCCACTGTTGTAAATGAAGTTTCTACAACTCTTAATCAAGCTTCTGTTGCTCTAGATCAAGCTTCCACTGCTCTAAATCAGCTTAGCACTGAACCAGACGTGGACAACTCTGTAACAAATGACGCCGTAAGTAAGCAAACGAAAGGTCACAGGCATCAATCTAAAGCTCGGAGAACAAAACAAAGAAAAAACAAATCTAAATCTCGCAGTCATGCAACAAAGGCACACAGATCACGGCAATCACGCAAGAGACGAGTGACACACAGACAGGCCCGTGTAAGAACACACACTCTCGCACCACTGGCTACTACCGACCACCCACTAACACCGGCACCCCCTCCAGCCACAAGACCAGTTGCTCTGAAGTCCCGACTGTCAAAGAGCGAGCCCCAAAAGCTGCACAGTAGAAGAAGACCTCAGCAGGAGACTTTGCAGGAACTGCTTGGCCCCCAACCAGCAGCAATGGACCTGAATGGGGTGATTAAACTAAAGCAGGAAGTGGTCAGATCAATGTGGGGGGTACTTCCACCCATCTCTGCGAGCGGTCGCACACTCCTTTCCTCCAATTTATCCTCCCATCTTCTGCAGTCCTCTTCCACTTCCTCGTCCACTGGTTCTTATCTCTCCAGCGGGCTCTTGCTGCCCACCAGCCGTTCTGAGAGTCGAGACTCTGTAAGGTCAGGTGTGAGACCTTGACGCTGACCTCAAGGAAATGATCTCACCAAGAACAAATTCCAACATTAAGCCCAATTCAAGCTACATTAACCTTGGGAGGTATTACTATTGTGTATTACATGATTATCAAAAAGATGCATCATTTTATTCAGTACGAATTAATAGTAGTCCTGTTCCAACAGACAGTGGTGTAATAACAAATTGAATACACAACGGGCCTGGTTCATAAGTCCTGGTAATAAACCCAGTTAAAAGAACTGACATTTCATCTGCAGATAGTTGTGTAAACCAGGCAGACTTCTTACAAATTACTTTACAAAATTAACGTAAAACTAATTCAGCTCAAACAGTGCTTTATACAAATCCTGCTCTGAAGCCTCACAGGACGTTACAAGGTACTTTTCCTTGCTTTGAGAACAGATGCACCTTGCAAAGCGTTAGAAAACAAAGCAAATATTATACGTAATTTTATCTAGAGAAACTGTCTTATTCTATTGGCAGACATTTTGCTTGTTGTAAGACATATTGCAGGTATTGTTTCTTGATTTCAATGGGATACAATTCCATGAAATTACAAATATCTCAAAGTGAGAAGTATTTGATATATTAACTAGATTTAAAATAATTTCACTTGCCGAGATCATTTTTTGGCAGTGTAGCGTTGAGAAAGGATATACTATGTACCTTCAAATACAACACAACTGTTTGGTTCCATGACATTCCACAGAAGTCTTAGTAACACTGATCTAAACTAATTCAATGCACTCACAATGACACCAAAGCATTTCTACACTCCTCTAGAAGTGCAGAACAGAAATGATCTGCACACATTTGCTTTGCGTACACTATAATTTTGTTGACCCATATTCTACATCTTTGGTAGTATGTTATTATTTTCTCTTAAGTACTCTTTTAACATGTGCGCTGTTTCCCATACCAAAAATAGTCACAAGTAAAGTTGGGAGAGTGACATTTGTCACACTATGTTCAAAAAGCAGTTTAGGCTGTAATGGCCAGGTACAAATCCTATTGAATGTCGACAAAAAAAAACTTTAGCCACTAATTTTGGATGTGTGGAGTCTTAAAATGCGGTAGTCATACATTTCCCGACAGCCAGGAACAGCACAACATTTAATCATTTCCCCACCAATAACTCTGTTACAGACTGTCTGCAGTAACAACAATCTGCAGCACTTCAACGTGAATGGGTGGAGCTACACCGAATGTGTGGTTATATGTAAATGCGTTCATTCAAAATAGACCATTTTGGAAGCGTAGTTTCCATTATATTTTCATGGAAATCTTGATATGAGATAATATTAAAGTTTGAATTAATAAAGTAAAAGTTTCCTGAGTACACTAGGCTAAAATAACGCCTCATAAACCTGAAACAGCTAGTTTTAATTAGACTGTCATGTTCTGCTTTCATCCCTTAAAATGACACCAAATCATCCTTATAAAATAGTGTAAATTTTGATACAACAGAAAACAGAGGAAATGTACTGATTGTTTATTTTTATGTATTTTGAACTTTTTAAATAATCTAGAACACCCAGCTAGTTTTTATCAAATACCTACACTGCCAAAACTTATTGTTGTGTGACACCAATACCAGTATAAAGGTGTAGCAAATCTATAGTGGGCTTAGAATTATAAGGTTCTCACATTTTTTGTTGAGATTATGTACATATATTTATTCATTTATAGCTGATTGTTGTTGCTGGGGTGCTACAAGCATCATAAAGTCAAAAGTAAAAGAGTAAAAGGCTCGTTATTGAAAATGACATTATAAGGTTCTGTCTGTATCAGCAATTAGGTACGGCCAATGAATGTGGGATAACCAATCAAAATTCACGTTTTACCTATGTGGTCAAGCTCAGCAAGCTTTTGCTATTTTGATCCTCAAAACTGTCTCAAAACTGCACCAAACACAGATAAATATATTATGGATATATTATACATTTTAATTCCAAGATGACAATATCTTGTTCAGGATTACAAAAAAGCTTTGGAAATGTGGTTTTCTATGAAACTGGCCCTTCAAGGGTAACTCTGGACCTTTCAGATCTGCACAAAGCTACCTTGTAACTGAACAACAGAAGGTATATATCTGGGTTTATATCTCCATCATAAAGGTAATAAAGGTAGAAAAACTCATTTCAGTCTCTTATACCAGCCATTCTGCCTCTGAACCTGTTCATCTAGGCTGTGTTTAATAGATGGCTCTCACCAGCATTAACCGATGCTTGAAAGAACATGCAGCACTGCTAGAACATTTTAATAGAACCATTATCACCACAGGAGGCAATGAGTGCAATTGAGCATCAGAAAGAATGAAAATACTCTGGTCATAGAGTTGATTCCTCATTGTAAAACCAAGAATATAAGAAAAGCACAGCTGTATTCACTAGTGCTAAGTGGAGCGTTAACAATAACAGTCAGTGTTATTCATATACAATAATGCTGGATTTCTTGGAGGTAAGAACAGGCTGCACTGCTCTACAGTTGTAATCTGATGGCAAAAAATCTAATGCTGCCTCAGTATGCACATCTATTTAATCTATTCACTGGTCTCAGATGTACAGTAAAGATGCTACTATCACACACACATCAGTGAAAATACAATACATGAATAAAGTGAAAGGAATGGGTGATTATTTTGATATGCCGTTTATTCTCACAACAGATTACATTTAATATGGTGTACAAATTAGTGTAGAGCAGAAGAAGCCAACGTTTCCACAAGTACGTAAGTGTTTGTGTTTGTGTGTTTGACCCATAACTGAGATCTCTACCAGATTTGAAGAAGAAAGCCACTGCCCTGCCTTGAAAGAGGGGAATAATCCTATGAATCTGCACAGGACTCTCCTGATCTCTGTACTCGCATGCTCCATGTGCACCTGACCAACTCTCAGCCTACAGAGTACACTAAAAAGAACGGAAAAAGGCTCATTAATAACACTGAAATGTACAGGCTGAACGAATCTGACATACAAGAACTATATAAAACAATACTTAAAAAAGGGGGGGTACAAGTAAAAGGTAAAATTCTTATTCTTATAAACATCAACAGATTAAAAATCTCGCCTTCACATCAGTGCTGGAATTGAGGGTGTGCTTGATGCACAAAAGAAAATGATTTAAAGTTGGCATACATGTAATGGTAACAGTATTGGCAGATAATTGTTTTTAAAAAAAAACAGCAAATTATCAGCATGTTTAGGTTTCACTGATATTTCACGCAGACATTTGAAGCCGTTTTTATTGTACTCTGGAAGAGCAGAATATTCAAGCAACTTTGGGTTGCTGTGCACAAATGTCTGCATTATCCTGCAGTAATATTATATTTCTCTATAGCACTAATTTATGTAGTTGTAATGCCAATTTCTACCTTTTATAAATATGTAACGGTATTAGCTTTGGCATCAACAGATATGTATATGAAAAATTTTGGATATCAACATTGGCCCACAATTCTCACATCTGTGCTTCCCTAATTTAAAGTCACACAGAATCAATGTATACACAATACTCCAATACACCCTCAATTCAGAAAATGTGAAGTAGGGTGGTCTAAGAGGGTCATAGATTAATATATATATATAGATCTTAAACCAATACATTTTAACAGGTAGGTGAGAAACATCTGTATGGCATTTTCACATTTTTCCCCCTCTGGAAAACATCTGGCAATGTACTTTCTTAAATTTCTTGCATTTGTTGGCAAAAATGGCTCAAATATTGGCATCTTATTAGTGTATTTGTCCTACAGGTTTTATGGTAACAGTGGCAGCTTCTGTAAGTGAACATCAACTTTCACAGGATTAACCAGGGCAACTGTACAAGGATTGTGGATTTTAAGGTTGTCTTTTTTTTCCTTCTTCTTTTGTTCTTCAGAAATATGGAGTGATTTGTTTAATGTGAGCAACGGTGAAGAGAATGTCTGAGCACAGAATAGATTACAATGAAACCAGTATATACCGATATAAAATAGAATAAATAAAATAAAAAATATCATTTCTGTTCAGTACGTCTTTTTCTTCTTCTTCTGAAATTGTCCCAGGACATGCAAGGCAATGTGTCTTTTTTATTTCTCACTTTCCCCCTAATTGTCCTCAGAGCTAAAAGAATGCATAGATTAGACACTTACGGTTCATAACCTCCTCTCCTACAGCCAACCATAAAATAAATTCATCTGTCTTTCGCTCTTTTTCATCTCTTTGCTTTTGTCCATTGGTTTATCTACAACACATACAATGGATTTTATACATTTGGCCAGAATGTGTTCACAAGACATGCCAAGGCAAAATAATATCAGAAAAAAGAAACTATGACAAAATAAGAGAATCTCAAATTCGAAAAATAAAAGATAGCTTATAACGTGATAAGTGTTCGCAAAAATGTTATATATAGATACTGTACACACACATACACACACACAGATGACTGCTTGGAACCCCACTGTGAGGGAGCGACAAGATTAGGACTACAGCCAACAAGGCAGGAGGAAACTACAAACCCCAGAGTGCAGCAAGTTCACAGATGCATGTATGTTGAGTGAGAAGCTGGTCGATCCAGACAATGAAAACGATGGCCGAAATGAGGACAAAGGCGTAGAGCTGAAACAGTTTTAGCACAGTTCCACTTTTAGAGCACAGTTCAACACGCCCGCTCACCTGGAAGCACTGCTCAGTTGAGGAGTTCCTTTAGATCCAGAGTGTTTGTCCCTCAACAATGATCTCACTGATTTCTCATCTGCCCCAAGCAAGTATAAGGAGTTAAAGGGAGGGCGCAGGATGTTTGGGCTTGAGTCCATCCCCATGCAAACAAACTGTCCAGCTCAAAGATGGGTTCCGTAGTTCACCTCATCATATTAGTATCCGTTCGAGCATTCTTTAAGCCGTCTCTGCTCGAACGGAATTGTGAAGGCAGCTTCACTGTGGAAATATAAAATAAGCACATCCACAGATTCCGAATCAGACAAATCCACAGGGCGACCCCTTTTGTCGCCTGGGTAGGCGTCAAGGTGTCTGATCCATCAAGAGGATTATGTGTGGGTGTGTGTTTCAAGTTCAGTGGGGGGCGTACGTTACACATTTCTTTCCACAGCTCCGAGTCAGCAGTGCTGAGGTGAGTCCAGCAAACGGGCTGTCAATACAGTCCCATTAAAAAAACAACAGCGTCTCTATATTACTCTGTCTTTTTGGTGAAAGCTTCGATCTGTATTTACACATTTAATGCTCAGCATCACAGCGGCACAAGTTTCTGACGTTTGTTCGCTTAAATACGTCCGTCCATTCATCCTCTCTGTATGGAAGCCCATTCCAGCCAGTCAGAGGAGAAAAATTGGCCTGTGTTTCTGGTACCAATATGACAAAATATTGACTTAGTATCTTGAAATAATGACTCATTTTCTTGAAATATTGACCTATAATCTTAAAACAGTGACTTATGTTCTGTAAATATTGACTTAATATCTCAAAATACTGACTTGCTTTGTCAAATGACTTAAGTATCTCCTAATAATGGTTTATCACTCCCAAAATAACTTCTTTTTAAAAATTTAATTCATTATTTCAAGACACTACGTCTAAATTTTAAGAATATCAGTCACTGTTCTGGGATACTAAGTCAATATGACACACTGCTGCCAGAAACAAAGGGAAAAATTATTTTTCTCCTCTACCTGCTGGGAACGGACTTCCCCACACCACTGTCCACCCTTTCACCGATGATGATGAAGGCAGTGACACAAGAAGTAGAAAAAAAAACCACACACATGCTTTGTGTAGGAGTTCAGAGGTCCTCTAAAGATGCTTTAGAAGTTCTGATGAAGCAGCAGCAATTTACACATATACAGTACACATATACATACACACACACGCATTCATGCACCTACTACGGCCAGCTGGGATTGTACAGAGGAAGCTCTAGTGAGGTTAAGCAGTCGGATTTGATCTGTCTGGAGAATCCCACGCATACACACACACACACACACACACACACACTTTGATCTTTCTAGAATATCAGATCCACGAAGGCCCCAGTATTCAGTTTCTGTAGATGGGCGGAGCCTGTTCTGTGTCATGCTGAAGAGGTGTGGCTAATCATGCAGATTAAGGTCATGACTGACAGTCCATGATACAGGAGGCGGATCCACAACAAGCTAGATATGATGAAGGATCAGAGGTGTGCATGTAGGGTTAAGCCTATTCCTGGACTACACAGCATTCTGAATAGAGATTCCCCATTGAAAGTAAAATGTAGGCCTGACGCTGCGTTACAGAAACATCCTAACTCTTCTGTTTAGTCACCATGACAACTTCAGTTAGGACTGAATTTAGGACAGTAGCTATTACAGAGTAATAGTTCCTAAGTTCAATATCTTTTCCTAACTACAGACAACAAAGGAGTCTTATAGGAGTAGTTCTACTAACTTGAGATAAGATGTTGTGAGATGTTTCTAAACAAATTAAGATTTACTTCTGTAATATGAACTTGCAGAAAATGAGGACTAAAGTTTTAGGATGTTTTTGTAATACAGCCCCTGGACTGGACTTAATCTCCAACTGGAAAACCAACCCTAAGTGTCTGTGTGCTTGTGTGTGTGTGTGTGTGCGTGTAGAAGAGTGTGTTTTGAGTCTTTGCTTGGCATCAACACATTTTCTGTTAGACATCTTCCATTCTTTGTTAAATCTTCCTCTTCAGCTCCCCAATGCAGAGCACATTTGCGGGGGTCCAGGCATGTTGACTGAATGCATGAGTATGTGAGCGTAGGCAAGAATGTGTGTGTGTGTGTCTGTGAATGTGTGTGTGATTATTGAGGCAGCTCAGTGACTGGTCTCTTCTGCTTGAGGGTGTCGATGAGGGACAAAACGCCGCGCTTAACGCTGGTGGAGACGCGACGCGTCACGGAGTCTGAAGGGGGTACCTGTGAGCAAGCCTTCTGAGATGGCGGGCGAGCAACCAAGCACTTCTGATATCTCAACTGCAGAGTGAAGAGAAGAGAGAAGGAGAGGAGGTGAGAGGATGATTTTTGACCAAACTGTGGTTTAGATATATTTAAACTATTCTTAAAAGGAATAAAACCCAAAATGACAACATTTGGGGTAATACGAAAATTGTTTCAATAAGTTAAAACATATCTGGTGAAGTTTTTCTATTTAGTTTTGTACGGGAGCTCCGCAGCTAATGTAGTTAACAAGTAATGATAGCTCATACTCAACCAGTGCAACCTGTATGCCTAAATCATCAGACAGATTTACTACAGTTTTATCATTATCAATATTATATAGAACAACTCAGAACACACGTGTAGGTTCACTGGATATTTTGGAGAGTAAATATAATGGTTATATTTGTGTTGTAAGCAGTGCGACCCCTGGTTCCAATCACCAACACTGTAAATAAAAAATCAACTTTTCTCTACATTGATCCATTTCACATCAAACCACTCTGAATGACTTTGCTTACAAATCAATGACTGCATGAGACATTTGCAGTATGCAGAAAAAAAAATCGTGAAAATTCTCTTTAAGTAATCTCAAACTGACTTGCTTAATAGACTTTGCAGGGTAGCTCAATGTAACTCAGTGCAAAACTAAATAGGTAAACTGGACACCCAACATGTCTCAGCAGATTGACTAAGGGGAAAGTTGTGTAAATTAGATTTTTTATTGATGCTAAACTGTCACTTTATAGCATCTCTCTAAAGGCTGTTTTCTGCCTTTTCAAAGACATATTACTAAACACAAGTTGGATATCTTGAACTAATCTAATCTTTGACATCCATGACTTGATCTGAGTGCTGCAGTTTCCCACACGTATGTTATACCTTGGTGGAGTGCCCAGGTATACTTTGGCCACAGTCAGAAGAAATAACTGTATCTTAAAGATGAGCATCTTAGTCACGTTAGCGGTTAATATTTGAGTAAAAGACATCATTCGAGTCTAGATTGTGTTTTCATTTAGACATTTAAACGTTTTGCCAGCAATAATGATTTGTTTCTCAATCAGAAAACACTTCTGTTCACTGTTATTCCCCTGCCAGAATATATAAAAATGGCTGATAGGCAGTAGTGCAACCTACTGAAGCAGAAAGCCCTTGACTGGCTGGATCAGATGCATTAGTGTTAGGGTAAGGGAACATCAGATGCCAGCTGGAAGTAAACTCTGCACAAGATCTCCAGGAGAAGGTTTGCTGACCACTGCTCTAAAGACATAAATTAACCCCTTAATATCGCAAGCGTATAACATATTAAGACTTATTGTTCAGTAACTACAGCGACTTCGGTGCAAACTGGCTGAGCTATTCTTTGGTTATAGAAGTGGGCCCTCTGGTGAGCCCTCTCTATGTAAGGGGCTAAGCCTGTAAATAAGAGTCTTAGTGTTGTTAATATTTGTTGTAACTGACATATCAACACAGTCTTGTAAAAAAACTGTGAGTATTTGTAATAGTAGAGTGCAGTCATTGTTAAAAAAATTGTGTATTTTGTTATTTATTTATTTATGCCTCCACCATCCTCTATACTGAAGTACATATCAAATTTGTGGGAAACACTGTACTGTATCAAAAAAATGGAACCATATGAATTCCTTATATTTCCCTTATATAACATACATTTTTTTCTTATTTTCAGGTTAAGGGTTGGGGTTAAAAGCATAGACAGGATTTGACTTAGTATCCAGATACTGACCATGCATGCAGCCTGTACAGCTTCTGACACGCTGCCGGCGTTGGGCTCACACCAAAACACATGACACTCAAAATGCTGGTTGCCTGTGTCCATGATGAAGGCAAAGGTGTGCACATCTCTGCCCACGCCCATGAACGACAGGAAGCGAACGCGGCACTCCACAAGGACTTCCTCTTCCTCCTGATATGTGAAATGACGTCATTAGTCTAATACACATCCTTTCTATTGTTGTGAATAATGTCTTTGTGATGACTTTGGGGACAAAAGGTTCAAGTATTCATACACAATTTAAAATAACAGAAGTATGAACACAATTTTTTGGTGAGAAAGTCGGCTTAATGTTTAAATAAATAATGTTATTGCCTTCTCCTTGATGACTGTGACAGTCGCATCAGCTACATTCAGCATCACTGGAGTCCACTCGTCTCGGGCTGATGATGTCATCAGACTATCCACTGCACTGTTGAGAACGTCCATGCCTAAAAATACAAGCCACATGATTGGAGTGAGCAAGTGTGTGCATGTTTGTTTTTGTGTGGAGAGAGAGCAATTAAGAGTGTAACTTACCTATGGGTCTGGCTACTGGCATCATACCAATGTATAACACCTGAAACTTCTGTACCAGTTCGGTTTTTGGTGTGGGAAACTCTGCTAAGAAAGACAGAACATGTCCCATTAACTAACAAACACACGTGCATATAGGGATGGCACAGTTACTAGTTTTACTGCGGGAAAACACAATTACACATTAGTAATCTAAAGATTAAAAAACAGTGCTGACAAGTTGTAAAATTAAAATCAATCTATTGGTGTTAAGCTGCAGTTCCATCAAACTATTGCCTCTGACTTCTTCTGCTGAGGTGAACGGAGATATAGCTCGGTGAACTAACAGCTAATCTAAAACAGCTAACACTGGATTAGATTCTTTTTTTGGAACTGCTGTCTGAGCAGTAGTTCCCTCCACATTTGTTTTTTTGAGAGAACAGATCCTGTAGCTCACCCTCTTGTTTTCTTTTGGCTCAGATTTTTGCAGTATGCAGATTTGCACACTTAAATTCCATTGACAAAGTTTCAGCATAATTATATTGTTAAGATACATTCATTCAGAAGTGGTCTGAAGTCAAATGATAGGAACCAAACATGGGAAGTGTTTAATGCCTCTAAAAGGTTTCTTACAAAGATGTCATTGCATGAAATGGATGTGAATAAGCTGCCTGATGCCTTACACATTATTTTACTAAAGTTTTAAGATAGGTTTTTGCCCAAAAATGGACTTCCATTCATGCATCCATTTGCAATATTTTCAAGTGAGTTAATCCAAGTTTGTTTTTAATTAGGAGACTCAAAGGCTTTGAAGTGAGTAAAAACATAAGTGAAAACGCCTTTCCTGCATTAGTTTGGTGGAAGATATTCTTGTTTTTATATTATAAAACTTGTTGTTATATTACAGCCTGGTTTGGGAACCTAACTGCTACAGATAAAAGCAAGCTTGCCAGGATCATTATACTGGCTGGCAGACCTGTAGCAAGGCAGCGGAAGCAGCTTGATGAGCTGTAAAGGGCGGCTCTATATAGGAAAGCTCTTGTTATAGTGCCAAGTCCCATGCCATCCTCTTCACAATGAGTTTGAGCTGTTGCCTTCGGGACGACACTTTAGGGTGCCCATAAATAAGAAAAATCTTTTATTCTCACTGCCATTAACCTGCTGAATCATTCTGAATTATTCTTAGCATGTAAGGACTGATGTGTGTATATTGTTTGTTGAGAATGTTTGTACTTGTTGTACTATGATTGTATAGTGGCAGAATAATGTTGTATGATGCTTCAATTGTGGCAAGACAAATTTCCAACACTGTTGGACAATAAAGTTGTATTCTATACTACTGTAGACAGTGCAACCCCTGGAACTTGCCACTAGTACTACTGTAAAGAAATTTGAGTCAGCAAGTTTACAATACATCATTTCACCACTCTGAATGACTTTATTTACAACTCAGGAATTTAATTTTTGAATTTCTTTTAAAAGTCCACCTACATGAACTTAAAACACCTGAAATGAACTGTTACCAGAACTAAATTGCTTTTTGTGTTCCTGTATCCTTTACAAATGAAGTGAATTGGCTTTTTGATGTGACTGGGGCTTTATAAACAAATGTGAAAGAATCAATTCAAAGTCCACCTGTGTGATATCTGGGTAATGATGCTTTTTAAAAAGGTAATTTCAACAATACCATAATTAAACTGAAAACTGCTGCTTTTTGATATCATGATGGGAAATTTTCATATCATTCCATTCCTCTGCCATCTACACTCTCACATTCATAAACAAAACGTTTTCTGGTGTGTTACCTTGCAGTGGGACATCAAGTCCTGCGTGGCTCCTGTCCTGCAGTGATCCTCCAGCCATAGCTTTGGCATTCTTACGCTCCGCCATGATCTAACACACATCATTGACATGATTACACAACTGAACAACCCATACTGGGTCCAAAACACAACCGCTTAAATTCCCAGGCTTATTACATACTAAGTCTACTATTCAGTAACTACATGAACTTCACTGCAAACTAGCTGAGCTATTTTTAGGTTACAGTAGTGTGTAATAAAACTTTGGGCACGCCAGTGGGCCCTGGCCATTTAAGGGGTTAATACACAACACAACAAGTAAACACCTGACTATTCACAAAAACAAAAACACAATTCACATCGAAATAAGTGCACCCCTAATTAATTTACACCGGACTGCAAACACAATTTAATTCACAGTAAAATAAGTACACACCTGACTAATTCACGCTGGACCTAAAATATGCTCTAATTCTTATTTAAAAAAAAATCATATCCTGACTAATTCATAGTGGACCTGCAACATATGATCCAATTCATGTATGCTCAGTGAATTGCATATCTGACCTTCTCTAATACACAGGATCAAAAAATAGCACAAAAACAGACTTGATCTACTCAGAGTGAAAGCTAAAGACAAAGGCATAAGCCTCTCTCTAACTCTCAATTCACAAGAGAGCAGCATCAATTATACATGTCTTTAATCAAAAGCCTTCTGTTTGCCACTGCAAGGCACTCTCATGGGTCTCTGTCTTGATTTGGGCAAAATGCAGAATTTAAAAGAGTTCTGTACAGTCCAGAGACATAAAAAGATGGCTAGAACTGTGTTGTATTAACTATGAGTCAGACTTTGGGTAGAATAGGGCAGAAAAAAATAAAAAAATGTGCCCAAACTGTACATTGTGAAAGATTTCATCATGAATGGCTGTGTTCATTTAAAAGGTCCAAATTAACTTGTAATAAAATCCTGTACTTGAGAATGAGAATGTTTTTTTCCCTCTTCTGTAAAGCTATCGTTTTAGAGACACAAGGTTTTGTTCTAAAACCAACAATATTCAAGTTCTGAAGGGAGGTTTAAGTGTAGACGGATAAGATGAGAGTTGGTGTAGAGCAGCTGTAGAGTCCTGAAGTGTGTGTAGAGGTGTCTGGGTCGGTGTCTCACCCGAGAGCAGATCTCATGCAGACTGGTGGCGATGGCTTTGGCAGGCGTGTCACAGCGGAAAACATGACATTTTAATATCCGAGTGTCCTTATCCCGAGCTACATATGCAAAATCCCTAGAAAAAAAGAAACAACAGCAATGATTTAGACAAACAAAGAATGATGCTGGGTGCAGTGTGTGGGTTCAAAACAGCAACCAAAGGCCATAAAGACAAATGAATTGGCCTTTAGGACAAGCAGAGAAAAATCAATACAACAACAAAAACATGAGACCACACCACATACACACACAGACACATAGACATACGACGCATGCTCAAATTCTGCAGGTATATTTTGCGTATGTATGTATGTGGTTTGAAGGGGTACACCAAACAGCTGAATGTGTGCAGATAAAACAAATGAAAAGAGATAAGGAAAGAGTGAACTGAGGGCAGCAGAGGAAACGTTACCTCTCTCTGAGTCCAGGACAGCAGTGGAGAGTGAACAAAAGGAGAACGAGGTTTTAAGAGAAGAGCAATGAACTATCTACCATCTCATAACACATACACTTACTATATCCCACATGTAGAACGGGAATCACTCCAAGTGACCTTATAACAAACAGTTATTGAACAAGCCTCAGGGTATAAGGGTGTGTGTAAAAGCAGCATGTCATTAATGTGATTTCACATGATGTACCCAACACCCTAAAATGTCAAGGTTGCCGTTTGCAAGAGATACGTGTCCTTGAACATATAACAGCATGCTAATTAGGGATTTATCATATGCAATTCATAGATGCACTGTATGCCACAAAGTTGTTTTATATAATCAATTAAGTCTTTTTAAAGGCTTCCTTGTTTACCCAATAAAATATCTGGAAAAGACTATGCACAGTCCACTATGCACTGTTCATTCAACCCTATTGAATCGAGCACTTCGTAGGAAAATTTGGCGACGGCCCCGTAAACCCTTTTAAATCTGCCGCCAAAAGATTTACAGCTGGTGCATATCCACACTGGTCATAGTAAAATGTATCAGTGTGTAGAATCAGCACTTTCTGTGATCGACCTTGTTTCCTATCACAGTATAAAAGATGCACGAGGCTTCCATTATTGCTGGTTGAACTGCGATCATTTCCAACCAAACACAAAAGCTCACTTTTGCATGAGTACTTATTGTTTTGTTTAATCACAATAACAATGAAATGCGACTCGCATGACTCATAGTCTTATTTATGAGTTTTTCATGTTCAAAAAAAATATAGTCCGTGAGACAAACTAAATAAAATTTCTACATCTTTTTGACTTTTTAGATCTAAGGGTGGGTAATATGACAAAGATTTATCATAAGCTAAATAAATTACGTCACAACACATTAAGAACATATATTTTGTGGATACTGTCAAATATGCTTCGTTACAAAGTAAGCATAATTAGTCCTGTTTAATCAGATTTTGTGCAGTGCATCTTGTAAAAGACTGAAGAAAAACCCCAGTAGGTTTATTATAAATGTTGCAGATTTAGCTTCGAAAAAAACAGAAACATTGTGATGCATATCGTGTATCGTGAAAATGTCTTTAAGTATTGTGATATAAAGTATTGTGATAATATTTTTGCCATATCACCCACCCTTAGTTGGATCATGTTCTTTACATATCAAATAAATACAACAATAGCTTTAAGAAATCATATGATTAAAAAAATAAATGGCAGAAATAGCAATGTTTTTGTATGAGTCTTTAAGGGGTAAGTCCATTTGTACATCAGTTGCCATCAACAGATTACTTCATTATTACTATAATTGATACTCTCAGCCTTAGTAAACACCAGGTGACAATGTGATCATGTTACAAATTCAGAATGTAACCATGAAGAAGTGGGTGTAACATTCATAAATAAATTAATTCACATTTGGTGCTACTTGACTTCACTCAAGGTCTCTCTTATCTATCATTGAGTGCTGACTGAAGAGGGGATAAGATGCACTTAAAACGTTTCTCAGAAAACAAGATGCCTTTTAAAATCTTCCAAATGCAGCCCTGTGCAAATCCTATTTGTCAAGCACAAAACTGAGGCTGATGAGTTTATGCAAGGAGAGCTTATGTCTTTCTGAACTGAGCCTCGGTGACAAAAAATGACTCAAAAGGGCCAAGTACAGAACCCTGAGGAACCCCTAAAGATTACGCAAATGACATTTGTGTCTGTGTGTGTAAGAGAGGGAAAGAGAGAGAGACATCAGAATGGCTTATTTGCATGAACACTATGCACTTTAAAGCTGAGGCGGCTTTATGATAAATCACTTGCAGCTGTGACCAATTTTAAATATGAACAGGCACGTGCACACATGCATACTAGTGCAGAAAAAACAATACAGAAAGCATTTCTTCTAAATATATCTATCAGTCTCTGTCTTTCTTCTCTCTGTCTGCTCTCGCTTATGCTGCTGTTCCTGAGAAATCTCACACTCCTTCACATCTTCAGCAGAACGAGCTCGGTCACACACACACACACAAACGGCTCACACATGCTACAACACTCATACAGAGCAATTTACTAAAACCACACTATTGGCTTTTGGACGAGTGAAGAGAAAACTCTGACCATGTGACTGAAAAACTTCAGTTTGCTGTCTTGGTTTACTCAATTCATTCAGTAGGTTTAAAAATGGCTGACACTCTACACTCATTAAAGCACAAGGTATTTCAGCAAGTGAGTGAGACAGAGGGAGAGAGACAGAAAAAGGGATGAAGGGAATGAACGAAAGGATGGACGGACAAAGAGAGAGAGAGAAATAGAGGGTGAGAGAGAACAGAAACAGAACACTTACATCTAAGCGTTTGTAGAGCGATCTATGTTTTAAATTCATTCTAATCTGCCTCTTTTCCTCTTCCACTCCTCTGCAAACATGCTTCACCTTGCTGCACTCCTCCTCTATCTCTCTTTTGCTCTCTTTCCCTCATTCTCTCTCTCTCTATCTCTCTCTCCCACTCTAATGTCCAATCCCTGCTTCCCCTGTCCCCTCCCCTTGCTGCTCAACTCGTCGCTACGGTAACCTGAGGACGTTGAGAAGGAAAAATGTTATGCATTGGGTTTGGGGGTGTATTATCGTAGAAGAGTCTGGTGATGTCACACAGACACAGACACACACACACTGCGGAGTGCAGGCTAATCCGATATTCTACAAAGCAGAAAGTGGCTGTGGTCATTTCAGGATTTACTGTAAGAATAAAAATACTGTGTAAACAGCCCCCTCTGCTGGCCTGATGGCAGAACCGCAGGCAGCTGCTGAGGAGAAAAAAGTGTGATTCAGCAGGAGGGATGATAAAGTGTAGCACGCTGCCACATCCGCACCAAACACACACACAGCCCGGGATTACAGCGGTAAAAGTTACTGCCCCTCCAGCTAGAGTGTCAGAGAGATCGATACAGAGCTGTTGGGAGAACCTCACACTCACACACACACACACACACACACACAAAAGCGTGCACACAGAGGCACTCCCCATTTCACTGGATTAAACTTTCATCAAACCATTCGTCTCTCCATCATCAATCTTTTATCGTGTCCTCCTTTCACTGTGGAGAATCCAGCACTCTGCGCTCATCAGAGTGACCTTTAGTGAAGAACGGACATCTGTATGCATTAACAGCTTCCGCTGAGATTAAATCCTTTGCCGTATAGTGTAGAATGCACGGGTGCTTAATTCATTCATTAATCTACTGTTTGTTAACCGTTATTGTGATATTTGCCTTTGTAATTCTAACACTAGAGAGGGCTGCAATATGCAAATGACCCTTGATGAATCAAAATATTCAGATAATCCAACAAAAGTTAATTATTTTGATCAAAACAATGCAAACCAAGCTTTTTAACAGGGATGCAGCAACATTTGAATCATGGGCCAATATTCAATATGTTTCATGTACATTCAGGAAAAATATGGATGCCTTTGAACTCTTATGTTGGCGAAGACCTTCAAGAGTACCTTGGACGGCGAAGAAAACAAACAAATGGATCCTAGACCAAATCAAGTCTCACTGCAAGGCCAGATAACCAAAGTGAGACCTCTTACTTTAGACACATTCAGTGAAGAACCAATTCATTGGAAAAGACCATTACGCTTGGAAGAGTTAAAGGTAAAAGAGAAAGACCAGCTACAAGATGGATGGATAAAATTAAAGGAATCACGAGCCAGCCATTGAGAAGCCTCAAGACCAGATATTCTGGAGACACACTATCCATATGGTTGTCAGGAGTCAGAAACGAGTTGACAGCACTTAATAACAGTAATAACATTCAGTACTGTGCAAAAGTTTTGGGCACCTGAGAAAATTGGGACTAAACTCACCTGGAGCAGCATTGCAGAGAAATATAACTTTTATTTCTACAGGGTTATAATTGCAGTAAAATGTGTAAAATCCAGACAATTTAGTGAAGTAGCCTAAATTTTACATGGTCACCTAAACATTCTGCTTTTCTGGAGTAAAACACATATATATTAGTTTGAAATATCAATCAAATCTAAACATCTGTCCAATGCCCTTAATGTTTTAAAAGCCATTATCTACTGAAACTGATATCTGATACAATACATACATCCCTAGTTTTAACAAAGAGTATAAAAACATGTTTAAGCTGATTTTACAAAATTCTAGTTATAATTCACCAGAAAACAGCTCCTTATAAGGTGTGAGGTGTGTTTCTGACCTAATTGTACCTGACAATGCTGCATCTGTGTGATGTATAGCTAGACCGGCACAGAAAACAACATAAATAATCTTTGTTGTGCTCCACAGGTAGGGGATCTACTCCTTGCAAAAATAACTGCCCCACTGAATTTTCCATCCCCTGTTTTTTCTATGCTGTAACATTACTGAAACCAGGAGGTAATTACGTCTGTTACAATGCCAGTTAAAAGTAAAAGTTTAAGGACACCAACCTTTTCAAACTGTTTTTAATAAATGCAAACACTTTCTTTGTCAGTTTGCAATAATGTAACATTAGGCAGAAAGCTAGCTAAGTTTCATCATGGGAAGAGAAAATATACAGGCTAACAATTCAGTGAAGCAACTGTTTTGCAAGTGATTATGTGGTACTTTGCTACTGTGAAACACAAGCGCCAGAATGTGGATGAGTTGCCAAGGACGCGCTGTTAAAGTCTAAATGAGAAGGCAGAAACAGTGTGACTGTATCACTATATAGGCTAGCTACTTCAGCTGATGTTAACTTGGTCCAAAAACAATCCGTTACTCATCCAGCAATTCGTTACTCATCCGTTACTCATCCAACCCTCAGCTGTTTTTGAATAATAAAACATGTTTTAAACAAGTGTATTTCTCTGTGTAGTACTCAATTTCTGTAAGCCTCCAGCCATACATTATATCTGGCAAACTGGTGTTTCTTCCTTCACTGTGGTTAACCAGATACTTAAATATCAAAATTAGAATGCACATCCCTAATACTTGAGAAGACGGTATGGAATGTATGTAGCCATCAAACATTTTACTTCAAACATTACCTAAAAGCTTTCATTTAAATACTGATAGCCTTGCAGGTATTTTTTAAACAGTTAAAATCTTGGATATTTTAACATTTAAAAGCGGGAAATGAAAAAGTGAAAGTAGATCAGTAGAATTACTGCTGATCTGTCACCTGCACAAAACTGTCAGTAATGGGCCAGACATCTCTTACCTGCCGTTGTCCCGGCCTACACCCCAAACACGGATGCTTGCGATTGGCTGAGAGTGAAGAACACTGCGGTCCATTGGGTCGACTAGATTCAGCATGTTATTCTCCAGAATCAGATACATATCCTTCCCCTGCATGCAAGCACACAGAGCAAAAGAGAAGGTCTCAGGAAAGGCCTGTATGTGTGCATGCATGTGTTAGTGTGAGTGACGAATGCTGAATAAGTGATACAAAAGAAAAAAGCTAATGAAGACGAGAGATGAACTCCCTCCGTACTGTCACAACACATTACACTCTCTCTCTTCCTCTGTCTCGCACACTCTCATCTCTCCCTACTTGCTCCCTTTATAGTTGTTTTTCCTTCATTTCTCTCTCTTTTTTCCACCTCTTTCATCCAGCTTTCTCTTGCTTAGTAATTCTGCAGTTCTCTTTTTTCCCAGAACAAAACACAGGGCACAGGAACAAGTGTGTGTTTGTGCGCTTGTCAGAACAAAAATGTCCTGACTTTGTAGAAGAACCAGAGAAACAGGACCAACTTACAGGATCAACGAAACGCTCCTGAATTTGTAAAGTCTTTTTACAAAAACTATGTTTCATTGCTTGAAACTGAAATAGCAAATTAATTTCTTTTTTGGTTACTGAGGTTGAGGTCAGGTTAGATTTACAGTTAAATGTAGAAAATTCTTATTACATATGGGGTACTTATATACCTACAATACATACAGGACAAATTATTGTTGCATGAAGATGCTCACATACACAGTTTCAGGCACCTGCTATTATAGTCTTATCTGCACGCTCCTGCTCAAATTATTTGTTTTGTTGATTTCCTAGATGAAAAAAAGTTGACCCATCCTCTACAGACAACACACCACTGTTTATTTAATGAGTTTAATATATTGGGGAAAATAAGATCTAAAATGTGGCTTGTGCAAAATTCAAGGCAAATTTATACTTTGACAGGGAGTATTAAAACTTACAACTATATTAAAAACCTATTATTTGGGCCCAGTTTCCTAAAAGCATCTTAACTGTTGGAGAAATTGTTCACTGTGATGCTCACTCTACCATTTAAGAATCATCTTTGTGCTAAGATGCTTTTGGGAAACCCAGCCCAGTGTAGTAAAGCATTAATTCTTTTGGAAAACAGTATTGTTATGATAAATACAATAACATCAATACACCAAGAAGCAATTCTGTGTTTGTTAATGTGCATGTTAACCACTTCTAAACCTCTCATCATGGCAGCCCAGTATTATCTGTAGTTATAATCCAATACCTGGTTTGACTTATTAATGCTTTGTTAAATTAAATCATGTTAGCTGGTATTAAAATTGAACAAATCAATATGAAAGATAGGGGCATCAATGAGAAATCTCTCATTCTAACAAGTTCATAAGCTATTAAATACTTTTAACTGCATTAATGTTCTTGTATTCTTTCTATTTTTAAAAGGTGATTTTTCTAGACTAAAAACAAACTTACTGCCCAGTTTTTCTAAACTAAAAACAAAATTACAGACCAGTTTAAACTGAAATTCAAATTGGTTTTCTGCTTAGGTGCCTAATACATTTGTACAGTACAGTATATAATAAATATGGGACAAATTATTATTGTGCTACATACAGGGTTTATTCATGACCCCATATATTTTCTTGGCTATGTATAAAAACAGTGTGTGTATGGGTATATTTGCATATTTGTGTGTGTGTGTGTGTGTGTGTGTGTGTGTGTGTGTGTGTGCGTGTGCGTGTGCGTGCGTCACCTCTCCCCAGATGCCGACTGTATCTCTGATATCGTTCTTGCAGTAGGAAAGTTGGCGGATGCAGTTATTAACAGCCACACTGCTTTTCCCCGGAGCCAAGTCCTCTTCAGCCATCTCAACCCAGCCCAGAGAGCGCACTGCAAAACACTGCAATACACAAACACACACTTCTTAGTTTAGCACACCTACACTCTCATTATATGTATTAAAGTGTTCCTACTTAGGCTGCTCATATATTCCATTTTATAGCAACAATCGAAGCAGATTCAGCAATACAGTAAAGTGATTTAGGGAGCAAATACAATAAGTGTCAACAAATACCAAACAGGTTGACGATTAGCAGCTTTACAAACTAGAACACAATACCTTTAATTTAATTGCACAAACACAATGTAGTTGTAGAACTGTTGTAGTTGTGAAAGTGTATTTTACACAATCTATAAATCACAGCTTTCTGATTTTATTTACATTTTACCAACTGTCCCATTTTTTTTTCATTGGGATTGTATTATACACTACATACTAGGCAAAAGAAATATGTATGTTACGTTGCAAGAGCAAAGTGACAGAAATTCAGTATGTAAATAATACCTTATTATTGCATTAGTAAATACTAATTTCTGCCACTTAAGGCTGCAATTCCTTCACAATCAAACTCGAAATACTCAATAATATCTACCGAAGTGTAAAACCTTTGCCAATCACACATTATAAAAAATGATTGTGTTTTAACTTAAAAAAGTAATTAACCTGATTGCCTTAAAATTATGAGGTTATTGAACTTCTTATACAAGTTAAGAGAAAAAATAATCTGTTTTACATTCTGTTAACTTATTATTTGAAGTTCAGTGATCTCAAAAATGTAAGGCAACCAGGTTACTTGCTTTTTTAAGTTAAAACATTGAATCATTTTTCACAGTGTATCAAGTATAAACCATTAGTGGGGGCTGTGGGGGGGGCTCTGGTTCATATGATGTTTTTCTGGAATATAATGGTTTGTTTAGCACTTCTTGCTCTCCTTTGGCCTAGCATTCTATCCTTCCCTCCTCATTGCACTTGGAGCCCTGAGAGTCATCTATCTTTCATCCTTTCTTCACTTCTGACACGATGCAAGATTAAACCCCTCCAGGCTTGACTCACCGCCTGTGTGTGTGTGGGACCGAAAGAGAGGGAGGACAGACAGAGAGTGTGATTAATAATAGGCAGAAGGTTGTCATCTTGTTTCGGCTTGATTCTAACTGCTTGTGACTGAGCACCAGGGCTGAGTGAAAGAGACAGAAAGAAAGGAGGGAGAGAGATCGAGAGGGGGGGAAGTGGTGAAATATTTAAAGGCAGACTTCCCAACAGTGATGTAATACTGAAAAGTGGGACAAATCGAGGGCTGGAATTGAGGAATTTAGTACATTGTAAGATAAGTGGAATTCCTTTAAATCTCCTAGTATGACGTATGTCGTACACACCCCTAGCTTAAAAATGATTTAATTCACATTTATCATCATCATTAACATCTCTTTTTGTTTCCGTGAACCCTTTAAACTTCAGGTCCCTGAATCTGGGGCCACACTTTAATTCCTCACTCTCATAACTACATTAACATACATATCAATGCTCTAGTAGTAACTAAATAATTCATAGTAGTAACTAGATAATAAGACTTAAGACCGAACAATAAAGGCTGAAAGAATCTTTCACATTTTAGCCTCTTTGTCCATTATTGACAGTCTCTATTAGGGCTGAAGGACCAATATGTATTTCTGTTACGTCTATACATTTAAAAAAGCTTGTTTTTTTATAAATGTTCATAAATATATACACATCCCCACTTTATTCTCCACTATTATCATCACAATATTCACAAGCAGATTTTCCCACAACTGCTGTGCAGATCTTCATTTAGCCACCAGATGGCCCTGTAGATCTTCTCAGCTATTCTGTGCTGATTTGGACTCTGAAAAGAGGGGCTGGGCTCTGATCTACCACGATCAGTATACATACAGGAACAAACAGGCAGTAAACAATCATTTATCTGATAAACTACAGGATGCACTGCACACAAAAATCTTCGGTTCTACTCTGCACATACAGCAGATACTGTGATCTGTCTCGGACTCAGACTTTTCTTTCTGTAAAATTTTCATTTTGAATGCAAAGGTTATTTCCAAGCATACAACCAGGCCAACTCAGGCTGTGATTGCAAACAGACAGAAAAGTAACTCCAATTAATTACTTTAGTTTTTAACAACTTACTTGTAAATGTACTCTTGCTTAAGTACTTTTCTTTATTAATATGCTAACATGGTAAGTAAAATCTGTAATTTCACAGCACCTACAAAACATAGGTATAACAATAAACATTTTAATATTATTTCATATTTTAAATGGAAATCAGACGTTGTTGTGTAAATCTCATCAAGTAATGGTTTAAAGCCGATATAGTATATGTTCTCTCATAACGCAGACGTAGGTGTTTTCCTGTTATAATTAGAAAAGTCTTGCCATCTCCTTTATACTCTGTATTTAAGTCATACGCCTACACAGTTGAAGTTAATATTCAATCAGAAAAAGGGTCAGCATTCTTTTCATTGGGGCAGAGGGTGAGAAGTAAGTAGAATCAGAGCTTGTAACAGGAAAAATACATTTAAATGAGGAGGGATAATTTGTCTTCTTGTTTTGCAGCTAAATTAGATTTGTCAAGACCTATTTATGCTTGGTTGTATTATGTTTATACTGGCAGCATGAGCTGTTACTGAGTGAAATCTGAGTGAGGGCGTTACAGACTGGTTTATTTTCAATCCTGTTTATGAGTATTCATCCTGTGTGAGTCGAGGTTAAGCCTTTATTGCGCGTGTGTGTGTCTGTGTCTCTGTATGTGTGTTTCACCTTGGCTTCGGGGTCACTGTTAATGCTGCTGGAGTCTTCTTCTTCTACAGGAGCAGGATGTCTACAACACACACATACACAACACTTTAACCACCTCTCTTTCCTTAATTACGACTGCAGTCGTGCATACATGGCCAAACCTTCGTGCCCACACACACACACACACACCGTAGCTTGAGGGAGGCGTAGCGCAGAGTAGCTCCTTCAAACTCCTTCAGACTGGGGTCAGGGTTCACTGTAGCAGCCTGAAGATCCTGAGAGAGAGAGACAGACAGAAATAACAGTAAAGATCCAAACCCACATTTCAAATTTATTAATGTTAGAGCTCAGAGCCAGCATGCTGAGTGCAGAGACCTGAATGTTCTGTGTGTGTCCATTCTGAGGGCATGCTCAGCAAAACCTAATTTCAGATGTAATTACAACAATCACACATGTAATTTGCAGGAGTTGCCATAAGAAACAGAGCGAACTGAATCGTAAAGCATGAAAGAAGAAAAGCTTTAACCCTTAGAAGTTGTGGCTTTTACTATAACAAAAGCATTGCTGGAAGTCTTTAATATAAAAAGCAACTTGTAACTTTATACAAATGATTTTTTAGTCCTAGCTCATTGAAAAAAGTGAAAATGTTTTGTGCAAAGTGCTTTTAATTGATACCACATTTGTGTTTGCAAAATAAAAACAATCTTTTATATTTTTGCCACATTTTTGTCATTTGTTGACACTGAAACAAACTGATAAAGGCCATTAGTGTAGACTTAAATCTGTCGACACAATGTACACTGAATGTAAATGTAACTCACTATATAATTAAGTATGTACTTCACATTTGAATCGTATAATAAAACTTCTAAGGGTTAAAACAGATGGCATGGACTAAAGGAACTCAGCCTGCTGTACGTTCATCTTCCAATAGGGCGAAAAAAAGATAAAAAAGAAAAGGATGAGCGAGGGCGTTTCCATGGAAGCCAGAGTGCTCATGTCAGGCAGGTGCAGGCAGAAGCTGGGGCGAGAGGTTAAAGGTAGGATATTAAGTGACAAAGCCACAAAGCAGGATGGTTTCACACCACAGAGCCTGAACAGCAGAATGGCTTAATGCCTAATACACCTGACTGCAATACGGTTGGACTTGGTCCTTATCAAAGCAGGTTTGTGATAGCTTTTTCCTGTACAATCACATTATAGTTACTAACTCAGTTACTTGTTTTACTCGTATGTCTTTAGGAGAACCCTATTAACTACACATGCTGCATTTAAATCATAAGTTTCATCTATATAGATTATCTACACCTGTCCTTGTACGTAATTTGACAACTGTGTAAATTTAATTGTGTATCAGTGCAGGAAGTGGCTGTTTTGGCACCATTTCTAATTCATAATTGTATCAAGCATAACTAGCTGTGTCTTGTTCAAAGCCAGATAGTGGCATGCCTTGAAAATGATGTTTTCAATGATTAGCTTCTTCTTATGAAATAAGTAATGAAAGTGCTGTTTTTCCCATGTACTTTTCAGCTGGTACAGATTGACATGGTTTTAGGGAGTAAAGCACAAGTAAAATAAGAACTAATGAGAATACATTTTCCAGGAAGTAATAAGTAAAGTAATTCCCTTACAGTTTAAGAGAAGTAATTAATAATTTGTAATGCTAACTCTGGTCACTCCAGCATGACATTTTACTGATTTAATTATGTTCAAAAACTAAAATTACTATCACATATCTCTGTTATTCCTTCACACTGAGGACTTGCTATTTAGTTATCAATATAAAACTTGTTCAGTTATTCAGTAACTACTATAAATTATTTGATAACTACTAGTAAACATGCAAGTTATTTAGTTATAAGACGGTAATTGAAGTGAGGACCCATACTGAAAAGAGTAATGCACTAATTTTTTTAACTTGTATAAAATGTATACATAATTTCCACAAGAATTAAATATACTACATGAACACAATTATTGCCAAAAGTAAACAAAAAGACTGATCACCGTGTAATACATTTTATGCATGTGGACAGAATATATTTATCTATCCATCCATCTATATATATAATAATTTATAACATAACATAATTAACATTGCATATATATATATATATATATATATATATATATATATATCAAGTAAATTCAATGCATTACTATTTCGGTGATCATTACGATTTAAACAGTTAAACGGAGGAACTTCCAGTTAAGAATCAATTTGCTATGTTATTAAGGACTTTGGAGTTTATTATTGGTGTGTGAATTGAAGGCAGGCTAAATAAAGAATGCGGTCTGCTTGTTTAAATGCTGGAAATATTTTGGAACTGAGTGTCGGAATCTTCTGTAATGTCGGTCACACTCGGAGCCATTCTGCTGCTGGAGCCGCTGTGGTGTGTGTGTGTTCTGCTGGTGACTATGGAGCTGCCTCTTATACTAACCTTCCAGATCTCACTATCAATTTTTCCCACTGCAAAATCACTCCAGGGCTGTTTCTACACACAGTTATTTAAACACACACACACACACACACACACACACACACACAAACACACAAACCCACACACCCATGCCAACATGCACACGCACACACACACAGACACACACAGACAGATATATACACACAAAAGTGAAAGAAGAGGAGGCAAGGTGGGGAGGGGCAGAAGAAAGACAAGACAGGGCTGTTAGATCACTCAGCAAGGGTGTGTGTGTGTGTGTGTGTGTGTGTGTGTGTGTGTTCCTATGTCTAGTTCACATTTTTGAGGTTATACTGCAGACCGAGAGAACCTGTGTCTAATACTCAAAGCCCTGAGTATTTTAAAAGAACTGAGGTAAACATATCTGACTCAAGTGTTGCTTAAAAGCCTGTATACCCTGAGGCAGTCTACAAAGACTGTATTCTATATCACACTCTGGGTAAAATACCATCAGCTATTTAAGCAATAGCACGCGAGCGGGAGTGTGTTATCACAAATAACATTATGGCCGTGATTCAGTCACAGGTATGAGCCGAAGGCAAGTACCCTGGATAATCAGAGCTGTTTTGTTATTTGAACAAGACCTCTTAAGTCTTCTATTGCTTTTATACAACAGTTCTGCAAAAAAAATAAAAGAATAAAAGTAAGGCATAAAAGGCCTGAACATTTGCTTAGTACTGGTAGTTCTTTTCACCAAAAAGTAGTAGCGTTTTGTGTTAGAGATGCAATATCAGGTTGCAATATCAGGTTCAGCTCCACTTTTCTGTACTATCCAGATTAGCCTAAATATCATTTTGTTCCAGTCAGTATGTAACGTGTTTTACAGCCCATGTTGTTCGCTGAATTGTATTATATTCGTTTTCTGGTTAATTTCAATTCTGTTTAGTTGTTCCCCCATCACAGCTGCCAAGCAAAAAACTTGCTTAAAACTTGCTGGAATTTGATGTAGGCCTGCTGTCACACTCTTCTTCAGAATCTGACCAAACGAGCAGATAAAATATTAACTTAGAGAAATTATCTAAAGCATTTATATTCTGTTTTTACATATACTAAAGCAGAAACTGCTGTGTTTAGTAAGTTGTTACTTAGAAACCGGTGTGAAACAGTTATTGTGAAAAAAAGGTGGTGGCACCATAAATAACAACATGGATAGTATGCTTCTCCATCAGTCACGCTATGTCGTCAGAAATGTCGTATTACATAGCATTATACACAGACACCCCATAGGCACTCCCTAATTAGGGGAACTCCACTGACGACTCAAAATTTCTGCATACTGAAATCATTAAGATGTAAACAGACATTTAGACTAGTTTGATGTGAAATGCTCTGTTCTAGAGGAATGCACACATTCAAAATTGTTCACATCATACGAAGACATTGCTTTATGATAAATCTGAACTAAGGTTTTGGTGAAAATGTGTATTTTAAAATCCATCCTGGCGAAGAGGGACACGCAGGGTATTGTAAGGTAAACTATTTTCCATTTTTTCAGATTTTCAACTATTTTTCCGTCATCAACATCACATATAAAACTCTGAAGACACATGTAGGTTCACTGGTGGTTCTGGATAGTAAATAAAATATGGCTATATATATATTGTCAACTAATCATTGCAGCTCTATTATAATTAAGTTATATGCAGTGTGCACGAGTGTGTATAGTTGTGATTAGGTTAGATGCAGTGTGGATGTAGACAGCTTGCTCCATTAGCTGGGTTGATCAGTCACATTATTGATGGATTTCAATTCACACATTTTTGCACTTAATCTACATCCAACTACCCACTATTGAACAACACATCAACAGAGAGAAGAGACAAGAGGAGAGGAAAGGAAAGGAGAGGAGAGCAGAACCACTCTAAAAAATCCTTTTTACAGAGATTTGAGAGCGGGGGAGAGAAAGTGAGAGAGACATTACCTTGTCCTCCTCTCGATGGTGTGTTTCAGTGTGTCTGTCTTTCTCTGGCAGGATCTGCAGCGATGAGGATCGAGGCTAGACACAAACAGTTTCTCATTAATTTAATCAAAGGAGGGAATATGTCAACAAAGCCCTTAACTTGCAGACCTGACATTGACTCAAATAATGTACTGGTTCACATTAGACTTCAAACAATGGTATTTTCAACTACAACTGTCGTTCCTGATTTCTGTTCATTTAGTATTATAAAGAATGTTTATTAGGCTAGTTCACAAATGTGCACTGCGTGTCTCAGTTTGTAGACACCTGTTCATCCAACATTTCTTCAAAAATCAATAGGGAGTATTAATAGAGAATTAGTGCCCCCCCTTTACTGCAGTAACAGCCTCTACTCTTCTGAGACGACTTTACACTAGATGTTGGAACATTGCTGTGAGGATTTGATTGCATTCAGACACGAGCATGAGTGAGGTCAAGTACTGATTGAGTGCTGATGGGCTTTACACCCGTCTAGCTGACGCATGGCATTGGTCATGGTGACTTTAGGCTTATGTACAGCTGTTTAAGAGTGCCAATCTATTGGCAAGGCTTTCCTATGGAGATTATATTAGCACTGAGTACACTTGAAAGTAGCTGAATTTGCTAATTATAAAGTGTATATGGATACTTTTAGACATGTAGACGTGCATGTTGTACTTTGTTGTACTAATGCTAATACTAATTGCCTAATGTCTGCATATTTTAATAAGAAGTAAAATATGAACATTAGCAACAGTCTTTTTCTTTGTCACCAGAAGTCATTAACAATAATGAGCATATGATCCCCAGACGAAAAATTAATTGCATGCTTCATTTCTTCTCTAACACTTGGTTTACCCATCAGTTGCCTTAATGAAAACACTACCTGGTAAAGATCACAGTCTCAAGACAGTCCTATTTCAGACTGAATTCACTGTTTGGTTAAGTCTTGAAAACCAACATGTTTACATACATTCATTTCCACCCAGTTTCAGGAGTGTCAGCCTATAATACTTTTTGAAAAAGGTATAATACAGGGCAGCCCTTATTAGAACAGAAGTCATTTACATATTTCAGTCTTAAAGGCAAAGTAACAAAAACAGCCTCTTAAACGCTACGGAAAAAAACTGAAGTTGGAAAGTGGTCATATAAAAAGGAATTATAATTGGTTTTAGTACATAAACCTTCAAATGTAACAGGTTGAGGTGAAAAAAACATGAGGACTTGTAACCACGTATTAAAGAAATGATGCAAAAGACTGATGAAACTTTTTTGTCTGGTGAGATTAACCTGGTAAATCAGCATCAACATATCTTTTAGAATAGAGGTTTAAAAAATGAGCGCTTAGGCTGCAGGACTGGATTCTCGAATGAGATTATCTTCATGATTACACACTGTAGATTTATGGGTTATTCTATAATGACTCCATCACACAAAGTTGCTATCCTCTCCTAATGTTCTAATGGCATTGAGAAGACAGACTGTGAGCTTGGTAGATTTTCAGTAGGAAGTACTGTCTGAAAGCGGACTGCAAAGATCCGGGAGGTAATGCAATGTGAAGGGGATACAGTATGTAACTGTGTATGTGTGTAAGGATGGACTCACAAAATAGCAGCTATTGACGAATCCACAGGAAGGAACGTTGGCCTCGGAGGAAGAGGAGGAGTTAGAGGAGAGGAGAGGTGCTGGGTCCAGACAGGACGAGGGGGCGAGAGGGACAGGATCCGTTGAGCTGTCCGACGTGGTGCTTCCAGAACGACAGGATGCTCCAAAAAACACCTCAGCATGAGACCCCTGGAACAAGACAAAGGAAGAGAGAGAAAACTGAGTAAAGCTACAAAAACGAAATGGCAAATGTATCTAGTTTAATGTGAGAAAAAGACAGTGCATACTCTTACACTGTTGGGATCATCCCACAATACAAAATATACCGACACACAGCATGATGTGAAATTTATGTAGTATTAATAAACACTGCAAAGAATTAGTAATAATAAATAACATAAATTATATAAATTAAGAAAAACAAGAACATTTCCTTTTACAAAAATGAAATTTCTTGTCATGCACCATGTAATAACGTAAAAAACAAAACATGATATATTTGCAAAATAGTACAAAGTCCTGTTAAATGTTGCAAAATAGTACAAGATCCTTTTAAATGTTTGGTCAACTAGAAATTTTAGTCAAATAGAATTTAAGCTGTTTGCTGAGCTAACTTAAGATGCGTATTACAATGACTTTTATTAATTTTTAAGAACATATTCTTATTTATAAAGGCAGCATGACTTATAATTTCAAGTTGACCTGACCTTTTAATTTTTTTACAGTGTACTATGAATGTAATATGTATGTTGTTATGAAAGTGAGGAAGTGCAGTGCTACATTTTTACTGGCGTCTTGTAAACATATCACCCATTGTGATGTGAATAACCAGGCAACAATGATTCAAAAATACAATCCCAATTTCAAGGTGGGACAGTAGGTAAAATGAAATAAAAACAGAAAGCGATATTTAATATTTTACCATATCAAATTTGATGCCTGGAAAACATTCCAAAAAACTGAGACAGGGGCAAGGTAAGACTGGGATGTTGTGGAATTACCGAAACATCCGTTTTGAAACTTTTCACAGGTAAACTAGTGAATAGGTAATGGGTGATGCTATCATGATTGGATATAAAGAAGCATTCACAAAAGGCTCCGTTGCCACTATGTGAGCAAACAGTCCAACAGTTTAAGAACGTTTCTTAACACAAATTGTAAGGAATTTAGGAATTTCACCATCTACACTCCACAACATTATTAAAAGATTCAGAGAATCTGGAGAAATCTCCAAAAAAGTCCAAAAAACCTATGCTGAATGGCCATGACCTTTGATTCCTCAGACATTAACATCCAACATGCTTCTGTAAACATTATCAGTAAGATAAGAATAGAGAATAGACACTTTGGTCAACATAAAGCCCAAACATATATATACTTATATTATTGAGTATTCACGAGTAGCTGTTTTATGTTAACAATTTTTTTCTGAACAGCAAGAAAAATGGCAAGGTGTCTTCAGAATCACAATGGCTAGTGTACAATATGTATGTGTTAAAGTCTGACCTCATGGTCAGGAGTGGGTGAGGGGGAGAGAGAGCCCAGCGAGTGCTTGCGTGTGTCGTGATTAGGGCCGGTTGGTGCAGGGTGGCACGGCCCTGGTCTCTCCCACTGTGTGGTGCCTGTGGGAATGTGCCAGTAATAAATGCCAGCCATGTCCGTCATCATCTTCCATCCTGGGGGCAGATCAGGATCTGTCTGGAACGACTGCTCCCCCCAGATATCTGCAAACATACACACACACAGTCAGAAACCAGCTGAAATGGGTTCCAATATCTGCTTTAACCCTTTAAAGCTAATGCAAAAACCTGGCTATTTATGCAGTTCTATCTACTTTTTGCTGTTTATAATGTGATTTCTAAATGATGTTGTGTTCATTTGTGTATGTAAACAATATGCTCTAACAAGGCTGAAAATTCAGAGATTTTTAGGTAGTACATGAGTAAGCCACACATCAGTCACACTTTATTGTTTTTCTGATTGAACAAAACAATAATAAGCATATGCAAATCTGAACTGCACTCTGATTGAGTCTGCTTGCTCTGGAGAAAAAAAACTAAACAAAACATGGTGAATCCAAAAAGAAAGGGTGCCTTGTGCACATTTTATCTAGGGATAGAAAGTGATTTTCTTTCATTTTTCTGGGCCCAGTATCAGATTTGTTGGGTTCATGTGGTTGAAACCTTAAACTGAATGCTTATTATTAAGGTGTTAACTTTAAAGTCACCCAGAAATCAAAATTGTTTTGCTCTTAACCCTCTATCAAAGTCTGTTTTAATCCTCTATCAACATCTGTTTTTTGTTTACAACATTGTGCACCAGTGGGCAGGGAGAATAATATTAACCAATATTATTAATTATTAATTATTATTATTAATTATTAATATTTCGCCTCCCCTAACATCAAGAGAAATGCTCAATTAGTGCAGAGACTCTCTGATACTGCATTACGCACACAAACATACTACAGCACAGGAGGAAAATATGTTATGATTCACTCTGACTGAGAGCAATAGATTCTCTAGAATGGTACATGTTGTAATTATTACTTGTAGACATCGTCTAGGCCTAGTTGACTTTAAGACTTATTATTCAGTAACTGTTGTAAACTGGCCTATCCATGCTCCGCCCACAAATACATTCTTTTGTAGTATGTTCTTTTATAATCTGTTGCCATATTGAATAACATGGCAAAAATATCATTCAGTTTGTTATTGAGTTCAAATGTTTATTTGTGTCTGTATGAAAAGTATGAAAGTTTAGGATGGTGGAGCATGGATAGATGAATAATCCAGTACGTAGGAGTGTAACAACTCATGGTGACCATGTAATATCGCATGTAATATGCAGAACGTTGACAATGTACACTGTAAATGTGGGCCCACATTTGGCTCTGTTTGAGTTTAAGGGGTTTAAAAAGCCAAGGTCAGCCTTAAACATTTGGCTTCCACAAATATCAGCAAATGTGTGGCTGTTATACACTCACATGCTCAGCATGCATATGCTTCATGTCAGTCTTCCCACGAGCAGCTGAGGATTCTCAAAGGGATTTCATTTGTTAGTAAATGTATTACTCACACAATGAGCACTACTCTACTAACGAACCACAATGACACACACACTATGCTCACCACATAAACTTCTGCAGTTTGATCAGATACGCACACTAAAGAGGAATGTCTCTAGTCTTGACAAGCTCAGGGAGGATGTGTTTCCTGGCAGGAGCATATGAATGACTAAAAACACTAACATGTCTGAGAGGGTCCATGTATCCAGGAGCAGAGGAATTTTATTCACCATTCTTATTTAACCAAGTGAAATAAATATATTTATTGCATTGTCTTTATTACGTTCCATCATGTAAGGTCAGATCAGATCTATTTGTTAAGTTTAATCCATTTTTATTTTACAATTTTATCTTTTTACAGCATTGTCCCAAAGCAGCTTTACAGAAATCTGGGTCCAGACCCCTAACGAAAATTTCAAGGGAGACCATTACGGTAAAAACTCTAAGAACATGAGGAAGAAGCAATGAGATGAACCAAATCTCAAAATGTAAAACTCTGTAAGAGTATGAGGAAAAAACACTGAGTGTAACCAAGTTTCAAAAGGAGAAACTAAGAACATGAGGAAGAACTACTGAGAAGAACCAAGTATCAACTCAGTACTAGGTGGGTTAAAATCCCTTAAACTGCAAGAGACCCATATGTGGGCCCACCCATCTGTCCCTCAGTGTTGTAGCTACATAACTTGTATAATAATTTCTAAATAATTCATGAGTTACTGAATAATAAGCTTTAAGATTAACAACTAAATAATGCTCCTGCAGTCTAAGAGGTTCAATAAACAGGTGCTGGACTAAATAATGGAAACAGCACTGAAGCTACGAGCAAACAGATCTCAAAAGTTATCAATTAATATTTTGGTTTCTGTAACAACATGATTCTGTAGCAGAAGGTGAAAATGAGCAAACAGTGAGTTCCCTAAAACACAACAGAAAATGAACACATAACTCAATTAACGTCTGCTTAACCCAGTCCAAAGTGCTGCATCATCAGTATCAGAGAGAGTTAACAGTTCTTATAAACAAACATAAGTCGGCCAAAAACCATAAACTGGTAAAATAAGCACAAAACTTAGACCTCAGAACATGAATTAATAAAATATATCCTGATGATTCTGATTTATCTTTTAGACTTTGAACATCCAAGTGGTTTATGCTGGGAAGACATCAAAGGATGGTTTGTTTTTTGTAGAATGATTCCATTTCCAATGAGAAATTGTTCAAATATCAAACTGTATCTTTCGTATCTACTGCTGTAAAATTGGACAAGCTATGCAGAGCACTGCCATTCAATCTAATGACTTTAGATTGGAGTTCAGAGTTGACAGTTTAAAATGCAATCTGCTGAACTTTTTATTGTTGTAGAAGAAACGTCACTGTTGATTATATTAGTAATCAAGTGATATATATTTTTTTTAAATAGGCTAAAAAATAAAAAATGAACACATAGGTGGTCTGTCTGCTTTCTTATTGTAAGAGGGACCAATAGGAGAATTTAAAATATGCATTATCACCATACAAAATCAACATAATTTGAAATTAATAACACATTCTAAATTTGGGCAATTTCACAAAAACTGTTGCTCGCTACAATTTCTCATTATGTTGAATGGGATCCCAATGTGGAGATCATAATAGTCTCAGACTCTGTGTCAACGTTATTTTTTTCCTCAGGTCTTGCCTCAGCTTTGGAGTGAGGAAGACTTGTAACTTTTTTGTTTCGGTTAATTTTTTAATATTGAAGTATTAAACAAATACAGAAAGTTTTAAATAGTTGGAATGCAGGATTGGACTAAGACTGGTTGATAGGCTAATGTTTTTAATATAATAATATCTATCATTTATAAATGAATAGCAAACTAATTTCTTTTTGTGTGTGTGTAGTTATCTGGTCTTAGTGTTGACTTGGTCACGTCCACTCCTGGTCTTGCTCTCGGACCTGACTACTGCCAAGTCTTGGTCTTGACTTGCCTCTAACAGTCTCGACAACAACACTATGTATTCGTGGGTGGATCATATAGAGGTCAATTATTTGTGATCTCAGTAGTGTCTGGTAAAATATAAAGAACAAGTGCAGTATGGGATATGTCTGGTATGTCTGGGAGTGAGCTGGGATAAGATGCATCATGGGATTTGTAGTCCCCGGTGCATAACTGGGTCACCATAGTTGCTTTCTCACGCATCATTCTGATGGCCACACGTCGCAGAGAGAACATGACCTTCACACATTAAGCACATTCAAAGACAACATGAGAACAACACACACACAGAGTCAGGCTGACCTGTGATTTAGAGTCTGACTCAGACGGAGCTGTCGCCCCATCACTGAATCGAGAGAGAGGCAGAGAGAAAGCCAGACAAAAATAGAGAGATCTTGATATTTTAGCATGCGGAAAAACACCACCATACGTCCCATTTTCTGTTTTCCTTTCTTCTTCATCTCTCTCTCCCTCTCTCTCTCTCTGCAGTCTATGAAGCGCGAGCCAGAGGGGGAGGGGATCAGGGAGCTATTCCACAGCTGTAAACCGCACACACACACCACGCTAACGATCATGAACACACATGAAGCTCAAAGTTTCTGCATTCTGCTCACACATTTATGACACCCATTTGTCGTCCTCCCTCTTTTCATCCCCTCCTCTCTCCTCACCTCTGGCTGACTCCTTGTGCATGCATAAAGACAGACGATGCTATCTGCACAAGCTTAGCATCATCTACGCTCTTATACACACACTCACACACACACAGTACCTACCCTCGTAATTCACTATGACAATAGCCAACATGTAGTCTTTACCCAGCATCATGACTGAATAACTGAACAGCATCAAAACCAGCAGACCGCATGAAGATCAGAGAGAGAGAGAGAGAGAGAGAGAGCAGAGAGAGAGAAAAGAGAGAGAGAGGAGAGAGTGGAGAGAAAAAGAGCGAAGAGAGAGAGAGTGGAGAGAGAGAAAGAGGAAAGGTAGACTGAGGGAGGCTGAAAAAGGGGAAAGACAGCAACAGAGAGGGAGAGAGAGAGCGAGAGAGGGAGGGAGGGGAAGTGTCGGTCTCTGCTCTGTACTTGTTTGTTGTTTATTCTCTCTCTAAATCAAGCAGGAAGACAGACAGCCGCTTCCTGTCTGGTCTGGGCGTGTGATTGGCTGAGCCGGAAACACAAACCCCTCCCCTCCCTTCTGAACATTTGGTCGCCCCGGCAACCTCAAGATCATCTTCCCTGCAGTATCACCCAGTGCAGAGACATGTGACCACGAAAGACAGAGAAAGAGAGAGAAGAGGGAGAGGAAGACAGAAATCAAGACTAAGAGAGAGAGAGACAGCCAGATGTACTTCTCTACACTGTCAAGACTGACTAACATCTGTGTGTGAGGGCTGTTCACACCTGTTCTCAACCTGACACACACCTGTGAGTCCATACCTGGTCTGCCACAGCCTGGCGCTCACCCCGAAACCCACAAATCCTCTGGCAGCTGCAAGTGATACCAGTCAAACATTGGCAAACAGCAAAGTTTACTTATTGAAGAGTGTTTAAATGTAGCACTGAATCCACTCTGGAGTGCATAACATTTAAATGACACATGACACCGATGTGATACCAGATATCAGGCCAACATCAGCAGAAAATGCTAGGTGGGATATTAGAGGGAAAAATAATGAATCTGATTCAATCCTGTAACAAATCTAGCCTGAAAATATAAAGGTTTACATTGTGTGATGTTAACTGTGTAGTTCTTCCTGCGGGGTTGCAGAGTGATTGAGTAGTTTGAGTATGATAGTCTACTTTAGATGCACATTTTAAGTGAAGTGCTTCATTTAAAAACAGCTCATTTTAAAGCTTAGTACTTTTTAAGAAGAATATCAGTATTGGCCAATACTCGAAGTTTCAATATCAGTATTGGTATCAGAAATGAAGAACTGGTATCGTGCTGTCTCTACTGATACACTTTTACAAGGATTCTCCTTTGTTACGGTAAAAACTCTCTAAGAACATGAGGAAGAAGCACTGAGATGAACCAAATCTCAAAATGTAAAACTCTGTAAGAGTATGAGAAACAAACACTGAGTGTAACCAAGACTCAAAAGGAGACACTAAGAACATGAGTACTAGGTGGGTTAAAATCCCTTAAATTGCAGAAGTCCCATATGTGGGCCCACCCATCTGTACCTCAGTGTTGTAGCTACATAACCTGTATAATAATTTCTAAATAATCCATGAGTTACTGAAAAACAAGCTTTAAGATTAACAACTAAATAATACTCCTGCAGTCTAAGAGGTTCAATAAAGAGGTGCTGGACTAAATAATGGAAACACGAGGATTCTACTTTGCGTGCATCGAAGGGTTTATTTATATCCACGCCCCAGACTAGGGCTAGGAGAAAAAAATCTGTACAGTTTATACTGTGGGTTTATAATTTGGGATTTGAAAATAGTATGGCTAGATAAAGAAAGTATACAGGAAGCCCAAATAGGTCATTCTTGCAAAAGTGCCTCAAAACATGTCCATAAATACTTGATTGTCATAAGCATCACCCAGATAAACAACACTCGTACAATTCAGCAGCTCAACTGGAGCTCTATATGGCACCGCAAAACGTTTGTGGAGCTCATTTTTGTCTTTCTATTTTTTATTCCTATTTCTCATTATTGCAGTGTGTCTCCATATGTGTTTCTCATTACCAATATTTATCAGTTTCACTTTTTTGATTCCAAAAAATGTTGTATTATTTCTTTTCAACAATTGAATTTCTTAACTTCAATGATTTCCTTGTAAACAGGTAAAATCAAAAACCTCAACAGCTGTCAATGTGTTGCAGTAATGAGCTAAAATTGCAAAACACTGTATTTTGCAATCTGTATCTGTACTAACTTGTGTATATATACTAGCATATATATACTATATTAGCTTTGACATACTTCTCACAAGAATATACAGCTTGTAAAAAGAAAGGTTGCACACAAAAGATTATGGATATTCCCTCAAAGCTTACTGTGTTTTGGTAATAAGAAATTGTTCACCTAAATTGGAAAATGTAGCTAAAAGCAATTTAAAATCATTAAAATCAGTAAGTTTTTTTTAATTATTAAACCAAACATCACTGTTTTTTATGCTGTATTTCAAAGAAAGAAATATTTGTCATGTTTGTGAGAATAACCCAAGTATCTATATTCTATTATTATACTATTATTATATAATATTTTTATATTTATATAAAATAACAGCAGTGTTGGCAGTTCTGTCTTAATGCACATGATAGCTTATTTCTGGTGAGATCAAGGCTTCTGCAGAGTCAGTGGAGCGCACTGAATAACACATCTGCTCTGTACCTGTGAGCACGGGGAAACTAAACTAACATACCAATAAGACTTCTAATATTTGATTTGCCTGCCACAGTAAAGTGCTCTGGATAAAAGCACTTGTTAAATATGTAAGAGGAAAGACTGTTGTGAATGATTGTCTACTTCATAAATATAAGCATTTGATAAATATGTAAAAGTAAGGAGAATTTTTTTGAGTGTTGAATTGAGTGTTTTTTTGAGTGTTGAAAAAAGACTGGTGTGAGATATATGACGTGTAAACTTCACTAGATAAAGAAAAAAGTTTTTTTTCTGGAAGGAATAATTTGCAGTAAAACTTGTGTGTTCATGATTTTTCCAACTCTGTCTCCAGGAACAACCTGGAGCTGTTGATGATCTAACAAAAACTGTGTAAAACATGGCAGTTCTGTAGAAAAGCTGTGATACTGAAAAAAAATGCTAAACAGCGAAAGCCTGCTCCTAGATCAGTCACTCTCAGTCTGAGATTCTTTGTGAGTGGGGGGCGGTGGGGGGGGGAGGGGGGCGGTGGGGTGATACAGACTGAGAAATGGTAAACTCAGGGCTGTAGATAAGCGCAGGTGTGAGATCCGTCAGCCTAAGCAAACAACTGGACTGCCACAGCCCTCCTGGTTCATCCAAAGACAAAACCATACATCTTCACACAAGCTGGAGTATCTTATAACATCACATACTTTGGTCAAGGTGAAACCCAAACAGCTCACTAAGTACCAGGCAAATACACTTAGGTACAGAGGTAAACCATGCTCAGGTTCACACCATCTGACACAAGTTAAACTATCACAGGGTAAGGAAAGACATACACACATGCACACCACCTGCTGTGCTTTAGTTCTCACAGTTCATCCAAGAATAAAAGTTCTGTACACACCAACTACAGCTGGTCAAAAAACCCACATTGTGATCATACTGCTACATATTGTGATTACTACTATTAATTGACCGTTGGCAAAATTATGATGGACACGCCTTGCAGCCAGTCACAATTGTCTCTAAGTGCTGCTTCCTCTGCCAAGTGAAAGAAAAACTCCACCGAAATCTGCGGTAAGAACAGCGATGGCAGTCAGACATCTCCTTTTGAGACCCAACATCTAATATAAATAGAGGCCATTCTAAAAACTCTGTCCACCATAAAATGTAATGACATGCTTGGACCCCAATGATCGCCACTTGGAGTGTAATCTGTAGATGGTAACTCAGCTCTCATTATGAAAGTCTACAAAAATCAACATGTTCTACATCAGTTTCAGATACGAACTGAACACAAAATCATTGTCTTAGTCGCAGCAATGATAATTTACACATTAAACTTTCTTCACTCATTATTCAAAAGCTTTTGAGGAAAAATCAATACAAAACATGACTTTTGTTCACAAAACATGGCTCTCTTTTCACTTTTCAGTAACGTTATCTTAGTTCTGACTGGCATCTAAAAAATAAATACTATGTCTGTGGGATGGCCAACTCATGACTGTGATCTGTTGCTGTGCTGTGTTTCGGAGAGTGGAGGGATTCTTCCTCAGAATTGTCTGTGGGCAGGAGACCCCCCCTCCTAAAATTAAAAACTCTTCAGATCTACACAACAGACGTGAATGGCTTATTCAGTATTAAGAATAAGGATAAATCACACTGAAGAATGTTAAAATCAGTTAGCTAACTAGTTACCTTCAGCTTAACATGGCTGAAGAGCATTCGATAACAGACTAAACAGGACTGTGCAGTGCTTAGATTTGTGATAAGACATTAAGTGTAAAGATAAATAAATGTCCAATATTTATATGTCTACACTGAACCATCTTGTTAAGCCAGTTTATTTTCGAATAAGAATAAATAATGCTTTCAATTCTTTTTTTTCCCAAAAAAGTTGGGACACTCTGCAAAATGTAAATAAAAACAGAGCACAATGATGTGCAAATCGTTTAAACCCTATACTTAAGGAACAAAGGAATTTGTAATTAAATATAGGCACATCATTGCATTCTGTTTTTATTTATATTTTGCAGAGTGTCCGAATTTTTTTGGAAACAGGGTTGTAAATTTTCTTTTGCGGTACTGAACTTTTTCATCTGTTAGCAGAAGTGGTCTGGCTTCTACTAGACGGCCTTAGTTGAACTATTGACAGACATAATAACAGTGATTAAGGGAGGTGGGCTGAAAACAGTCACTTGTAATTCACATTAAAAACATATTGGCAAATTTATAATATGGTGGTGAAAAACTGGCTTGCATTTTTTGACCAAGATCACTTTCTTCTGTTGCATTACATGAACTTGATTCATCAAAATGGCAAAAGAAACACTCATCTGGAGCTGTGACTGGTGAGGATGCTTACAGCACACAGAAAAAACACTGTGATTGATTACAGGGCTCAACTGTGTGTTGCAGCTTTCTGCATATCACAATAACACTTAACAAACCATGTATTGTGCAACCCTATCACCGACTGAAGTAACCACCAAATTCCAGTCAAAAGGAAAACCACCATCACACCAACAGAATCTAAGCACTGACCGTTCTCCTCTGGCGAGCCCAGTGATGCGCTGTCTTGGGACAGAGTAGTCCAGCTGGACTCTTCGTCACTGTGTGGAAGGTTCTGAATGCGGTTCAAAGCACGGTCCGTCTTGGCACCCGTCCGAGGCCTGTCTTTCTTCGTCTCAGGGGAGGAGGAGGCAGAGGAGGACCCGACGGAGAGCAGGGGCGTGTCTTCAGGGCTGCGCTGTTTCCTTGGTGACGGAGGACTGGGGTTCTTCTGCTCTTTCAACAGCGGTTCAGTGATATCATCATCCTCCGCACTTGGCTCATCCAGTGTCAGGTCATCAACATGCGACTCCAGGAGGCTCTTGGCCTTTCGGAACTGCGGCGACTTCCTGTCGAGGGTGAGCTCCGTTTTTTCTGACAGAATGAGCAGATCGTCAGAATCCTCCTCAAACGGGTTTGTGTTGGAGTCCTGAACTTGATCCTCCTCAATAGCATCATCGTCGTTAACAAAGTCGCTTGTGTCCTCTTTAGCTAGCTCGCTAATACTGTCAGAGTCATCAGTTTGAGTGTGGTCAAGCTCTGTTCGGCTGTCAATGCTTAAATCCAGGTCAGCATGCAGCTCGTGGTCTACAATAAGCTCAGAGTCTGCTGTTGTGTTTCCAACCTCGTCCTCATTGGTCGTGTTTTTGTTTTGGTCGTGCAGTTCGGCTGCTTTGCGCATCTGGTTGGCTCCGTTTTTCGCCAGTTTCAGGTTGGCTGCAGAAGCTGTGAAGGAGGAGGTGGATGATGATGAAGCAGGTGGGGCGGGGCCATCACTCAGGCCCATAGCGCTCTGAATGCTTGTCAGTGCATACTTCTTACGACACTTTGGGGGCGTGGCCTGGCCCTGTTTGACGACATCGCCGCTAAGCAGCTGGTTGTGGGAGGAGAGTAGACTAAGGGAAGTGGGCGGAGTCGCAGAGGGTCCATTGTGATTGGCCACATCCACAGAAGGGGAGGAGTTACATGGGGAGGGCACGCAGACTGACATCATGGCTGAAGAGAGAGAAAAAAGCATCAGTAAACATTAAATGTAAAGAAGACCTTTTTGTTATAAAATATAAATCACTTAAAGAGGCAGATCTGGAAGTATAACATTCAAAACAATACTCAGACTATACAACTGTGTAAGTGCATTTAAAGCAGATAACAACCTATAGAGCTGTTCTTAGATGAGTTAATATGCCAAAAACATGCAGCAACTCTGATCCCAGCCACAAGCCAATTCATACAGTAAATACATGGAACACTCTGACAGCCAGTGGTCCTGCTGTACTGCACAATACTCTTCATCTGGGAGGAGAAAACTGAATTACTCTGCTTAAAATCTAATTTATTTGGAGGGAACTGAAGCCGATTGACAGCACAGATGTTACGGGTTTTGATGGAAATCAAACCTGAAATTGAATCATGGTGGTGGAGAGACATCAATGGCATTTTGCGAATGTTCTACACAAATTATTCAAACTGAGTTTCACAGAAAGAAATACAATTGCTAGGAGAAAATGAACAAATGAATTGGCATGCTTGGAGTGAATTCATATGCAAGTTCTATATAAAGACAGACAGAAACTGACACAGAGGCATGAACAAAGAGAAAAAGAAAGGGTGTGCTCACCTTGGAGGAGTTTTGTTGTGGTATGTTTTTTCAACAGAGGCTGTTGCTGCAAATCTATGAGAAAGAAAACATTAAAGAACGTATAATATCTGCTGCAGATGTTTGTACCTGTGACTATGACATTAAAAAAGATGTGCAATAACGCACATAAGGGTAAACCTACTGCACAAAAACAAGGATTCTGGTTTATTACAGTGCTACATATTAAATGAGAATTTTCTGAACCCCCTTTAAATGCCACATGGACATCAACTGCTCATTTCGTCCTGTTTTAATATAGAGGCACAGTCCAAATTTCTCTCCAAGTTATTCAGACTTTGTACTATATCTATAACTAGGTCTATGTTTATATATGTGTGTGTGTGTGTGTGTGTGTGTGTGTGTGTCAGAGAGATATTTTGAAGCTGAGGAGTGAACCAGATGTTTGTGCCTGGGAACACACGCCCCTTGGGTGGACTGAAGACACGCCTCGATAAGTACAGTGTCTTAAATTACATTACACAGATCAGTAGTGCTCAATTTTGGCTGGTATGTTTGCACTGTGGCTATAAACCCAATGATGCATGAAGCTAGCAAATACACTGTTGTACTCATCAGATGAATATTACTCTGATGTGCAGTTGCTTCAGCAACTGTCAGCAATCATGCACATTTACTGCTACTTTAAAATAATAATTACCATAAAAGTAAAAGTAGTCATCTAAGTAATTACTTGAGTAAACGGACAAACGTGTACAGAGCCCTGAACAAACATGAGGGCATGTGCGCAATGGTTACAAAATGAAATTCAAAGGCAACTACCAAACTGACCACTAAGCAACAACAAATACTAAAATGTACCAACTAACACACTCATACACACAACAGCATGAGAAGCAATAATGTTTTCCATAAGACAGAAACAAACTCGCCTGGGACAACTTGTGTGTTCCTTAATTTCACAGTCATGCGCCCCTTTATTTTACACTCAACAAACGACACTTGTGTCTTGTTGCAGAAGAGCCAGAAATTAAGTGCATTATAAATATAACAATGGTTCATTTTCAGTATCTGTAACCTCCCAAACTTTACATATTATCGTTTTCAAGAGAGTTAAAGTCTTTTTCGAGGCTTAAGCACTTCCTGCCTTGAACACTGATGTGACGTTTGGATTTGGTAGCTTGTATGGAAAACTTTCCTTGAATATATAAAAAGTACCTATATAAGCGTATACATTTACTCACAAATACAAGCAAAATGGTCAAGTTTAGAGTACTCTTAAAAAATAAAATCACTGAATTGTTGGCCTGCATACTTTCTTTGTCTCCCTTTGCCAAAACACAATGAACACCTGAGTAGTGATTTCAGTATTCGAATACAGGCACCTCACACAGTTAACCAAGTACTTGAGTACCCGTGTACATCCCTAGAAGGTTAGGGGGTAAAAGTATTATTCCTTAAAAGTACACTCAAGCAAGAGTATAAAGTTTCCTCTATTGAACTGACTTGTACAAGTGTAATATATTCAAAACACAACTTGAGTGTAAATGTAGTACATTACTACCCACGGCTGAGAATCAACAACAACAATAACTCTCATTCTCAGTCCTAAAGACCTGATATGTTTTTATCTTTTTCCTTGGGCTTCATCAGGTTGTCCTTGTCATGTACAAAACCCCTAATTTTTTCAGTTTTTTACACCATTTGAAAATGCCAGTTGCTCTTAACATTGTGTGAAATAAAACGTTGTTACATTCATGTGCAGCAAATTTAAGAACCTTTTTTCTTCTACAATAAAATACCATTTCAGAGTTACATGGCTTTGTTACAGTGATATGAAGGGCGTGACAGTTACGTGATCTGAGACAGGTTTGTTCAAAGCAGACAAAACAGAGAAATCTGCAGTGTGTGGGGTTTCCATGACCAACATATCTCACTTAACATCACGCATACACTTATGATAAACAAGCTGTGTCACTTTTCCGTACTCACCAGAGAGCCGAGGATTGTGGGTCTTTCCACAGAGCCTCTGGGGCCATCATCAGAGTCCCGGCCAATCACAGCGAGCCAAGAGAACGCTCCACCTCTGGTTGGTGAACAAGCAGAAAATTGTCTTATTGCTAATGTGCTCTGAAATGCTAACAAGAGCAAAAAAAAAAGGAAAAAAGAAAAAAAAAAACAGGCTGGCTTCAACACTGCAGCACAACAGGCTTTGTCTGTTTAACATACTGGAAGAAAACATTAAGTGTGTGTGTGCGTGCTTGGAGATCTCCCACTGTGCCTGTAAACAGCTTGCAGTGAGAATATGTATCTGGAGATTATAAACAAAAATAGCTGGGGTGGAAATACACACACACACACACACACACACACACACACACACACACACACACATACACACATAAACACACACACACACACACACTTCAGCGACAATAAAATAGCAGGTAAATTGGATTGTAATTCACATTCAAACACATTCAAACAATAAACAGTTGCCCCATGCCTGAAACTATTTGAAAGCAAATACTCTTAACTCGTCCTCAAGTAAGACTGTGTCAACAAACCCAGAAAAAAAGGAAAAAAGGAGAGAGGCAGCCAACAAACGGGACCAAAGGTTAGTGTGTGTGTGTGGTGAACCTTAATTGGAGATGTCCAACTTGTGGTTAACCTCCTTCACCATCGTCTCTCAGCCTCTTTCAGCCTCTGTCATCCTGTCTTAATTTCTCACAGTCCTATATCTCTCTTCTTCTCTCTCATTCTTCACTCTATACAATATGTATTCATATCTTGTACAACTTAAGAACATGTTTCTTGTTCTCTTTCTGTTCTACCCTCTTATCTTTCTCGTTTATTCAATGCAATATCACCCATGCTGTTTTGTCTGGATGGTGCCATATGTGTGTGAACTGATCTTTATTTTTTTTCACAGATTCTTCCACGTAATTAAATAGTTGAGATGTAAACAAAGTAATTTAGAGATGAAATGCTGGATTCTACAGAAACTTGCTTGTAACACTCGGACAGGGTAGTGAGATGCAAATGCTGAGAATCTTTAATAAACAGAATCCACAGAGCAAAAATCAGAGTAGAGACAGGCAAAGAGTCAAAAAAACAGAAAATACCAAAAACACAGGATCACGGCTCAATAAAGTCACTGAGAGTGGCAATACCTCGCAAGCAGGCAGAGTGAGAGTCCTGGTTATAAAGAGAGGCTGATGAGCAGATTGTAGGCAGATGTGTGAGTGCGGGAGGAGTCAGCTCTCAATACTCCGGAGAAGCTGATCTCTGAATGAAGGAACGGCCAGTGGGTGTGACACTTGCCCAATCAGATATGTTCACAGTGTAAAGTATTTAATCTCACTAAAAGCTACTTGAAAGAAAGTTGGCACACAAACAGATATGAATATGCTGCCTGTGACTTTGTTTTATAGTTAGCTCTAATAGTTTTTCATAGTTTTGAGACAAGATTTTGGCCTAAAACATTTATTTTTTAAATCCATTCATAGCGGAGATGTTTATACATGGTGTTGTAAGGCAAAATAGTCCTCAAAGAAAACTTCTTTTTTCAGATTTACAACTATTTCACCTTTATCGACATTACATATGAAAAGACACATGTAGGTTCACTTGTCATTTTGGATAATCAATAAAATGGCTGTGTCTGCAGTTTAGACATCAAAACCCCTGGTTCCTATCAGCACCACTGTAAAGAATTCTGCGTCTGTAAGTTTCTCTACAGTTAATCACTTCACATCAAACCACTCTGAATGACTTTTTTTTCAACCACTGAATTATGGAGAAATTTTTTAACATTGGTGGAACTCTGCTTTAAAACTATGGAGCTTTTTTGTTAAAGTGCTTTACTGCTAAAATGCCACTACACAATTACTTGATTACCTAGTTCATTATCTAATTAATTGCATTTAAATTTGATGTTATTCTATATCAACAGGTTTGAGACTGCTCTTCTGAGTTTTTGCTTTTGTTTTGATGTCAAACAATTGACAAAGAATGACAAAAATATGGAGGTTTTTTTCTCTGCAAAACAGACTGTACACATGACAATAACTTTATCAAATTCATATCACAATTCACAGCACTATCTGATTGGTTCAGAAGCTTTCACTTCCCGAAGTACTGGTTGCTAATTAATGACTCAAAACAATACAATATTCATGTTGATCCTGAACACTGAAGTATTAAAATGCTGAGCTGAACCTGATTTTGTGTCATTTCTATGGCTCTATCTATAAAGCAAGGGCTACTACTATGACGGTGTAAGCACTGATATGATAGATATATCCAAAAAATGATCATAATTATTGTAAATAGTGGTCATCTGATGTTTAATTGGGTCATGCCCATTACACCTTAAACTACATTTCAAAACTACTTCCCACTCTCATAAAAACATTTGAATGCATAAGTGATTCATTGCATGGTTAAATAGTTCTTCTAAATGATGTAATATCTGTTGTTTACCTAAAAATGCCAAGTTCTGCTTAGTTACAAGTTACAGAACATTTCTTTACTATATAGCGGTGGTCCTCAAAAAGGGTTCTATTTAGCAGTGGTTCTCAAACTGGTCCTTAGGGACCCCCAGACAGGGACCACATTTTTGCTCCAACCCAACCTGCAATGCATAGAGATATAGCAAAAACATGGACCATCTGTTTGAGAACCACTGCTATGTAGAACCCTTTTTGCTAAGACTGCATGATGCAGTGAGAAGAATGCGATTGATTGCTCTTCTCAAATGAGCACTGCAGTGATCTGAGCCTCAAACAACGAACAGCCTAAATAACACAGCTTAAAGATTTTACATAATGTCCTGAGGAAAGTTGCAAAATACTGCTGAGCATTTGCAATTAGTGTGTGTGTGAGTTTTAAAAGATTCCAAGGAGGAGGGGGACAACAGCTACAGAGAAATATAGCCAGATTAACACACTCAACAGAAATTTGCAGGTTAGCTGTTAAGCTGCAAATGAACAAAGCCTTTTCACAACTCTGATCCCTTTGTAATGAAACTCTCTGCTGACATAACATTTCCATATTACTTAGACGCTAAATAGAGGTTTTCCATAAAGGTACAGCTTGACTGAACATGCTAACACAGCTGACAATGAATGGAAGTAATAGTAGCCACCAATTAGCTTCCTGTCATTTGCCTAAAGCTTAGTGGTGGCTACTGACATTATTCATGGTTAGCAACATTAGCAGCATTTGACTGAAGTCTTTGTTTAAGCTTGTCAAAATCTAACACTCTATTGAGAATTCAGCATTACTTAAACATTGCTAGAAATGAAGGCTATATGCAGCACATGAGCTGAGAAAATGGACTGTCTACTAGTCAGTAGGCTGAAACTTGTGGCTACTTAATATAATGCTGTAATAAGTCGTGGGCCCAGCAACAAGTCAATAATAAGCAACCTATGAGTGAAGCTGGCATATTTAATTTACTGTATCTTTGAAAATATTGTGTAACTTTGCTCAGTCAAAGCAGAGTTCACTGACAAAACTATACCAAACTGCATAACAGCCAACAAAGAGCACAAGCTGCTTCCACTCTTGAGGGCAACAAACACACTGAAAACAGTGATGTACTGAATGTGCTTAGTTTAAATCTGTACATCATGTTCATGTGAATAAAAAATTGACATCAACACGACTATTGCCAAAAGTAAGAAAACTGAAACAATATTATGAAGTACTTATTCTTGTGGAAATTATGTACACATTTGAATCAAGTAAATTCAAAGAATTACTTCAACGTAAAGCCTAAAATGACCCTACAGTTACTTGCACTGCTAGGTTTACTGCCAGGCTTGTTGTATATTTTCCACACTTTCAGTCTTGGTTTGACATAAACTAGAAAAAATCCCATAGTTTTAGAATGCTTCCATCCTTTCTAGGTCAGCACTTGAGCAACGGCTGCACAAGCCCAGTGGTGATTCTTCCACAGTGTTCAAAATATGTTATTTCCAATGTCTGTTTGCACTGCTTATCTGCACTGTCCATCGAAAACAGACTCGGGGTGTAATAACACATGAACGTAGACAAAGCTCCACAGAGGAGGCCGGATGGCCTTGAAGGCAGGGCAGCAGGAATAATTAAGCACACTAAGCTTTTCTTACTTCTGCCATTTTAGTCGAGGGTGAAACACAATCTAAACCAGTACTGCTGTCACAATACTGATCTGTACTCTTAACAGTACTGACAGAACTAACTGCAATATCGTTTACTTTGCTTCAGACATGAAATACATGTATGTAATTCTAAGTACTGTATAACATTTATTTTTGGCGCATCTTCTTGAGAAGCAAAACCAAACAAAAACCGTCCTATTAAAACATTCTCTTAGCATACACTGCTTTCAATTTACATGATTTAAATGTGTCACTCAGTTACACTTGACTAAAATGTGCTGCATGTGCACAATTATTGTCAAACGAAGTACATATACACAGCAACTGTGTTAATCTAACATTCATATAGAACCACTTGCCACATTTCAAACATTCAAATGCAAAACTTTTCAGCATAGAGTAGCAGTAAAGACACACTGGACCGTAAACCGTATTAAGGTTTAAATGTCAATATATCTGGAAAAATCATGATACTGAATTTTACTGCATTGTGTAACAAAAGATACTGTAGTTTGGAATTTTTCATTTGTTTTGATTTGGTTTTTCTTTTAATTTTACCCGATTTTCTCCCCAATTTAGTCGTCTCCAATTCCACCCGCTAGTTAGGACTCCCCCAATCACACGATGCTATCAACGCTAGGAGGGTGAAGGCTAACACAGGCTTCCTCCGAGACCTGTGAAGCCAACCACCGCTTCTTTTCGAACTGCCGCTCACGCAACGTCACTGGACAGCCGAACGCGCTCGGAGGAAAGCGCCAACCGCCAGATCTGTTACGTCAGCTAACAGACGCCTGCGCTGACTAGCATCGCCCACCCAGAGAGAGAGAGGCCAATTGTGCTCTCTCGGACTCCCGGCTACGGATGGCTGTAGCATCACCAGGGATCGAACTCGCGATCTCCTGATGATCTCCAACGCTTAGACGGTTGCGCCACTCGGGAGCCCTTTGATTTGGTTTTTCAATTTCAGTTTTTGATTTCAGTTTCAGTTCATTTTCAGGCTGCACTATTAGGTTCAGTTTGGTTGAACTTTCTGAGAAGCAGGAGTTTCAGTTTTGTTTTTACTTTGTTTCAGTTTTACTTTTAAGATGTGAGAGCAGGTATTTAACAAGGTTAAGTATCAAAATGCATAATTTTTATATAAACACTCTCAGCTAGATTTATTACATTGGAAACACAACCGTTATACAGGCTCCACCAGTGCATTAAGGAGTCACTAAAAGCTCAAAGGTGGTTTCCTGTGTCTTTATGCCTGGCAGTCAGCGTATCACAGCATGGTTTCATTATTCAGTCTTAGCATTGCTCCCTTTTAACATCACTGCCTACAAGTACACATCTGCTTTAGTCAGAAACCAAGACAAATTCGACTGTAGTTTCGTTCAGATTACGCCTGCTGTTTTAGCTTTGCTGCAATTCTGTTTTTTTCTTTTGTGTTTTAGTGGACATTATAGATCTACTTTAGCCATTCTTGAAGACTGTCGTGCATCTTTTCACTGCTGGTTCTCATTTTTGTAATAGTTTTCCTTAATGATAATAACGCTGCTTTACACATAAACACGCTTACACACACACACACACACACACACACACACACACACACACATATACTCACATACCTCACAAATAGCAGTTTGCACTTTTGTCACAGCCACACTTCTCTTCAGGGAAAAAAAAAGCTGCAGGAATTTGAGGCAGAGCTGAAAAATTCCTGGCATGTCTGTTTTGGAAAGCCTTAATTACTCTACACAGGGAGAAAACTCCACACACACCCAGCCTCCAGCTTTCTTTCTGCTTTTCTCTCTCTCTCTCTCTCTCTCTCTCTCTCTCACACACACACATACACACACACACCCCATCTGTAGAAAAAAAGAGCTCACCTGTACTTTCAGGTTGAAAGGTCTGTCACCACTCCACTGGAAATCTTCACTACGCCACTGAAAAGGACCTGAAAGAGAGATTATGGCTCAATTCAGTCAATCAAGACAAAATGTGTGTGTGTCTCTGTTACAACAGAAACACTGCAGTAATCTACTGTATTCCTTAAATACTATATACTACTGCAGACTGCTGTAAAAAAATGGTGCATTCTGGGAGAAATAGGCCAAGCTTCTTGTCAAAGTGATGGTGACTTCATAGTAATTAACTGCCATTTGCATAGCATATTGGGAAACTGACTGGTATTGGGAAAATCAGCAGTACTTTGAACAGTTTTGATAATTTGCTTTTATTTTTAATTCTACAGTTCACTTCACAACGTTCTTTCAACGTTATTTCTATAAGATACATTTGCATGCATTTGACATGTTTCGAGATTCAAACCAAGAAGGTATTTTGTGTTTCAATTCATCCTGTAATATTATAATTCATATGCATTTAGTTACTTCCGGCTTTGTAGTCTAAATGACTGGTATATATGCAGTAATTGCTGTAATGTGATGTTCATTTCATGGTGTGAATGATAAACAGTGATGATGTTCATTGTCATGGTAATGTTTACACTAAGTGGTACTCCACGCATGCGCGTCATTTTGGATCGGATTACTTCACTTCACTTACTGCACATGTAAACAAAGATTTTCTATCAGATTGTTGAATAGAGTGAGCATATTAACACCTCAGTCTTAATCTGTAATCGGAATGTATTCAATCGGATTGGCAAAAATCATTGCATGTAAACACAGCCAGTGAATTACTGCAGAAACTGCTGTCAGCAATTCACAGTAATTTTTCCACATTGCACTGTATTTCAATGTGAAGCACAAACAACACCAAAAGAAACAGACAGGTCAACAGCAAAATCTGAACTGAAGAAACCTGTACTAACAGAATTATCAACACTCATCTTTTCGTTCTTCTTTTATATCAAATATAAAATGCATTTTGTTTTTCCAGAGCAACAGCAGTGAAAATAAAATGCAGGGAAAGACTGCGGAGGCCAAGCACGCACACATGGGGATCATTTCAGAGACGCGGTCTGCGGCACTCTGTCAAATCAGCATCAGAGACGAGACTCACAAACACAGAGAGAGAGAGAGAGAGAGAGAGAGAGAGAGAGAGAGTGAGTGAGAGTGAGAGAGAGAGAGAGAGAGAGAAATTGTTTCTGGAAGAGATGGAAGGAAAAAAATGGAATGAAACTCTAACAGCATTATGGCCTTCAACCAACACATCTGTACAAACAGCGTGCGTGTGTGAGTTGGGATACACTGTGGTGGTCTCCTCTACTCTCTCTCCCTCGCTCACACACAAACGCCGAGCTTCAATACACTCCCAAACGGGGCAGAGGGTCTCTTCTGCTCTGCTGCTGATCAGAGAGAAAAGTGCTGAACTCAACAAAAAGCGAGAGAGAGAGAGAGAGAGAGAGAGAGAGAGAGAGATCTGTTTGTTTTCTTACGATGACATAAGCTCTCGTGTTTGGAGCTGGAATGTGAGCCTGTGAAGGTCAGTGCTATGATACGTCCTCATCCTAATGGTCAACTCACTGCAGTTCTTTAGGCCACTATCAATTACATCAGTATGGAGGTGCATTTTCATCATGCAAAGCTAATCATTAGCCATTTATCAGGAAGGTACATTTTAACTGGTGATTTTTTAAATTGAGTAATCGAGTTTAATCATTTACTCGTGACAGTCCTAGTGTTCTTCACTGTTTCAGGACGAAACCTCATATTACAAAAAGTTCTAGTCTGTGCTGATTCAGTGTTACTGCCTCTGTAGTTTCATCAGAAACATCAGCTGATGATTATACCACAGACTTGACAACTGCTATAAATACTTGCAATATGCAAGTTTCTAATTTGTGAAGAATTGAGGTGTCGACCCACATTCAGGCCCTTCTGAGTGTAAAATGTAGTCAAATCAACTAAACTTGAAGTGCTGCTGAAGGCAGAAAAGCTGAGGCCCAGCTGTTGAGTAGAAGCTTTTAAAGGGAATCAGGAAACACTTAAACAGACACACTAGCTTTCCATGCTGCAACAACAGAGACTTTTACAGGAGACAGTACGACAGAATCCAATAGTGCTGGGCAATACTGATCAATGTAATACTGTATGATATGAAGTTAAGATAGTATCCTTGTATGAAGACAGATAATATTTAAGTTTGCGTTTAAAAAAGTTAATAAATCCTTGCTCTGACCAAAGAATGTCTTGTTTTGATTGGATTGTTTTGTTTAGTTTTCTGCTCTTAAAATGACACAAAAGAGAATCTTACACAGTATTTTAACCTTCACCGGACATAATTCATACTTTTTTTGAGTTCATTTAGTTTTACTATATTTTGGACTGTTCTTTCAAAACAATCTGAAGCAGCACTACCGGTATGGGTGGTATTGCCACATACAGCCCAGTACTGGTACCTACTAAAAGAGCACTGCAGAATGGATGTTTATTACATACTTAGTAAAACCAGTTTCAGTAGTTCCTGATCCTGATGAAGATTTAGGCCCAATCCCATTTCAGCTCTTGCCCCTACCACTTAGCCCTTTCCCTTTCGTTTTGCGTGTTCATGTCTAGGGGTACGGTGTCCCGATTTTTGCTGAGATAGAGAGGGAGGGCGAAGTGTTAGGGCTACATGGCTACAGGCAAACAGAAGTTTTTTCAGAGGCTCACTCCAAACAGAGTGTTATGAGAAATAAGCAAGATGGCTGCACAAGCGACCAAAAAAACCCTCAAATGTGAGAATTTTCTCTGTTATAAGATACCATAAACATGGTACTATATTAGTTTAATGTCGTTCCAATGTATTACAGTCCTTTTCTTCATAACAAGCATTAGAAATTGCTAGTAGTGTGCTGATGTCTCGATAGCTAGCTAGCTAAATCTCCTGTTCCACCTTAAATAGAGCAGCAGTTACATTCTGGTGCCTGAGGCATCACAACTGCTGCACCATTTAAGGTGGAAGAGGAAATTTAGCTAGCTAGCTACTGAGACATCAGCACACTACTAGAGATTTCTTATGTTTGTTTTATACTTTATGCTGGCGAGTAGGCTTCATATCACCAAAGAATTAGAGGTGGGCGATAATAATTGTCCTCCCCCTCTCTGAAGGCATATGACTCCCTAAATTTAACTAAAGCCCAGCAGTGAGGTTGCTGAACTTCACCGCTCCTCACTGCAGACTGGCAGGGTCGCCTACAGAGCAGCACTAGTAGCCTGTTAATGAAGTAATGTTCTTCTTTATTTGAGGGTTTTCTCATTTCGTAAGGAAGGTTTCAACCACTAGCCCTTGTAACTCAGTTCCAAGGGCCAAACCAACACTCATAAAAAAGGGGTAGGGGTAAAAATAAGAAATGGGATCAGGCCTTAGAATCCCAATATGTTAAACAGACTGCTGACAGTCATCCTGCAATAGCTGCCATTTCAATGATCACAGTAACTCAAATTTAGACACAAAATTTGGCCCATATATGAACTGATGTCTTTGTTGCTGACATTTTGAAAGGAAAAAAGATCAAAAGAAAAAGGAAAAAAATCTCTCTCACTGACAGACACACACACACACACACACCAAGCCGGAGGCTACAGCACAGGAGCGGTAACGAGACCAAAAGCCATTTCCTATTCTGGCCAGTGAAATACAGCGAGAGAGAGATGGAGAGGGAGAGGGAGAGGAAGAGAGAGAGAGAGAGAGGCCAGGCGTCAGTAAAGAGGTTAGTTAAAGACTAAGGATCTAATTAAAGCACGGTCACTACTGAAGAACGTCCGGAGCAGTCTGTCTCTCCCTCTTTCTCTCACATAAACACACACACACACACACACACACACACACACACACACACACACACAGGAAACACGCTTCTTTACTTTGCTTCCAAGGCTCTTCTGCAAAGTCGCAGCTAATGTTCCAACACTGTCAAAACTAATTTACTGCTGTTTGTTCAGGAGCCAAGGTAGTGATAAAATCCTTGCTGATGTTATAATCACAGGCCGCGTCCAGATTTCTGATAGAAACGAAAAGATTCCACAATCTGCCGTGACTGCAGCTGCTTTAAGGCCAACACAAAAATGTGGCTGTTTCAGCTGTTTAATCTGCTCTTCGCCATTAATCAATAAATATGTTAAAAATGCAATTTAACAAACATGAAAATATGTAGACTTTTATTTAGTTTGCATCACAAACTACCTTTTTCATCAAGAAACCCCATAAATAGGAATATGAGTCACAGATGAGTCATATTTTATCATTACTCTGATTAAACAAAATAATAAGTGGTCACAGATCAGAACTGCGCTCTGAATGAGCTCGCACTGCAAAATGGAACAGTAAAGGAAATCTGTTTTGGCCTTTAAGGCTCCAACATACCAGACGGGAAGTGCCGAGCAGCATCACATAGCAGACAGAACGCAGCGCAGCTAGAGCACACAGAGCACATCAGAGAGAGAGAACCACTAAATGTTCTACATGTGAGCTGAAGCTCAAACTCAAGCTTTCATCTAACACTGTAAAATTTAATATGCTTGGTATTTTGTTTGGTATCAACTAACAAACTGTTCACAAACTCACTGTTTTCTAGCTAAAAGATACAAGATGAAATAATACAGGCTGCTCTGGGTGTTTCTTTCTACTAAATCGATCAGCTTCCTGGCTTCATTGAGGGAGTTCAATGTGAATCCTGTGTAGACTCAGCCTATTCCAACAAGTGTCAATACCATCAATGAAAATATATACTGGATATTTAGTGTAATGAAAGAAAAAATAAGCTCACAAACTAAACAAAGTAAACTTGTTTCTTTAAGAATATCTGATTGTTATTTGAACTCAGACTGAAATCAGACATAATTTAAAATCAGACTGTTATTTGAACTCAATAGCAAAACAAATACATCCCTCCTTTCAGCGCTCCTTCTCAAGCTCCTCGGTGAATGACACTGAGCTAGCAAACTTCTTTTTTTAGATCTTCGTAGCCATAAAACCCTCTGCATACATTGTATGGACAAATACCGTGAT